GATCAAACGACCTCCAAAAGCATAGCTGCAGGGGCAGTTTGAAAAGTTGGCAACCCAGTGTTAGTATGACTTTTGTAGGCATGAGGAAGAGAACAGAAGCTGTCTACCCTCAGTGAAACTCATAGAGTATTTGGTAGATGAATGAGCTCACTTTCTGCTGATCACCTCAAAGGAAGGTGCTCTCTTTTAAGTTACAGAACATTCCTCCTCTTGATATTAAATGGAATGCAATTTCAGCATCTGTCATGAAAGTCTCAATACTAATAAACGCAAGTAAGAAATATATCCCTTCTGGCACCGGTTTCTTTGCTGTTATTAAAAATGGATGCCTTTTAGGCATTGTGGGAATTAAAATCCATAGGTCCAGGAGATTCTAACTTGACAGAGGAGATTCAATCATCAATGCCAGTCTATCCTTTATCCCCTACAGGGGCTCTGCAAAGCACGATACAAGTAACTTCCTACCAAGAAACTGTCAAAGGAACAGAAAATGCCTCTGGTTAGAGGAACTGATTTCTTGAAAGTGAAATTCCCCCCACCCCACCCCCTGTGCTTATTAAATGTGGAAGCTGGCATATCTCCTGCAATACTGACTTTTCTCCATTAAAACTCAAACTTTTTGTCAATAAGGCATCTTCATATATCCATGAGAGAGGGAGGACTAGGGGTGGAGGAGATTTGATTCAGTTTGCATTTAAAGGAAAATCTATCAAATGTGTACTTTCTGGAACAATAGAAGAATAGAAACACAACCATCCTTCAAAATTGGAATTTTGCAATTAAGTTCTCCAAGCAATCAGTATGTGTGTGTGTGTGTGTGTGTAGGAGAGAAACGAGCATAGAAATGGCATATAATTAATTAAATTTGCAGACCGCCCTTCATCCAAAGATCACAGGGCTTCCCAAACTTAGGTCTCCAGCTGTTTTTCAGACTACAGTTCCCATCATTCCTGATCACTGGTCCTGATAGCTAGGGATGATGGGAGTTGTAGTCCTAAAACAGCTGGAGACCCAAGTTTGGGAAACCTTCTGCTGAAAGATGCAAACTGAATCCTGGAGACAACAGCTGGATGAGCCTAGACTGATTCTGAAATGTTTTCTGTCCAGAAGCTCTAGATCAGCCTCTACTCACTCCTGGCTTAAGGTCAACTCTTACGGGAGACATGCTTTAAAGCCAGGGATGGTTCCTCCAGAAGCTGTTAAGCCTGCTCCCATCACACCCATGTAGCATGGCCATCGATCAGGAATGATGGAAACTACAGTCCAGCTGCATCTGTAGAGCTTCTGCATCCCTCCTTTAAGGATTCCCTGCCTGCCATCTTGTGTTTTTATTTAGAACCTTGTCAACTTTAATTCCACGCTCTTTTAAGTGCCCTGGGTCCCTCTTGCCACAAGGAGAATATATGCTTCACTCCAAAGCCTTGATGCCACTGCGCGGGCAGGTGTTTCATACATTTTACATTATTGTCTTTCTAAAGATCCATTAGCACGCCGTCTTCCAATCACAGAAGCTGCAATTCTGGCTGCTGCACTTTAATACACGGCACTGCGTTAAGGCTTTGCACTGTGAAACCAAACGGAGTTCAAGAAAGGCAGAGCTCTTTTCAGATACCCTTAAAAGACTCCTCTGCTCCAGTAAGAAACACTGGGTTGATAAGACACAGGGCTTCTTGTCCCTCGCAGTCATTTCTTTTGCTGTCCCTTCCCGCTACCATGCACCCGTACAGAAGCCAGAAATGTATAGGAGAATGAATTGCAGTCTGGTCAAGCCAAATGGTAGTTGGCTGGCTCCATTTTCAATAACGTATTAAGCATTTATCTGCACAATTGCTGTGGGCTTTAAAAAAGCAAATCTAGCCCAGGAAGAGAGGGTATTTTTCAATTCTTATTCCCTCACGGGGAAACCTTCCATGCATGCCAGTGGTAGGTGGGGTCAGAGGCAAAAAGGGTTTGCAGCAACAGATGTGACTCTTAACTTTGTATAGTAAGCTACAATGTTGTTGTTGTTTAGTCGTTTAGTCGTGTCCGACTCTTCGTGACCCCCTGGACCAGAGCACGCCAGGCACTCCTGTCTTCCACTGCCTCCCACAGGTTGATCAAACTCATGCTGGTAGCTTCGAGAACACTCTCCAACCATCTCGTTCTCTGTCATCCCCTTCTCCTTGTGCTCTCCATCTTTCCCAACATCAGTCTTTTCCAGGGAGTCTTCTCTTCTCATGAGGTGGCCAAAGTATTGGAGCCTCAGCTTCAGGATCTGTCCTTCCAGTGAGCACTCAGGGCTGATTTCCTTAAGAATGGATAGGTTTGATCTTCTTGTAGTCCATGGGACTCTCAAGAGTCTCCCTCCAGCACCATAATTCAAAAGCATCAATTCTTTGGCGATCAGCCTTCTTTATGGTCCAGCTCTCACTTCCATACATCACTACTGGGAAAAACATAGCATTAGCTATACGGACCTTTGTTGGCAAGTAAGCTACAATACTGCCACACAAAAGACAGAGGAGCGTGCATGTCTCCTCCAGCCAGGCAAAAGCATTCAAGGTGGGCACAGGACTGGTGAGAGGTGCAACTTGGGGAAATGAAAACAAAACACCCTGCTTTCCTTAGCCTTCCATCCCCAGTGGTTACTGGTCTAAAACAGCTCCTTAGGAATCAATCCTCTGTACACACTACTTTGGCAGCAAGCACCATCAAACACTAGGAGGATTTATGCATCTTGGATGTGCAATAATCAGGCCAGATTAAGATTGGTTGAAGCCAATTAGCTGTGCTAATTTGGGCAGGAGGGAACAGAAAAACATGGCGTTAATAGTACAAAAATGCAACACTCTGGTTCAAGGAACAAAAAGTTGATGCCTACAAGCACAAATTGCTCCCTTTGCAGAAATTTTATACTTTCTTATCTATCTCCACAACAGCTATGTGCAGTAGGCCAGGCTGAGAGTTGGTGACTGGCCCAAGGGATGAAGTGAGCAAAAACAATGGCTTAAGTGAAAGTGATTTAAAAATGTGAAACTACACATGCTCAAGAGGTTTTTTAAATCAAGTTTGGCAAAAAGTTTTTTGAGCCTCTACAGCAGGCATGGCCAAACTTGGCCTTCCAGCTGTTTTGGGACTACAATTCCCATAATCTGTGACCACAGGTCCTGTTAGCTAGGAATGATGGGAGCTGTAGTCCCAAAACAGCTGGAAGGCCATGTTTGGCCATGCCTGCTCTACAGGCTCAATAATTTTTTTGTTGCTCCACAAAAGCTTATGCCGTAACTTTTTTTTTTTTTTAAATACCACATTACTTATTTTGTGATACCTTATTCCATGTGTTCCGTTTCTGGGAGAAGGGGACCCTATTTGGGGAATTGCACCACAACTCCCAAACACCTCAATCCTGCCTAGCCTGCTGCTCTTTCGTCTTAAAGTTATCTTTGAACCAGCCTTGAAATGGGCAACATTTCAACCATAAGATGTCTTCATGGAGATGTCTTTCCTCTGAAGGCCCTTCAAATAGAAGACTGTCCTCTGTATGCATGGTCTCCCTATTCATATGGCTAATGCCTGCCAATTTTGCGGATTGCTACAACCCAATCCAATTCAGTTCATAGTTTGCACAGAGCAATCTTCAAATGCCTGCAGGTCTTTTTGTTCAGCAAAGCACAGTTGAAGCTGGAGGCTGTTTCGGAGATATGTTTGGTCTAGAAATGCTTTGCTCTCATTCACATCCTGCCACACCAGAGCATGCAAGCCTGCCTCTCTCTCTTCCCAGTTTTTCTTTGGAGGTATTTAGTTGCTGGCTGGCTGCTCAGATGCTGACTGACAGTGTCCTTGAATTGCTCCTTGCAAACCAGCTGCAATAAAGTCAAATGGGAAAGAGCTGGAATGCCTTCTTGAGTTTGAATCCATCCTCCAGGAACAAAAATGAGCCTTCCATCAAGAAGTTAAGGTAATGCACATGGACCAAGATACCTCAGAAGTCAAACGGAATCCGTTCTGGAAGTCCATTCAACTTCCAAAACATTCAGAAACCAAGGCACGGCTTCAGATTGGCTGCAGGAAGCTCCTGCAGCCAATCGGAAGCCGAAGAAGCCACATCAGACGTTCGGGTTCCAAAGAATGTTTGCAGACCAGAACACTCACTTCCAGGTTTACGGCATTCAGGATCCAAGGTACGACTGTCTAGATTTCGATACACACTTACCTGCAAGTATGCATCACTGAACTCAGTGAGACTTACTTCTGAGTAGACATACATATTGTATGGCTAGTGTCACATTTTAGTCACTAGGTGGTACTGTATTAGACTTAAGGCTTGCAAGATCTCCTTTGTTAAAAAAATTAGAACTCTGGAATCTACCAACTAGAAACTAGTGCAAAAAACACACCTTTAACCTTAAACTACAGTGGTGCCTTGCAAGACGAAATTAATCCGTTCCGCGAGTGTCTTCGTCTAACGGTTTTTTCGTCTTGCGAAGCAACCCTATTAGCGGCTTAACGGATTAGCGCTATTAGCGGTTTAGCGGCTATTAAAGGCTTATCGGCTTAGCGGATTAGCTGCTAAAGGCTATTAAAGGCTTAGCGGCTTAGATAAAGGGGGGGGAGCGGGAAAAAAACCTCAAGACTCGCAAGACATTTTCGTCTTGCGAAGCAAGCCCATAGGGAAATTCGTCCTGCGAAGCAACTCAAAAACGGAAAACCCTTTCGTCTAGCGGGTTTTCCGTCTTGCGAGGCATTCGTCTTGCGGGGCACCACTGTATCTTGAACTGAGGAATTTTGTTTTCAGTACTAGAACTAATTGGAACTCACAGTCCTTTCACAAAAACATTCACCCCTGGTCATTCCAAGCTTTCCTCATTTCAGTAGATCAATTTTGTTGCTCTTGCTCCTATCATTAAACAACTGAGAATCAACAAACTCTGCAAATGTACTGCAAATCATCCCAATATCTTCCAGTAGATCCTGTTCCACAGAAACATCAGTTATATACTTAGGTCACATCAGTATCTTTTAAACCACAAAAAACCAACTTTTTTTATTGGAACAGTTTATTTTGACCTATTAAACAAATAAGGCAAGGTGTTTAAAACTCAAAACAAAGAACTGTATCAAACTCAAAAGGAACATGTAATAAAAAGTTGCTTTCATACATATACAAACTAAGGATTCCAATCCATTCTAATATGTACAAATCAGACAAATCTCTACAAAAGAGAAATTTCAAGTTACATTGGGTATGATGTGCTAACTTCATTACAAAACATTAAAGCGACTAACTTCACATTTAAGTCTTTCACAGAACCAACAACCAAACACTTGATTTAGGGCGGTGGGAAGAAAAGATGGCAGCTTATCCGGAATGCTTCAAGCTGTGTTTATGGACCCATCAACCACGAGAATGAGATTTCATAAGTATATGAATACCTTGCTTTAAACACTGTTTGCTCTGGACAACATTCTTTCAGAAGAAGTCCCTAAAATTACAATCTGGGTGATAGATGAAGTGGTATATTCTTGCAGAAGAATTCAAAATGAGAGCCGGAGTCTTTGATTAGGCTGAATTTACTGAAGATGGCTTCCTGATGCTGAACTACAATAGCAGGAATCCAGCAATTCATTCTCATATCTTTTAGATTGGGAGGGGGGGATGGGACTACGTTACTGAGACTGCTGTGCTTTTTCATTCACTTGCTTCCACAACAAAAATAGTAATATTTCATTAGGAGACTCATTAAGAGTCTGGCTGGTTGCAGACAAGACATCCCAAACACATGTATTTCCCTGCTACCATGGCACATATTGTAAAGGCAAAGATTCCCAGCTAAAGGACCATCTCCTTTATGTGAGAGCAAGCTACTCACCTAAATACCTGAATGTGAAATACTGTGGGGTAGGCATCATAGCCAGAGGCAAAAGGCACCCACTTTAGCAGCCATCTGGCTTCATGGGTTACTGAGAAAGGTCCTCCCACCTGATTCACATAGTTGAAAATTGCATTTAAAGCAAGGAAACAGTAGATGGAGGGGGTGCAAAATAAATTTACTTGCGCAGTAAATAAAGTACATTTCTGCTGCAGGTAGCATCCCCTCACTTTACCCCTTTGCTTGCACCTCCATAGTTAAATTGCAAATGACTGGCTTTCTAGCCTTTCATGGCAGATTTCTATTTGCTAGAACCATTAACAAAAAACGAGTATTTCAAAAGGTTAGCTTGCGTTGCAAACTGTACATACTTGAACAGCAGCTGATCAGCATGGCTTTACAGGGAACATAATTACTTTGGTTTATTTTAATACTTCTCTTTCCGTCACTGAACTTGTACAACCGGATTGCTAATTTCTGCTCAGCTTTTTTAGGGCTTCTCCATCCAGGGCAGTGATGGGGAACCTGGGGTCCTCCAGCTGCTACTGGACTACAACTCCCATCAACCCTGGGCATTGGCTCCCAGCATCTCCTTGCGTGTTAGGAGTCACAACAACATGTGGAGGGCCAGAGGTTCCCCAGCCCTGATCTGGGCTAAGCCAAATATATCCTTGGCCAGGTCGTTAGAAAGAGAAACACTGGCAATTAAACCACTGCTCTTCAGCAGGTGGTCTTAACAGCAATGCTTCCCTATATTTTTGAAAAGAGCTTGAGCTCTGCTTACAATGAGACAAACTTCCTTCAGCAGCAGAAAGGGTTTGGATGACTTCACCCTTCCCCACTAGCACATGAAACGTAAACTTGGTTCAGGTCACACTCACCACATGCAAAAGAATGCATGGCCTACGGTGCAACTGGGATGAGAGCACACATTGCAGCTGGGATAAGTGAAGAGGAGAGATTGGAGGCTAGGTCATGATCTCTCCTCCACACCCACCCTAAAAGGTTAGTACCAGAGTGTTTAATCCTCTGCTGCAACCAGAGTAAAACAGAAGTTACACACGGGCTATTCACAAATAATTTTCAGGCCTTGAGCAGCAAGAATGGAAGTGTATCTGCACATTTCTTCCTTTATTCCAGTTTATCACGCTGCAACATCAAGAACTGTAGAGACTGGCTAGGATGCAACAGGCATGCCGCCTTGCAGCCACAAATGTGACATTTTAGCTACCCACTTCCTATGCACCCTCTGAAGGTCATGGGACCCTCTGAGGAGCAATTTATGAGGCACAGGGGGGCTGCTGCTGGACTGGCAGACTGTTGTGCTCCTTTCATTCACATGCTGAAACAACAGGCCTTTTTATAGAGCTTGGTCATTGTGTTCTGATACTTGTGAAACCTGGGGAGGCCAATAACCACAGGCACATTCCATCATAAATTTCTCTTGTGCAAATCCAACAGCAATGAGTGAGAATTGCACAGAGCATCAGACACACTCTCACACACTTTATTTTAGCAGGAGTCCTGCTGCTTAGAAATGAATGAAATTGCTTTATTAAGCTTGACACATCAAGCTTTTCCTAAAAGGGCATTTTGAAATTATTCTTTTGAGCCAACAGATTGTTATTTTAATCTTAACTGACGTCCTTAACCTTTCCAAATAAACAGAAAAACACATTCTAGTTTAAAATTTAAAACTAATATTGCAAGCCTCAAACAAATCAAGCTCAAAATAGCAAAGCCCATAAACATTCACAATTCCTTAAATATTTCAAACCTCTCATTATCTCAATAGAGTTCCTAATTTCCTGAGTTGCAAGTACTTTGACATTCCTCTGCTGCAAGGAATTCTGAAGAAATACAAAGTAGGATTCACGTTTTCTTGAGTGATGGGTTGGTTTCACATTAATATATTTTAAAAATACCAAGAAATCACTCAAATGTTATCAGCATTCACTCATAAAGTACACAGTGGAAAGGATATAAATATAAGCCTGAAATTCAATACTTTAAAAGGGGGAATTGTAAGGCATGGGACTTTTACAGGCTTTTGGAAGGGACAAAAAGAGTTTATATTCCTTTTCAAATGCTGGAGCAGGTTGCATGTTTTTGCCAGTGAATCACTTTTCTTTTAAAAACCTATTTCCAGAGTACCATTAAACAGTAACAGGGGGAAGTTTAAAGAGGGAGCAGTTTAATACAAAGTGGTTGCTGCATAAAGGAGATACGGAAGTTAAGCTATGCATCTTTTATTGGGCCAAATTAGGTGAACAGACAAGTGTGCAAGGTTTCTGGTTTCACAAGCACTTAAGAGTTTCACAAAAAGAAGCATACGTTTGCATCCTTGCAGTCCAACCTAAGTGCATCCAACAAAAGACAGCATTTTACCTACTTTGTTTTCTTCATGAACCAATGAGGCAGCCTTACACCACAGGATGGGATAAACCCACAAGGCAGAAAACAGGCCTGTGAGACTGACTGGCCATCTGAGCACCAACATTCTTTTAGTCTGTTTCCAACTGTTCCTCCAAAATATATAGACAGGCTCCAAAAGTAACAGGACTTCTCTGAAGCAACATGCGATCTATTCAGAACACATCTAACACTGAAACACAAGCATAATCTGTTCATGAGGACTCCACATAATGGCATTCCTGAGTTTGAAAAGGTGCTACAGTAAATGGAGGAAGCAGCCACTGGCTTGCTTTGCTAACACATTGCCATTGTTTGCACACAACGCTAGGCCAGGCCATGGCTTAACACAAAGCAGGGATTTTGCTCCTCCCTGGTCCTGATGCTGTTGCACTGCACTGAGTTAAGCTGCGATTTGATTTAGTGTATCTTCTGAACCTGGGCTCATGGCTTAGCTCTTTCCAAATCATAAACGCTAGGACAATCCTTGGTTACAGCATGTGGTTTGTCTGTAAGAGCTAAATCACAAGACTGGGTTCAGAGGACACACTAAGCCAAATCATGACTTTGCTCAGTGCAGCCCAGCAGATTGACCAGAGTAAGAACAAAGCCACCATCTCCTCTCTGGGAATTTGTTCATGCTAAGCTATGGTTTGGCTTAGTGTCACGTGAAAACCGGACCATTTAAAACAGAAATCCACCTACACAGTAGTCATAGAAACGCAGTTTATTGTTAGGGATGATGGATATCTATTCTACTGGCAGGCTTTCCTCAGAAGTTCTGCTGGCGTCTCTTCTTTGCTTCAATGGCATCAAGAATTGGCTGCCGTTTCGACTGATACCTTTGGCGAACTTCTTCTATCTCCTGCTCCATCATGGGGTCAAGCGCCCCGAGTCTTCTTTGAAGTTCTTCAACAGTCCAGTTTCTCAGCTGAAGAAAAACACAAAAGCAGTGAGCTTGCAACAGCAGAAAACCTGGAGCTTAACAAAGGGCCTGTGCTGGGAAATTATTGCTCAGAAAAAGCAGAGTAAATTTACTCTTAAAGTAATTTACTCTTAAAGTAAATTGTTACTTTAAGAGTAACAATTCTGAATCCCATTAAATTTACTGACAAAGGCTACAAACAAACTTTGGCTTAGATCCTGAGTTGCCTTTCCATTTCTGGTGAAAGGTAATTATAATTAATCCTTTCTCCTTGCAGTTGTTCCCTGCACCAACTCCCATGCTGTTCTGGAGAGTTGCCCCAACCTTCCTGAACTAGAAACAGCGTATCTTGAGAAGGATTCCTCTTAAGGGATGTCCCAAGCCTCGGACTCCAGAAACTCAAAGCTTTTTATGTAACGAAACAGATTCACAAACCTTTAAATACACAAAATACAGATAACACTGTGCTTCTACCTGACTTCAATGGACTGAGAAAAGGGAGTTTAAACCTTTAAAAAAATTAATGAATAAAGTAGGAAGGAAACCATTTGCAATATTATGTACAGTTACACATTTGCTGTAGAAGGGTGAACATTCTCAATTCAGCCACTGTAAGCCTGTTCCTTGAATATGGCTCCACCGCTCTCAGATGTTTGGTGTGTGTAGCCTGTGAAACAGCATTCTTTGCGGCAGCCCCATAAACTGTGGGACTCCCTCCCCAGAGGTGCATCTGACAGCTTTACTATACAGTTTTCGGCAAATGCTGAAGTCACACCTCTTTACCTTGGGTTTTGACACGTGAGGTGTATATTTTTAAGAGTTTTATACCCCACCTTTCCTCCAAAGAGCTCAAGGCAGCGCACATGGTTCCCACCCACCCATTTATCCCCACAATCCTGCGAGGCACATGGAAGTGAGAGCGAATGGCCCCAAGTGAGCTCCACGCTTGAGTGGGGATTTAAATCCACTCTCCCTCACTCTAGTCTGAATCACCAGCAGCAATTTTTCATTAGCATTTCGTCAACAATAAATCTCACTTGACTCCATGTTGAGCACTGTCTTTGTATATATGGAGATTCACAGAATTGTAGAGTTGGAAAAGATCACATGGGTCATCTAGTCCAACCCCCTGCAATGCAGGAATCTTTTGCCCAATGTGGGTTGAGTCTCATGCTCCACCCACTTCCCACAACAAGTAATAATCACCTGTGCCTTTTGCTACCAAGTAGTGGACATGTATGGAAGTGAGAGCTGGACCATAAAGAAGGCTGATCGCCGAAGAATTGATGCTTTTGAATTATGGTGCTGGAGGAGACTCTTGAGAGTCCCATGGACTGCAAGAAGATCAAACCTATCCATTCTGAAGGAAATCAGCCCTGAGTGCTCACTGGAAGGACAGATCGTGAAGCTGAGGCTCCAATACTTTGGCCACCTCATGAGAAGAGAAGACTCCCTGGAAAAGACCCTGATGTTGGGAAAGATGGAGGGCACAAGGAGAAGGGGACGACAGAGGATGAGATGGTTGGACGGTGTTCTCGAAGCTACAAACATGAGTCTGACCAAACTGCGGGAGGCAGTGGAAGACAGGAGTGCCTGGCGTGCTCTGGTCCATGGGGTCACGAAGAGTCGGACACGACTAAACAACAACAAAGTGGACATCCACATAATTTGTTTGCCCAATTCGGTGTTCCCAATCTTCTGCTTTGATCAAAACCCCAGGGATTACTGGATTAGATGGCAGGGAATGAATACAATCTTTCATCACCAAACAAGCTGGTGGCTGAAACTGAAACTATTAGACTCCAATGAGAGAGGTGGTGTTTCCTTTTAAGCAGTGCCTGGCCTTGTTCCAATTAGTTCAGACCAGAAATAAGACAGTACCAGTGCATGGCTTCTGGGCTGTATAATATCTAGCAACCAGGAAGATTGTCTTAGTTAACACAGAGATGCAATGAGTTTCATCGCATCAGCATTGCAAAGTAGTATTGTGGATCATGCTCTAAATCCTCCTGGTTCTACTCCTGGTGCTCTCATACAGAAGACACTCCAAAGTTGTAAACAGTAATGAAGCATGACTTTGTGGAATTTCATTATCGTCATTATTTGCAACGTAAGGCCTTCTCCCCTCCTCCACCACCAGCAACTGCTTTAAAGCTTTTCAATAATGCATAGAGTATTACTGCACAAGGGAAATAAGTACTTTAGCAAGAGGGCACAGATTTTTGCCTATCTTGTAAGGAAGTTGTTCATTAGAAGAAGAAAAAGCACTTCCCCCATCAGATGCATTATGCATGCACATTAACACAGCTTTAGCTGACAGCCCTTTAAGTTGATGTATGGGACCTGCTACAATTCTATGCTAATTGTATAACATCTGTTTTAAAGAAGGTGATTGTTCAATGTTCAGCCCTCAGGAGCTGAAAGAATATAATAAAGTATAACAGTACAGACAGAAAAAATTAATTCAGTGCTGAGGGTCTATATAAAGAGATCAGTCAGCCCTAACCATTAAATGACTACCAGATGTTTAACAGAATTTTCTTCAAGCCTTAGAGTTCTTCTGAATCTCTAAGACGACGTCCTGAGTGTTTCAGGACATAGGACAAAGATTTCCAGTTTTTGTTTATTTTGCCAGAGGACTATTTTAAAGGAATCCTGTCTTGAGAGTTTTTACTGGTGGTATATGTATGGGAAGAAGCCTTCTTTGAATGTGTAAGGGCTCATATTTTGTAGAAGGCGCAAATTCTGGTTCCACCCCCAGGTCTCCCATTTATGCCAGTCCCACCCTGCTTCCTAGCCTTTGCATATTAAGCGTACAGGTTTGAAGAAGGATTCTAGTCATGTTGAGCTGAAGATGCAGAGCTTTGCACTCAACATGTGACAGGTCAGGGGAGGAAGGGGCAGGGCGTGGAGACCTAGTGTGCTTTGCAGTTGAGTAGAATTTGATCCCATGTCCTCCTGTTCCAAGTTCAACACTCTAGCCAGTGCAGCACTCTGGCTCTCAGTGACAGGTAAGAGGAAAAAGGGAGACTATTTAACTGATTGCGCTGAACACAGATGTGTGTCAAAGGTTCCAAGTACAAGGAGCGAGGGAGATTTCACTCTCCACATTTTCACTGCACAACCAGCCCTTCTCTGTTTTAAGTATACCTTTTGTACCAAGCATACTAGGACTCAATTTCTTGACTTTAAGAAAGCCGACTTCATAAAACTTAGGGAAGTGCTGGGTGAGATCCCATGGACAGTAATACTAAAAGGAAAGGGAGTTCATGATGGCTGGGAGTTTGTTGAGAGGGAGATAGTAAAAGCACAACTTCAGGCAATACCAATGAGACGGAAACATGGAAGGTGCCTAAAGAAGCCAGGGTGGCTATCTAAAGAACTTTTAACTGAGTTAAGATTAAAAAAAGGATGTGTACAAAAAATGGAAAAGGGGGGAAACCACCAAAGAGGAATTCAAACAAATAGCCAGCACGTGTAGACACAAAATCAGAAAAGCTAAAGCACAGAATGAACTCAGGCTTGCTAGAGAGGTTAAAAGCATGTTCGTAGCAAAAGGAAGAACAAAGAAACAGCGGGGTCACTCAGAGGAGAAGATGGTGAAATGCAAACAGGGGACACAGAAAGGGCTGAACTCCTCAATGCCTTCTTTGCCTCACTCTTCTCTGATAAAGAAAACAATGCCCAACCTGAAGAATTTGGAGCAAATGATTCAGCAGAGGACACACAGCCCAGAATAACTAAGGAGATAGTACAAGAATACTTGGCTAGTTTAGATGTATTCAAGTCTCCAGGGCCAGATGAACTGCATCCAAGAGTATTAAAAGAACTGGCAGGTGTGATCTCAGAACCACTGGCAGTCATCTTTGAGAATTCCTGGAGAACAGGCGAAGTCCCGGCAGACTGGAGGAGGGCAAATGTTGTCCCTATTTTCAAAAAGGGAAAAGAGAGGACCCAAATAATTACCGCCCAGTCAGTATGACATCAATACCAGGGAAGATTCTGGAGCAGATCATTAAGCAAACAGTCTGTGAGCACCTAGAAAGGAATGCTGTGACCACCAATAGTCAGCATGGATTTCTGAAAAATAAGTCATGTCAGACTAACCTGATCTCGTTTTTTTGACAGAATTACAAGCCTGGTAGATGAAGGGAACGCAGTGGATGTAGCCTACCTTGATTTCAGCAAGGCATTTGACAAGGTGCCCCATGATATTCTCGTAAAGAAGCTGGTAAAACGCGGTCTTGACTATGCTACCACTCAGTGGATTTGTAACTGGCTGACTGACCGAACCCAAAGGGTGCTCATCAATGGTTCCTCTTCATCCTGGAGAAGAGTGACTAGTGGGGTGCCACAGGGTTCTGTCTTGGGCCCGGTCTTATTCAACACCTTTATCAACGACTTGGATGATGGACTCAAGGGCATCCTGATCAAATTTGCAGATGACACCAAACTGGGAGGGTGGCTAACACCCCAGAGGACAGGATCACACTTCAAAACGACCTTGACAGATTAGAGAACTGGGCCAAAAGAAACAAGATGAATTTTAACAGGGAGAAATGTAAAGTATTGCACTTGGGCAAAAAAATGAGAGGCACAAATACAAGATGGGTGACACCTGGCTTGAGAGCAGTACATGTGAAAAGGATCTAGGAGTCTTGGTTGACCACAAACTTGACATGAGCCAACAGTGTGACGCGGCAGCTAAAAAAGCCAATGCAATTCTGGGCCTGATCAATAGGAGTATAGCATCTAGATCAAGGGAAGTAATAGTGCCACTGTATTCTGCTCTGGTCAGACCTCACCTGGAGTACTGTGTCCAGTTCTGGGCACCACAGTTCAAGAAGGACACTGACAAACTGGAACGTGTCCAGAGAAGGGCAACCAAAATGGTCAAAGGCCTGGAAACGATGCCTTATGAGGAACGGCTAAGGGAGCTGGGCATGTTTAGCCTGGAGAAGAGGAGGTTAAGGGGTGATATGATAGCCATGTTCAAATATATAAAAGGATGTCACATAGAGGAGGGAGAAAGGTTGTTTTCTGCTGCTCCAGAGAAGCGGACACGGAGCAATGGATCCAAACTACAAGAAAGAAGATTCCACCTAAACATTAGGAAGAACTTCCTGACAGTAAGAGCTGTTCGAGTGTGGTGGAGTCTCCTTCTTTGGAGGTCTTTAAGCAGAGGCTTGACAACCATATGTCAGGAGTGCTCTGATGGTGTTTCCTGCTTGGCATGGGGTTGGACTCGATGGCCCTTGTGGTCTCTTCCAACTCTATGATTCTATGATTCTATGATTCACTCCATACACCAAGAGTCACATTATTTAGGTTCTCAATGGTGTATATACCTTGAATACCTGATAAAATCAATGTCCTTCCCCAAACAATTCTGGATAGCTGCGAAGTTATCAGTTAGCTTTGTCACTACCCATGTTATTTCTGCACCAAAACATAATCCATGCTATGCAGTAACTTTCCCACTGCCAACAAAGAAGCCAGCTCTACACGGACAACAAGTGTGATTGTTCTTCCAACAGTTACATGGCTTCTACTAGTGTTGGTTCTGCAGCAGGGGATACTGAACACACCGTCCTTCAGATGTTGCTGAACTCCCATCATCTCGGGTCAATGGTCATGCTAACTGGGGCTCATGGGAGTTGTAGTTTAGCAACATCTGGAAGGCCATGGATTCCCCACCCAGCATTTATGCACACACAGAAATTTAATAAAATAACAACCAACCCATTTAGTGTAAGAAAAATTATTCTTGTTTAGTCTATAATACAATGGTCATGAGAACTAGTGATATTACAATTGCCTGAGGGAAAAAAATCTATGCATGTTTTATTGCCAAGTCAGCAGTTTTATAGTATACAAAATCATTTTTAAAGGATGCAATTTTATTATTCCAGATAAAAAACTACATTGTACTTTGGAGCGAGATTTTAAATCCCATGTTAAAGAATGATAAAATATGGATTTGATACTTGGTTATATCATTTCAGAAGACAAGACAGACTCTTACAGCACTCCAACTGACATTAAACACAAAAAGTGAAATAATTCAGTATACAAATCCTCAAAATTAATACTTTATATAAATGCTCACACTGCTGCTTAAGTGGAGACAGACTGTCTACAGGCTCAGAAACGAGAGTGTGGCTATTGCAGTTAGCACCGTTCATGAATAAAGTTTAGATCAATTGAGTACGCCCTTGAAGCTTTTGGCAGTGATTGTGTGTCAAAAGTATCCAAAAATACACCGCAAGCTAAAGGGCAGGAGGTCCAATATCCTCTCCCTGTGTGTATTAAGGCACGTCTGCCAATTAGTACTTTTTAATAGATATGGAAAGACAAAATAAAAATAGGTTGGGAGGGCACAACCCTTCCTTATGTTAGCTATAGTGCCTGCATGAGAAGAGGGAATCTTATGCCTTTAGGATCTAAAGAATTACGATCTATCATCATAAGTGATCATAATTGTTTTTCTCCCCCTCCCAACCTTGGCATATTTATGCCCATCATACCTGCATGCTCCAATCTTAGGCTCCATGACTGTCAGATGGCTGCTGGTGGACAGTCATTTGGGAGGTGCATAAAGACCAGAGGTGCCCAAACTTTTTTCAAAGAGGGCCAGATTTGATGAAGTAAACATGCGTAAGGACCAACCAATATTGTTGAGCTTTTTTTAGGATTGAAATTTGAAATTTACCCCAAAGTTGTTGAAGTTTTTTTTTAGGATTTTATCCCATGACGTATACTACTGCCACGGAGGCCAGATTAAAATGACCGGCCGGGCAGGATTAGGAAATGGACTTTGGACACATGCCTGATATAGACCAACGAGTCCCTTAACAGCCCAGGAAAGTGCATGCTAGAGGGGAGGTGAATAGGGCTTTTACATGCTACAGAGATACCCCTCTCACCTGTGTGAAGGGTAGCACTTCGCAATCTTGGAAATAGCACAGTTTTCCTGATAAGGGCGGTTATCCTGATACAAAAGGCAGCCCCATCCCACAATTCATCTCCACTGCCTTCTGCGACTGGCTTATATCCCCACTATTTCACAGCGCGAAATAAATGAACCCATGAAAATCCTTTGAATTTCTGTGTGTACACTCTCTCTGTGTTATTTGTGCTATTTATTTGCATCTTGCCCTTCCTCCCAAAGGAGCCCAGGGCGACAAGGAAGCAGCGATAAAAACATCTTAAAAACCATTCCAGTACAGATGCAGACTAGGAAAGATCTCAAGTTAAAAGGCTTGTTGAAGGAGGAAGGTGCTCAAGTTAGGTGCCAAAAAGTTAACAGAAATGGTGTTTGTCTAATATTCAAGGGGAGGGAATTCCAAAAGGTAGGAGCCATAACACTAAAGGTCTGGTTGCTGTGTATTTCACAGAATGGACCTTCTGATAAGATGGTAACTGCAGGAGGCACTTGCCTGCAGAGCACAGTCAATAAATTAGTACATTAGGAGATTATCTTTCAGGCGTTATGTGCATTCTGTTTGCAGATACTTCTTAGTACTGCGCCTAACACTGAACTGGTTCATTTCCTCTTGAGCTAGCTCTCCTCAACACTCTTGCAATCATCAATATTTGATCAACCCAACACCATATTGTTACTTTAATTTTTATAATTTCTTTGCTATTACCATATGTGCTCAAATGAAAACAACAACTGAGGTGAAGCCTGGAAGGCGGGGGGCAAGTGTCATTAAATAAAAGGTTTAAGAGCCCAGTTGGTCAAGTCAAGCAGGGAGTCTGAGAAATTGGATTCTGCTGCATTTTAAGCAGTAATGTGGGCCATTAACAAGCCTCCACTTACACACATCAGTCTCAAAACAATCCATTTCTGCTTATTCTGCAGCCTATGTACAGAATGCTATAGAATTACAGGGTAGGGCAATACAAACTTTGCATGCTTATGGACATCACTACACTCTTCCGTAAGTTTGAAAAGAAGGGGGCAGGAGGACAATTGTGTAAGCATGCCTGCAGAGCAATGCTTGAGTGTGGGTCCACAGATGCTGCTAGACTACAACTCCCATCGTCCCCAGCCAGCTTCGCTAATGGTCAGGGATGATTTGGGTTGTAGTACCATCATCATCTTCGGACCAAAGGCTGAAGAACACAGCCTTAGAGAACAAGGTGAAGTGCCATCTTGAATCCCCTTGGCCCAGAAGGGGAGTTCTACAGCATGTATTTTTATTTTTTATTTGAACCAAACACATAAGAAACATCCTTGAAACCTTGAGATTTTGACCCAGGTAGTCTATGTCAATTTTCTTTCTTGATTTAAAATAGTCTTTCATCTGTCACAATAACGTGCCAGTAGAACACTGAGCTTTACTGAATCTAAATGAAAGTGGAACAGTGAAGGGGAATACGTAACACAGCAAAGCAGACACATTAGTCACAGTTCATACTCTCAAGGGCACATTGCTCAACAACTTTATAGCACTGCGCCCCTCTTTTGACCTCTGGAGACCATTTTATAACAGCTACATGGTTGTTGCCGCAAGATGGAATGGGCAGATTTCAATTTCCAGGAAGAGACTTGCTATAATATAAGCCAAAGATAGGAAATAATTTCCCATTTCAGGGCCCTTAACTGCTCGGAAAAGGTTAACACATGCACAAAGTAATCCAATGCCTATGCATTTATGGGGCTTTGGTAAAGTAGCAGAGCAATGACCTGTGGCCAAGACAACTATAGCTGGAAAGAGAACATTTGCAGGCCTCTCCAGAACCAGGCTGAATAGCTCTGACATTTCCAAACATACCGTTTAAAATAAAGTTCTAAATCCTAGACTAAACATTGGCAAAGTCATTTGTTTACAACTTCATAGATAAGTCCATGGAGTGACCCAATAAGTCCAGAATGAAAAACTCTGGAATTCCTGGTGTATGTAAATAAAGACTGCACACCCCAACCCCCATGTGCATTGGTCTATCAGAAGCTAGAAAAGCTTATTTTTATGTGTCTGTCTGGTACAGTCCTGTCAAGTGCCTTATGGGCAGAGAGAGATTAACCTAGCAGGTTAAGTTATTTCAGCTGGGTGTGCAATGTGGCTGTTGTCTCAGGATAACAGGTCTGGGACAGTAGCAACCAAAGAGGAACAGACTCTCTCGGAAGGTTGGCTCCCCTTCACTTTCTAAGCAGATGTTGCATGGCTGCTTGTCATGGATGCTTTTTAGTCAAAAGGAGGTTAGACTAGACAACCCTCTATGACTCTTGACTGTGTAAACAAACCACACTTTGCCTGGTGGTGCCATTTAAAAGTGAAGCACTTGCTCTGTGCTCTTCTGAAGATAATGTTTGTGGCAGTTTTGTCTTCCACCATTACTTTTAATTATATTGCCATGTGGGAAGTGATTGCACAGAGATGAAACTCCACAACGATCCCCATTATTCAGCACAGTGCATTTGTTTTACTTTTTGCTGGATGGGCATTTTTCTGCTTGTTGCAGTGTGGAAATGCTGCTGTGCCCCTTTTTCAAGATGAAGGGACTCATTCATTCCCTACTTTTCACCAGTAATACTTCCATCACTTCACAGCACACATGCCCTTTAAAAATGGAGCAAATTATAGCAGTGAATCCTCCTTTTCCATGAAGCAGGCAGCACATAGTGCAGCAAGCACTGGATGGGCCTTGCAGGACTACATGATGTGGGAAAGCAGAAAAAGACTCATCTCAGACTGAAAGTCTTCGGAGCCACTGCAAGTCAGTTGCCAACTTTGGGCAAAGGCGGACCAGTAGCGTGGAACAGTGCAAAGCAGTGTCATATGCTCAGAAAATGCAGAACTATTTTTAATCATACAGTCCCAGACTTCTATTAAGTGAATGGTACACTTCACATCATTTGGAATCTGGGATGACTACCGTATTTTTCGCTCTATAAGACGCACCAGACCACAAGACGCACCTAGTTTTTGGAGGAGGAAAACAAGAAAAAAAATATTCTGAATCTCAGAAGCCAGAACAGCAAGAGGGATCGCTGCGCAGTGAAAGCAGCAATCCTTCTTGCTGTTCTGGCTTCTGTGATATCTGCGCAGCCTGCATTCGCTCCATAAGACGCACACACATTTCCCCTTACTTTTTAGGAGGGAAAAAGTGAGTCTTATAGAGCAAAAAATACGGTAATTGTCCGTCATCCAGTCCAGAATGATTAATACTGAAGTGCTTTATCTCAAACAGAAAGAGGGTACTTTGATTCTCTTCAAAATTTAATAGAAGTCTTCTCATCTAATTCAAAACCTTTGTGCATGATGTCTGTTGAGTAAGAAATGAGATTTTCAGATTCACGACATTATTCATATTTTACATGTAGGTTACATGATTCAAGGGCAACAAAACAGATGTACGTGCAACAGAGTAAGAGTGCATAAACACAAATGTTTTACTTTCTATAGTCAAATATATGAGAGCAGAAAATCACCAAAGTGACTTGCAAGGTTGCCAATTCCACAGGGCTCTTACTTGTGGAATACATTTTTTAAAGGCTTGCTGCAAAAAATGAATACACATATCCCACCTTTCCTGCAGGGAGTTCAAGGCAGCATACATAACTCTCCCTGCTTCCCTTTAACTGCTCAGTTGACAGGGGAACAGCTTAGAGTGGGGAAATGGAGGTTGGATTGCAGACAAAAGTTATTTTTATGGAGCCTCACTCAGTTGATCACTGGGCCACATAAGATTAAGCAGTGGGACAGAATCTGCACAAACTGCAGTCATAATATGCACATTCCCAAAAGCCTACTGGGGATTATGCATATTGGCTGGGAAACACACACAATTCCCTCTTAACAGTTGGATTATGAGCACATTCTCCATGAGGTCTGGTGAAGGTGCACAATGTGCTGTTATGCATATTAACCACTCAATTTACATTCCACCTAACAGAATGGTATAGACAGATTACAAAATCTGTGCAGGTAGGAGGAAAAAGCAGTAGCCAATCCACTTTACCTGACATCAAAGTTGGCAATGGTAGGGAAATGCAACTGTTAACAGGAAATATGTTGTACTTATTATAAAACACTGTATTTCTTTTTTTATGCTTAATTTGCTGCAATCATTGGCAAGAGCTTTTTAATGCTTATGTACCCATCTAAATTCTGTAGGGAACCTCAAGTCAGCTTTGATTTGTGTATCAGTGGGAAAACTGATTATTTGCTTGCGTCACGGAAGCAGCAGAGATATGGATCAGGAAGGAATCTTTCGAATTACCTAACTCTCTTCTTTCATCAAATGCTAGCAGCATAGCCTCTTGATGTATCTGATAATACAGTTTACACATTATGTACCACAACTAGGAGTTGCGGAACTAACCAGTTCTTTTTTGTCTGCCTTTTTTAGAGTGGTATACTGAGGAAAACCAGCACCACTTCGAGAACGCTCAGACAACTCATTTATTGAAGCTGTGTCACCCAGAAATAAAAGAAGCTTAAATAAAAATGGCTCTGTTGAGAATCCAGGCATAAACATCTAAAGCAGCATTGTTTACAACGGTACTTTGTGAGGTTCCCTAGGGGATGGGCTATGAGGTTGGAGCAGGTGGCGCTGTTAAGACAAAATGAAGTATAAGTGGCAGCCAAAGGAAATATAGAAGGAAGGAATCAGGCATAAAATAAAAGTCCAAGTATGAGAATCACAAAAACATTAAAGAAAAAAGGAGTGTTTAAAGTATCACCAATTTTGTCAAGCAGAATCAGAGAGATGTCTTGTTCTCATTTTCCCTTTGAAGCCTTAAGAATGCCCCCAGCTTAACATTTCCGACTCAAAGCAAGCTCACAGCAAAGCAATTTTGGACAAGGATAACACTTCTTTCTCCAGATCTGTGTGTCTGTCCCATTGCTTCTACCGAAGAACGTACAGCAGAGTTCTCCAGGCACCAGTCTTCTCTGATGCTTTGAATTTGAAGGGTAAATGCAGAATACATGTACCCTCACTTTTACTGCTCCCTCTGAACAAGAGGTGATGGGAAGTAGGCGAGCCATGACTTCACCAGAGATCTGGCACTGTGCATGGTGACTGATGCATCAGGCAAGGTGCACACAGTTAAGTTACAGTGAGAAGGAAGCTTGCCCACATCAGAATGCACACTACTTGGTTGGATAAGGCAGTGACCTGGGACTCCACAACAGGGACTGGCCTTCAGGGTCCACACCTTCAGCAAGCAGTTTTGAAAGTATGCAGCATTATATAAAAATCAACACCCCAGTATGTCCAAGTCTCCTCTCCACAACAATCAATACAGAGCAAGTAGCAATAAGACGCCAGATTTGACCCTGGAAGTGGTTATATTTCAGTTTCTGGCAGTATTGACCCTGGAAGTAGTTGTATTTCAGTTTCTGGCAGTATAAATAGTATGCTAAGTGCTTGGGCATCCCCATGGGGTGGAAGGTATTCTGGTTACAAGATTACAAACACCTCTGCTTCAATAACCTTAGCTAAGAGAGAGCTCTGTAATCAATACATTTAAGTTCTCTTTCAAATAAAAGATGCATGAACTTCCACTTTCCACTAGCTATGCTGGCCGAGAACAGGCATGCCTCTCCCAGGCTCCTCACTACAGTTCACCTCCTTCCTCTTGTCCCCTTTCATAGCAACCCCAGTCTTGTTCTAGCCCTTGACGTTTCATAGCAATTGGATTTTGGAATCATAGCACTGCAGAGCTGGAAGGGGCGACAAGGATTATCTAGCCTAACCTCCTACAATGCAGGAATCTTTCGCTTGAACCCATTACCCTGAGATTAAGTCTCCTATTCTACCAGCTGAGCTATCCCGTTCTCATCCCAGTCCCTCTTCCCACAGTCACCATCACTTATAAGAAAAAATATATATATTTAAGATGGCATTGATTTTCTTAGCATCCAAGTTGTTTCTATAGGCCTATACCACCTACTTATTCTGTAGGACTTAGCAACCATTCTAGAACAATGGCTTTCAAATAACTTTCCATGGAACAAAAGTTAATCTGGTGTTAAGCTAAGTTCTGTAACAGAATGAAAGATGACTGAGAAGCAGCTTTGCCTGCTATAATGATGGTCCTCCGCCATCTTTCCTGCATGACCAGGTAAGAGTCACAGGTTCTTCATCCCGTTCTCAATTCTGACTCCCATCTATGGAATGCTCACCTGGGATCATTTGCACAACAAGTGATATATGTCATGTAAACAGGCTGAATTGTGTTTTGTTGAACTTTATTCTTTAATTGTTATTTTATATATTTATCATTTATATAATCTTATTGTTTACACTGCCTTGAGCCCCCCCCCCAGGGGCAACATAAAAATGTTCTCACTTTCTAACTTTCAGAGGCAGACAAAGAAGTCAACACTTTTTCAAGATAAGCAAAGCTATTAAAAGATACTGAAACAGCAAACACCAGGTCTCAGAAGTTTGATATATACTTTTGTGTATAATTTTTCATGGGTTGTGGGGAGAGAAGTATAAAGCTATGCGAATGGCTGTGAGGAAATTCCTGTAAATTTACAACACAGATTTTATTAATCTTTCAGAGGAAGCGAAAAATAAAAACCTTAGAACAAGCTTCTGCTTTTAATGCAACTTAATTATTTAGGTTCACTGTGGGCTACAGCATGCAACACAATTCTTAACAGCTTGCATGTTGGATTTTGGTTCAGGATGTTCAAAAGTGGTGGAGGGGAACCATTTTGCTCTAAACCACAGCTCCCTTAACAAGGAATAAGAGACACACTTAAGAAGACCCAGGGGACTCTTACACATTAGCAAAACAGGATGGGAACAGGTTTAGGATCTGTTCAGCTGAACTCATAATATGCATTACCAAATATGGTTGAGAGTGGGTGGCAGTTCTCATAGAAAACAAAAAGTCTACCAAACCAGGAATGTACACATGGTACCCTAGAGGCAGCTCAACTGTTCTGATGTCTTCCTGCTACTTAAATAAAGGGAGGGATCTCAAGTGTGTGACAAATATACTGGGGCAGAGGGGAGGACTCTGAGTACTCCCTACAAAGGCCTTTTCCTGGTAGGCAATAAGGGAGAGCCCTCCTTGCACACAACATATTTCTTACTGGGTATTAGGGGAGGGGGACAGATACACACAGCACAAGTATGCAATTTGCTATTGCAAATGCATTTTCTCTTACTGATCAATTTCTCTCCCTCTCTCCAACAGAGAAGGTCATTTAGCACAGATATTAAGGCTGTGCTCAGAAAAGCTGAGAGTTGTTCGGAGACCCCTAGTCCCCTCACAGTTACAATACTCAGAGAGGTTGAGCAATCAATCCCTCTTCCCAGGCAATTCTGGGAATTGTAGCTCTGTGAGGGGAATAGGGGTCTATAGGGGTCTCCTAACACCTCAGCACCCGTAACAAGCCACAGTCCCCAGGGTTCTTTAGGGGAAGCCATGACTGTTTGAAGTGATGTCCTGCTGCCTTAAAAGGGGAGCTGGCTTCTGGCCCCAGGCCAATTGGCAGACCAGCTCTGTGCTATGAAGATGTCTGCAAATGGGACATGAAAGCTGGCAACATCAACCCCACCCGGTGGGAATCTCTTGCAGATAATCACATTGCCTGGAGACAGACAGTCAAATCATGTACCCACAGCAGTGACCAGAAGAGAAATGACCATTAGGAAGGAGAACAGGGAGAAGAAACGTCCCGGTGCATCTGTAGCAGAGCAGCTGGATGTCTTCATCTGCCCCAGCAACAACAAAGCATGTCTCTCCCGCATTGGTCTCTACAGCCACAGTAGTTGCTGCAACCTGCCAATAGTCTGGCCTCACCCCCAAGGGCGCACTCCTCCATTGTCTTCCGAGACAGACAGATGCCAACCAGATGGGGCCCCAACATTAAACTGAAATCAGCAATGTGCCTAAACTCTCTTTTAGAACCCAGTTTTTAATCCAGATTGCTGGTGGTTTATGTAAAAACAATCAGCCAACAGAAGTGGGTAGAACGGGATAGAAAGAATTCACACATAAGGAAAGGACTTGCATAGTCCCACAACACACTCCTGAACCCTAGCTTCAGTTGCAAGTCTCAGATGGGTTCAAATAGGGTTGGCACCCCTGGCATTTCCCAGACATATCCGGTATACTGCCGGTAGCAGTGTCAGGGCAGAAATTGGCAAAATGTCCCGGATTTTCACTGTTTCAAATATGGCAACTCTAGTAAGCAAAACCAACATTTTATAAACAGTATATAAAATAACTATAATGCCAGCTATTATGTAGTTACCATGAAGTAGCTTTTAACAATACAAATGCTTGTTTTGGTCTCTTTACTTTGTTTTAATTTTAGAGTTTTTCTCAATACTTCCTGAGAAGCGTTGTAAATAAGCACTAGTGTATGTTTGGAGCAACTAACTAAAGTGATACAGGTTTTCTGGCAACCATGGTTGACAGTATCATTAGGTACTTATAAGCACTTTAAATGTTTCATGCGGAGGAGCAATCAACCTTTATCTTTTTATGCCATTTTAAAGGTGCGCTTTGGAAGCCAATAAAGATTCCTCAATTAGAAAACTAACTTAAAAGCTATAAACATAATCAACCATGCCAAGCATATCCGGCAATTCTGTATAAATGTGACATAATTCAGCATGTGAATTGAAACAATTCAACAGCCTGAGAACCCCCATATTGCATGTTTCTAGCCCTTGCAGCTGCAGTAGTTCATTTGAATCTGTGTGATTCCTAGTGGAATCCCAGGTTATGTCTAGCAAGTTACACTGCCATGTGCCAAGCAATTCAGAATGCAAAACAAACAACTATATGCAAGTCTAATTTATGCAAGGATGGGGAGGCAGAATTGCCTCGTGCCTGTTATTTAACCCTCCCCACCTATTTTAACCTCACTGGAGGGTTCCTGAAGCTGAGGAAGATCCTGAAGCTGAGGCTCCAATACTTTGGCCACCTCATGAGAAGAGAAGACTCCCTGGAAAAGACCCTGATGTTGGGAAAGACGGAAGGCACAAGGAGAAGGGGACGACAGAGGACGAGATGGCTGGACAGTGTTCTCGAAGCTACCAGCATGAGTTTGACCAAACTGCGGGAGGCAGTGGAAGACAGGAGTGCCTGGCGTGCTCTAGTCCATGGGGTCACGAAGAGTCGGACACGACTAAACGACTAAACAACAACAAACAACCTATTTTAACAGAATTGAGCTTATGATTCCTATGGATAAGGCAATGAAAGTGATGATGTAACCCATTGCACATCCATCAGACAAAGTGGTCCATAAATATTTTAAAAAGCTTACTTCAAGCTGACAATAGTTTATCTGGCAAAAAATAGAGTGCCCCCCGCAATGCACTTGCTCCAATTGTTGGGAGAGTTTCAGGCTCCCTACAGAAAATTTGAAGAATCCTTTCCGTCATCCCAAATTTCTTCACCAATGAATAGACTGGATCATTTTCAACACAACTGTGGATCTAGTTTTAAGCACTGTTAAAGGAATCAATGAGCTTGGCTGCTATTCCTTCCAGTCCTACTCTTAAGCCCACTGCTTCATTCATTCAGCATGAACTAACAGTATAAAGGTAAAAGTAAAGGACTCCTGGAACAATTAAGTTCAGTCGAAGGCAACTATGGGGTGCGGCGCTCACCTCGCTTTCAGGCTGAGGGACCCAGTATTTGTCCACAGCTTTCTGGATCACGTGGCCAGCATGACTAAACCGCTTCTGGTGCAATGGAACATCGTGACGTAAGCCAGAATGCATGGAAACGCCGTTTACCTTTCCGCTACAGCGGTACCTATTCAACTACTTGCACTGGTGTGCTTTCAAACTGCTAGGTTGGCAGGAGCTGGGACAGAGCAACGGGAGCTCACTCCGTCACAGGGATTCGAATCGCCGACCTTCTGATCGGCAAGCCCAAGAGGCTCAGTGGTTTAGGCCACAGCGCCACCCTTGTGTCTCTTTTTACTAACAGTATGGGCTCCAATCAACATTCTGAGCTGAAGTTTCTCAGGTTATTTGTTTTCCGGCTCCCCTGAAAAGCTGGAAAAGATTTGGCTACCCATGATAACAGTAGAAAATGTAGGCCATTAACACGTTAAGTAGGCCCTGCTCCATCACTAAGAAGTTACACTCTTATCTAAGGGCTTTTTGAGGTATGTTGGGTTCTCAGGTGGCCAACCTATGACACATCTGAACAGGAGCAGGAAGGGCCAGAGGCTTGAGCTATGGGATAAAAGCAGATCTACATCCCTGCCTCCTCCAGTGCTGCCTGTGCCACAGCTTAGTAAGTTAGAAGAAAATCTACCAAGATCATTTGGGGAGCTGGGGAAGAACTGCCCATGTACTGTACTTTGCACTATTTGCCAAAAGGATCGGCCACCAATGTTTTAAGTAAGGATGTCCAAACAGTCTAATACCATCCTGTATCGTTTTCGTTGGCACTCAGTTATAGGTTTGTTCCTCCTGTTCTATGGGGATTTTTTTTTAAGAACGCATGAGAATTTCTTATGTAAATTGTATAGATTATATGCATCCCCCAATACCTACTTTTCAATGTGCATTTATATTTTTGTACATACTTTTTGCACACTAAAACTAAATTGCAAAACCTAGAAAAGAGCACAATCCAATTGAGAACTGTGTACCAATCTGCAAGCATTTTCAGGACCATCAAATTAGGCCAATCAGCTGAAAAAAAGACAGGAATGAACAAATCCTTCCTCCATTTCTAGTCCTGTGTGTGCATAATAAATTCACACAGGTTGCTGCTACTAACATGCATTTTCACCTTGAATGTAAGCCTGAATGGAAATGCCCTCAACTACACACCTCTGGCAAGAACAGCCATTTCCCACACCCGCACTTCAGCTACCAGCACTATCCCTCAACCTCTGGGCCAAGGAAGTTAACTCTTCACAGGCTGATCCAGCAGCAGCAATGAGCCACCGAAATGAGGTTAAATGGAAGTGGGGAGTGTTTGCATTCAACCTGTTAGCAGAGCTGGGATTTGCTTGGCACCCACTGCATTTTCAGAAGGAGACATGTTGCTTAGAAAAATGGGAGAGCAAAATTAAATACAATGGAAATGAAAAATATATTGATGCCTCATCATAGTTTTATGCTTTCATCCTCTTTGCTTTTTGCAGAGAAACACGGTGGGCATTATTAGGCTTGTGACAGACTCCTGAAAGAGGGTAACACCACAGGAATTGTGGTACCTGGATTAAAGAGATTTGTATATTTATCCGTGTGGTTTAGAGAACACTGTCTAGATGATTATGCAAATAGGACACCGACACTGAGAGCGTAGGTAGGAACTATATAATGGGAGAAAGGCTTGTTGTTCTCCATCAGCGACAGCAGCATCCCTGACTACTTCTGAAGAATTCTACTTCAATAGCGCTTAAATCCCTTAGGAATTCTTCAGTGCATTCCCATATAAGAGTTGGCAGCAATGAATAGGTATTTACACGTAAAATGTGAGTTAAATTCAACCCAGAGTGAATGATTAAAAATTGCAGTACATTTTGAAATAGCTTCAGATCAGAACACAGTTGTCCAGGACTTTATAACTTCTGCATGAAAAATGTTAAGCCTGCAATCCAGGCAATCAAATTCTGCACCAAGGAAAGGGGGATTCTGCACCCTGCCATTAAAAACAAATGCTATTAAAACAAATTTAATTAAAAAATAATTAGTAAACACATCAGCAGTAATTGGCAGATAAAACTACACTGAGAGAAAGAGAGCTTAAAACACTTTCCCTGCATTCAAAACATCAGCTCACAGCACTGCCGATGAATATAGCCAACTCACGCAAATCCTGGCTTAATAAGCCTTTGGTCCAAGGATTTGGTCCAAGCATGGCCTTAATACCCACCACAGTCATACGGGCATTTTAACAACAATGTTTTTACCTGACAACTATAGGCAGCCTGGTGCTCTCCAGACATTTTAGTCTACGACTTCCCTCAGTCCCGTGCTGATTTTTATTCAGCTCTATTTTTAGCATATTCTAATTGATATAATGGCCAATTTGTTGGGAGAATTGTAAAATGGTGGTGTTTGTACACTGAATTGTACAAACTACATTTAATAAAATTAACACGGTGCTCTTCAAACATTTCTGGGCTCCAGCGCCCCTCATTCCTGACAGCTGACCACAGTGGCTAGGGCTGATGGGAGTTGGACTGCAACAGGATCTGGAGCAGGGTTTCTAGCTGTTTTTAGACTACAACTCCCATTATCCCTGACCCGACCACTGGTCCTGGTAGCTAGGGATGATGGGATTTGTAGTCCCAACAGCAGCTGGAGATCCAAGTTTGGGAAACCCTGGTCGGGAAGGTACCATATTGCCTACCACTGAAATAAATGGGATTGTGTGTCTGAACCAAGCCACTTAATTCTGGGCTATCCACATTTTTAATGCAATTCATATTAAGTTTATCCTGGTTAGTCATTACACCACTGACCCATTTTTGGATGTAACTGGAAACTCCGGCTTAAAAACAAATCAGCGTCATCGCAACAAAGCTGGCATGCATGGGAAGGGAAAAGAATGCAGCCACAACGCTCACTCCTGGCTTCATAACTCATGGTTTATGAAGCAGGGATATACATCCAAACCAGTCAAATAAAGGGCTAATGTGCCAGGCACCTCTGACAACTTAAATTCTACACACCTCTGACAACTTAAATTCTATGCAGACTTGATTGAAAGGAAGGAAATGTCAAGGTGTCTCAACTGTCTTCCTCCACACAGCCGTCAGTTACAAACATTTCATCTCCTAAATCTTTAAAGGACATCAAAAGGCTCTGATGTCTTAATCCAATAATACACAAAGGACAAAGCATCTCTCTCCCACCCCCCCACTTCCCTATAACTGAATTACAAGACAAGTGAAGGTCAATTTTTCTGAACCAACACAAAGAGAAACACACACACACACACCTTTCTGCAGGCAGATATTTATTTGCTGGAGATGATGCTTAAAAGTGCTTACACCATGGCAGACCTCTGCAGTTTTATGACAATATATTTTCTCCTTAAAAATTATTACTCTTTCCCCTATTTTAGCAAGCAGGACACTTAAAAGCCCGACAGAGCAATAAATCAACTTTCTATGCTTGAAGGTCACACATGTCTAAAACGCACAAAGCAAGAGTTTTAGGCATATTTTTCTTTCAAAGCACAGCATTTGAGCATAGCATTCTGCTTATTTAGTTCAAAAGAAAAAGCATCAAAAGCAGTCCATGCAGCATATTTGCATCTGAGAAAGGAGACCAGCATGTAAAATAATGCAAAAATACAAATAAAAATTTATAGGGCTGGTCCAAAATACAGCAGGGTCCTCTTAGTAGTTCCAGTGCCTTCAGAAACTCAGGACCAGCCAGAGAGGTTTCTGTAGCACTTTCATTACACAATTTTTATTGTAAGCTGAAGATGCAGCTCTTTACCCTTTGACATTTGAGATATGTATTTTTAGGACTAGACCTACTCTTGCGATTCCAATTTGTTTTAAACTGGTTTTTTATGTTTTATTTTAGATTGTTGTGACCCACCTTGGGGTGAAAGGCGAGTAATAATAATCATCATCAAGTGATGTTGAAACATACATTTTTAACAGAGAAGTCGACAAAGTGCTATTCACAAACCACTTAACTGATATAATGCTGAAAACATTGTATTTCTTCTAAAGCAGAGATGGGGAACCTATTGCCCCCCCAAGGTGTTTTTGAACTACAACTCCCATTATCCTGTTAGCATAGCCAATGGTGTCAGGGACAATGGGATTTGTAGCTGAGCAAGGAACTGGAGGGCAATGGCTTGTCCATCTCTGTTCTACAGGACTAACAACTGATGAGAAACCATGTAATACTGATTTACTGACTCATCAACTATGTTGAGCTTTTGAGAGCCTATGAATCAATCCTCTTCAGGAGGGGGAAAAAAGAAAAGAAAAGCACCAGACTCATGGGATGACTTTACTGAATTTGATTACATTAATTTGTTCAAAGATTTGGCACTCATTAACAATTGTGTGCAAGGCAGACAACAAAAGAGAAGCCAGACCCTTTTGAACAAATAAGAACTAAGAAAGGATTAATGAAGCCTTAGATTAGACTGAACACATTTGTTCGGAGTATGTCCAAAATGATAATGTCTTCATTTGCTCCTTGTCTTGGCACTTTTCGCTCTAACATTCAGCCCTCATTACAGTGTTTTGTCTGTTAACTTATAGTTTCTCTTCTATGAAATTTCAGTTTGAGCATTTTCCTACATGCCACCAGCTCTACAAGCACAAACAAGCATAATCTTTTGCACCCGCATCGTGACGGCTGCAGCTCCTCATAGTGCTGACAGGCTCTGCATGAGACAAAGCCCATGCTTTGACTGCACAATGTCTCAGGTTTAACCCATGACATCTCGAGTCAACATGGAATCAGGTAGAAGATGATGGGAAAGATCCCTGCCTGAGCCCTTGGAAAGCTTCTACATGTAAGAGTAGAGAATTCTGGGATAGGTGGACAAATAGTCTGAAGTGGTATCAGGCACCTTCCTGGGTACCTAAGGAAAGTACATAGGTCTACTCGCCCGAACATTTAAAGTTATGGCTTACTGGTATTGCATATTATTGCATTCTGGGAATGCCCAGCTAGCTTTTATCCTGACAGTGGTTCCAGAAATAGGTCTAACTCACAATCATGGTCCAGAACACAAGATGAAGTGATGCTCTTCTAGGCCTCTTATGAGATCAACTTATTTTTAATGGAGAGCCAATGCAGGAACGGTCAAGTGTTGTCTCTCACTCCAACTGGCCTCGCAAGTTGTTGTGACGAACAATATACTATAATGCACACTACCGAGGTTCCTTAGAAGAAAAAGCGGCATTCAAATATGGTGAGTTTGAATCCCCCCAAAATGAGTTTTTACATTTAATTTTTGTTTAGCAAAACCAATGATTGATTGGGAAGGAAAACAAAAAGCAAACTCAGTGGTTCATTGCTTTGTGCTTGGAATGTTCGCTGTTGTATCCCCTCAGAACAAAATCCCAAAGTTCCATCTTGCTTCAATGGCACTGCTACTCAATAATGGCATTTAATTGGAAGCCAGGCTCACCAAGGTCGAGTCGGAGCCCTGAACCACTGTCAGACCTTGCAACCATATCTCCCACACACTACCCAGGCCTATTTCTCTATCTCACAAGCAGCAAGTGATTCTTTGACCCCTCCATCCAATTCACTCTCATTTCCATCAAAACTGCAGGAGAATATATGGAACTGATGATCCCACTGAGCTAAAGGATGTGCTGTGTAAGCTTGGGGTTACCGAATTCAGCTTATCAGTCTACACAGGGAGAACAGAATGTTCTTAATATAACAGTCTCTCAGTTTATTCTTTTAGAATCCTGCACGCAACTTTGTTTTAAAGAGTCTTCATAATCCTAAAACTGCTGAACACTACAAAACTATACCATCAGTAGCAACAATAAAGGCATAAAACTTTTACAAATCTGATCAGTGTCAAGTTTATGAAGAGAAAAACTTTTGACTGATGAGCCTGTCTTATGAACTGGGATTTTTATGCCTAGTTAAGGAAGGGGATGGAAGGGGAAAATAATCATCCTTGGCAGTAGGTACTGAAAACAATTCAAGCCCTAAGCTACCTGACTTTTTCCAATTTCAAACACTGGCAGAAAGCATTTTCTAAATCTAAAAGTGATGTGCCCCCATTGTGGGTTGCAATGGAGCCCGGCGTTTCTGTGGTACATGCATATATGAGGAACCTGATGTATATCAGAGATGCAGTTTGAAGCAGTTGTGTGTCTGCAGCTGGGATTCAGCAACAAGCAAAATAACATCTTCTCTCAAAAGAAGAACTAGAGTTGGCGTGGAGGACAATATTACCTTATGAAGAACTAATCATGCCAAAGCAGCGTTTGTAATCTTAATTCATTACTTTCCAATCCTATACAAGCCGCTTGAGTTTAATGGAAGTGCATACAGGATTGACAGCTTGGATAAACCACGTTTCCAAGCCCTATATTTTTTTAGCTCTGGTGTAATCTCAAAAACTGAAAGTTTTATTTCAGTGCCAAAAATTCCTTATCCCCTGTTATGATCAGCAGATGCAGAAAAATGCAAAGGTCAAAGCAAAGATATACAAATTGCATAATTTAAAGGGATAGCAGAAATCTGCTTTTCTTGGCATACAGTTAGAACTGCCTTGGTGCAGAATTCTGATCTTTTTATTCCTGTTAGCACAGCCTTGATTCCGCATAGATGGGACTGCAACAATCTAGCTGAAATGAAGAGCTGTCAATAGCTGTGTTCACATGTCACAGTAAACCAATGATGTAACATCCGTATGAGCACCAAACCACAATCCTGGCTTAGAATTATGTTCAAATTGAAGACGATGGATTTCTTTTGCTCCAAACCACCATTTGAAGCAAAAGGTTGTTCTTGGTTTATCAATCATGGCTCATTCCATTGGCGAAAAACCACCATGATCTCCTGTCTGGATTTAATGCTAAGCCAGGAGTCCTAGTTTGTTGCTTCTGCTCATGCAAAGGAAGCAGCAAACTGTTCACCAACAGAACAAGTACATTACTAAGTGACTTTAAAATAGCACTACACTGGATACAATCCTATTTCAGCACAATGCATTTTCATCTAAGTTTTGATTTAGAACTACCTTCACGAGGAAGACTAATATTAGTTAAAGGATCCATCCTATCTCAAGCTTCCTGTTTCTCAAATTTCAGTATTATGCAGGAAGACAAAACTCCTCAGTTATGGATGCAACATAGCGTACTCATTTTTAAAAGCTGTCCCACTGATAAACAGGATAATCTAACACAAACTATACTCCAGACACATCTATCTATTCACCTCTAGTTTAAAATATGAAGCTACCATGCAAAGTTATTAATAAAAATGCACACGATAGTGAAGCTTTTATATAGTGTCTAAATAGAGATAACCAAATGCAAATATAGCAGGTGTCTAAACTATGTTTTTTCTCCCTATAATCTGCCAGTGAGAAATGTTGGGACAGAAATTCCTTTAGATATTGTACAGTGAAAGCGCTGGTTTTTTAGTTATAAAACACCTAGTATACTAAAAGGAATGCTTCACTTTTGTGTATGCATCTATCTGCTAGCAGAATTCTTTACATGTGACTCTCTCAATAGTAAACCCTCCAGTGTGAGCTGCTGTTTAGCTTATGGCAAGAGTTGAATGCCTCTTCAAACAGGCTTCTGGGGTGGGGTGATGTTATGAGGCCAGTCACTAATGGGGTCTTGCTTGCTGTATTATTAGAACTGTGGCCAATATACTTCTATTTGATATATTGAAAGGTTTCATACAGTAATGGTTTTATGAACCCCATCTATTGTGTGTTTTAAATTGCAAGCTGTCATGGTTAATGAAGAGCAAGCTACAAACAGAAGGAAATTTAGTTCCGGAGTAACAACATGAGAAGCGCCATGGTGAGTTCGGCCAAACTCTGTGCTAATATAAAACTCATCGTTTATAAAGCATAAACTGAGCCACTATGTGAATCCCGCTGCCCATCAGGCAATGGCTTTTTCCACCTGCCTCCACCCACCCTGCAGCCTTAGGAGCCTTTCCCAAACTATGATTTTAGGAACATCAGAAGCAGCTGGGAAGAGAGGAGTTCAGGGACATTTTTAAAAATAGTAATTTGACAAGTTGTACCGGTATGTCTTTGCTTCTCAAGTTGTATTGTGTTATTTTTCTGCCATGTGACTTGCTATTTTTATTGATTATAGTTTAGAAATTATTTATTGCAGTTGTTAAGAGTGAATTTCTGTTTAGTTATCATTTGCTTATTTTTAGTTTTAATGTGTACTATTATATTCTAATGGATTGCTGAATATTACTTTATTTTATGTACTGTAAGTTGTTTCTTTTAAAGTTATGTTACCATTATGACATTTTTGGTTTGGATCATATTGATCTTTCTCGTTTTTCTTCACACCTTGTGTGTAGTAATATAAAAAGGTAGTATATAAATTAAACGTGGAATGAAATAAATGCTACTGATTTGGCCGTGAAGACCCTTTGCCTGTGGAAAAGTCTTGTTTCTATGTTGCCCGAACTTTAGATGGAGCTAATCACCAAACAAGGATTGACAAGAGTTAGGGAAGGAATACGTTATCAGCTCTAAGCTACCGACATGCCGTCCAACATTAGAGTTCGGAAGAGAAAAAATACAACTATTTGAGGAAAGGGAGAGATGATACTGACTTGTTCAGAAGACAAATGACGCCAGCACAAAGGCCTGTAACACAGCAGACATACCGGTCATTGTAAACCAGAGCATGTTTTCATTGATCAATAAGCAATAAATCACTCGGCCTCTTGCAGTTGCTCACTATAAATCATTTCCAGAAAGGATAATAGATGTTTCCTCTGTACAACTGGCAAAACCATTAACATTCTTCAGAGCATGTTATGAAGCAGCCAAGGTATCTTAGAATGTGCAGAAAGTCCTTACCATTTGACCTTTGCCATGGCACTGCTTGCATACCAGAAGCAAATATCAAATGTTTGTGATGAAAGGGTTCCAGTTATACAGGAGGTTAACCGAAAAAAGGAAAACTTTTAAGTGGGAGAGAATGTCAGAGAAAGCACAGTTTTGCATACAAAAGGTTTAGAGAGCAAACAAAATGCTGCAAGCCTAAGGTTATTAATGCCACCCTTTTTTTCCAAAACCTACTGAACACCACTAGGTCACAGATGGAGCTAAGCATGAAACAATGTGAAAACCTCAGATTACAGGACTCAAAAGTCCATAGCTCTCCAGCTTGGAAACATTCTCCACCCCCCAGTTCCAGATGTGTGGAGAATGGATAGGATTATTTAAGGCAAACTGGATGTGACATGACTCATATTTTTTAAAAAGAAGTTTAAATAGCATCTGTGCGGGTAGGACCTGGATCCTGGTGAAAGGGGTTTTTAACACTTTACTTCCACTGTGGTCCAAAATCCAGCTCACACACTACCACCCCATGCCTACTATTTGCATTAGTAGAAATGCTTCCACTGGTACCAATGGAAGATTTCCTACCAATGCAAATGGAAGGAATGGGAAGCCCAATATCAACAGCCCCATCCCCACCTACTCTTTACTTTTCTAAAACTTGTGCAATTGCCAACTATGTAAAATATGCCACATATAGTTTGGTGATTAGCCCTCAGTGGGTGGGGAGAGTGAGGGGTACACGCACTGAAGCTGAGCCCGAAACAGCTTCAAAGACTGCATTAAGCAATTTTAAGTCTCTTCACAGCTGATGTGCACAACCATATGGGCTAAATGAGTAATGTGTGTTCTCTCAAAACATTACATTCTACACTTATGCTATGAACTGGAGGTGCACAGTATATATGCAGCCTTGTCAATACACCTCCAAATGAGTGACAGCAGCCAAATCTGCACCAGATTGCACCCAGTGTGCATAATACACACCAAATCTGAGCTCCTTTGAATGGCAGAGTGAATCACTGTGGTAGGCTGTCATTTCCACAGTGATAGGAGCAATGCCAGTATGAGGTTTCTCCCCATGCTTGAAAGATAATGCCCTCTTCTGCCACTATGATTTATTGAAATTTAGGCAGAAGCACAACATTGATCAGGACAGATACACCCTAAATGGGGAATACTTGAATAACACATATCAAGGAAGAAATACACTTTGGGGAAACCCCTAGCAAACTCTCTCGACTGTTTCCAACATGGCTGACAATGCAAAATATTCATGAAACTGTGGTGATGGGAAGGGCTCCCCACTTCAGCCTCCAAGTATATTATACTTTAGAACAGATTTATCCTCAGCGATCTCATTTATATAGAAAGGGAATTCAGTTAAAGGATGACATACTGAAAGGTCACTCAATCTGTGGCAGAGAAAACAGCCACCTTAGATCCACATCCCGGACCAGCAATACTGGAATGGTGCCTCCACTTTGACGGAGATGAAGATGCAATAAAAGAACAACAAGCACATCTTGTATTATGGTTTAAGGTTTGCAAATAATTAGGAATGAAGTCAGCCGTTATTACCTTCTTTCTCCCAGCCAAGACAGAGTTTGTCATGCTGAAGGGAAGTTAAGGGGCAAATTTAGCTACATTTTGAAAAAGCCATTCAATTAAGCCTAACTGCCTCAAACTCGGTAAACATAAAGAGGCATCATTTATGTTTCTCTCTACACAAGCAGGCTCTTGGAGAACTGCAATACAACTCTTCACAGTGAACACTCAATTTCCATGACAATCTTGGGTAAATATGCACTGAGTGACATTTTAACCTCCTGCGTTTTTTCAGACATCTCCCAACTGACAAATAAACAAAACTTAAAAAAAAGAGACCCAATTAAGCTTAAGGATGTTTTAAGAAGATTAAAAATGTAAGGAACAATGCTTCAAGTAATAAAATCTAAACTATAGTATATGTAAGCTCGAAGATGGGGAGGGAACACCATATGAGCAAACCCTTCAGGATAAAAAGGGCAGCATAATTTATTTAAATCTGCTACAGTACGTGACTAATTACATGCACTGGTGCAATGGTATTTAAGCCTCTGCTATTGAATTACTGCAACTGCTTTTGATTACTGTAAATGAAAATTCTAAGCACAACTCTCACACAGGAACAGCCATCACCTGCAGAGATCCATGCAAATATTTTGCTTTATCCTTTCAGATACTACGCCATACTGCACGACAAGGCTGCATCTTAAATAAGCAATGTGGTGCTTGCAACAATTGTTCACAGTAAGCTGAGTTGACTTCCGTCTTTACAGGTTTCCACTGTATGGTCATAGCTGTCAACCTTCCCTTTTTTTGTAGGAAATCCCCTTATTCCAGCGCCGTTTCCCGCTGCTATCCCAGATTGTTAGATATCCCGTAGACTGTCCCCGGGACTGGTGAGGCTGCTGATCCCTTATTTTCGAGGCTGCTGATCCCTTATTTTCAAATCTGAAAGTTGACAGCTATGTGTATGGTGCAGGAATGGGGGGGGGGGGACAGTGCCAGGTGAAAACTATGAGAAGGAACCACAGTTCAATGGTAGAATACATGGAGAGGAATATCTGAGGACCAATCCTTGGCATTTCCAGTTAATGAGATCAGGCACCAAGTTATGGCGAAGATCTCGGTCTGAGATCCCAGTCAATGAAGGCAATTCTCAGCTCAATGGACTGGGCAGCTACCTATATGCCTCTGCAACGTGGCAAATGGCTTATGGAGGCAAGGTGACTTTTTTTAAAAAAAAAAAAAGTAATAAGAAATGTGATAAGCAGTTAGTGACAGGGGTCGGAGATGGTGTCTTAACACTGGAAGAAACATTTTGCCAATACGACACACTACGCATGCACACATACTTTGGCTGGGAATTACGTTGCTCCTTCAGCAGTATTACAGCCTATAATGGCAGTACTAAACCTCAAGTACGTAACTGCTGGTTAGATACCAACAGGGCACGATCCTTGCCCATGTAAGGTTGTCGGAGCCAGCCGTTACAAAGTGGCGAAGTTTAGCATAAAATTATGACACAGAGAGCCAGCAATATTTTCACGATGGTAGGAGCAGCTCCTTTTTCCTCCCTCTCCTCCTGCACCCTCTTTTATTATCCTTTGTCTCTCTCCAGCCGCATGGCTGTTTGCCAGTGTCTCACGTTACCTCATCCGGTCAAGGCTTTTATTGCCCCCAACACCTTATAGGGTCAATCACTGCCCAGAGGAAACACAGCTCCAATACATTCCAATACATTGTAAAGCTCAGAGTGCTGGTCAGCCGAGGTCAGGGGGCACCCTGCAATATTACAAGCCTTTACCGTGGCTTTATGACTCCCACATAAGGTGGCTTTCATCAGCCCCAACCATTAAGGTGGCTTTCATCAGCCCCAACCAGCAAGATAAGGAATAATGGGTCTCCCAGTCCAAAACATCTGGGGCGCACCAGGTTGGGGGAGGGCTGACATACAGAATTAATACTGCCATTTTCCTGCCTACTCCACCAACTGCTCCCAGCATACACACATGGTGCCAGGCTGTTAGGAGGAATGAGTAGCCTGGGCACGTATTATCTCCCATCTTCCAACTCTGCTTTCTCCCTCCACATAATCAAGGAGTATAGGAGGGGTTCTCATATTGAAAGTGGTTAGGTAACAGTAGTGATCAGCAAGCAGAGCCATGCAGTAACTAAGAGACGGCCATGTACATAAAGTTTTTCAGCGTTTTTCTTTTGCCAAGTGCCTTCTACATTAGAAATCCCCATCACCATGAACACATTTCCTAGCTGACAACCGTTAGTAACAGGAAAATTACTGTAGCTTCTCAAGCTCCTTAGCCAGAAGCACGGCATAAGAAAAAAGGAAAAGAGTTCCCTTTACCATTATGCTATTTGAGATTGGCGGGGTGTGAAAAAGGTATGGGTAATTGTCACAAAGGAGATAAATTACACTTCTCAACAGCCCAAATCAATTAGCATTTAGGTTCTCATATACTTACCAAGACAAAATGTACAATAAAAAAAAAGGATTTAACTAAACTGTGATGCAGCTTTAAACCCACGCCACTGAACAAAACCATATGATTGAAATCTGATTAGAAATCAGAACACCATTTTCATTTCACAGGCAATTTGAACGATTATTATGTATTGCTCACAATACATTCAGGATACCAAGTTAAATCATTTGTTGTTCTTACTTGTCTACATCTTAAGCAATTCAGTATTGTCTGTTTTAAGGAAGCATTTCTTTGTAATAATAAAGTATTATGCATTTTTTCTTTCACCTTTATATTGTTTCAAATATTTACTAGGATTAAGGATTATTTCTCCTTTTCTACAAAACATAAAAAATAGAAAAGCAAACTATGATTCTAGAACATGCCGAAAGTATTTTACTTACGAATTCATAATCACCATCCTGAGGTACTCTCCAATCGGAGGAATATCTTTCTGGTACATTCCTTCCATAGTTGTTTCTCCGATTCTCTTTTTCTTTTTGCTCAAAATAATCAAGGAAAGATGGTCTGACAGACTCCATTGTTTCATCCCTTCCTACAAATATATTTAATATACAAAATAGTATTAACTCAAAAGGAAAATGTTTAGCATTCCACTAAAATAACTATTTAGCACATTGCTTACAACAATACCAACACATGATGGAGTTGCTAATTTTAAAAAGCTTCAGAAGAGAAGAAAATGTTCAGAGCTTCTCAGTAGAGCAAGTAATAGATAAATTATCAGCACATCTCTTGAAATCTAGAAACAGGAAGATCAGGTAGATAATAGGGAATATTACATCTCCTTTAGCCAGAGGTCCAAAACTGAGGCCTAGTCTTCCCCAACCTATGGCTGTGATGGCTGGGGCTGATGGGAAATGTAGTCAAAAGCATATGGAAGACACCTGGTTGTGAAAGGCTGCCTTATAGTCTTCTTACATAAATGTCTGTACGTCAAAACCTAGATAATAGCATTCAACTTTTTCTGCCCTCCGCCCCAATTTCACTTGATGAGAAGACTGGGTGTTTATTTCACATGGCAGCAGGGCAGCCATTCATGCCTTTGTACCTCTTGAGACTAGACCACAATCATGCAACATGGTTCATCTTTCTTCCTGATAGGAATGGGCCATCAGAAGATTGAAATACAAGCACAGCATTGACTCTAAAGTGGTACTAAAATACAAGGCGTCAAGAATACACCCACCCACTTGCATAGGCTTAACAATTTGTTGCATATAAACATATAACTTATAACAATAACATAATTATGTTAATGATACTGTCCATGTACTGAGTAGTTCACGTCACATTCAGAAGCACTCAGTAACTGTCCTGAACTTCCATCCCTGGAAAAGTCTAAACCTGAGGATTTTCTGCAAACATACAACTTCAGCCATTAAAAAGCATAGCAGCAATCCTATGCATACATACTTTGGGAACCAGCCCTTCTGAATGCAGCTGGACTTACACATATAGGATTACGCTGCTAAGCAGGTATGAGGAACTGTAGAGCACAGTATTTTGTATCTAAGTGACTATTCTCTCACACTGGTTTATTATGTTTTAATATTTTACTGACATCGTTCATAAGGGGTAAGCTAGAAATAAAATTTCTGCAACACTGATTGTGTATGTTATGCCAGACTATTTGCAATCTGGCAGTGGAATGGGAGGAGGGAAAGGCAAGGGAGAGCTGCCATCCACCCAATATATTTTAAGTTTGGGGTATATTAAAAATGTATAAAATGCTTTCCTACAGCATGGCTCTCAAAAGTAGTCATAAAAAAACCCCTCAGTTGTAAAACACACAGGAATGACAGCTTACATGAAGCCTCCATCTCAGACCATGACCGTTACAAACGTCTGCTGGAAAAAGCAGCCAGATTTTTTACTATCTGCCAAAAGGTAAGAGTGATGGCCAGGTGGCTCTCTCTAAGTGGGAATTTAGCACAACCACTGGGAAACTCTCTACCTGGGCACCACTTAACTCATCTATAAGAAAATAACCAAAACGTCTGCAGCACTCACCTCAGGAATACTGCAGGTATGCTAATTACAAATACAAATGTGTTAATGAACAAGCACATAGAATGTACATAGAATGATAAATGTAGTTTGAAGGTGCCAAAGTTTTACATTCTCAGAAAATGCACCTTCTCAATACTGCCATATTTTTCTGTTGTACCCTTATCTACCCAAGTCTCCAAATAAGAGACTGGACCAGGGTTTCCCAAACTTGAGTCTCCAGCTATTTTTGGACTTCAACTCCCATCATCCCAAACTAGCAGGACCAGTGGTCAGAGAGGACTGTAGTCTAAAAACAGCTGGAGACTCAAGTTTGGGAAACACTGGACTGAACCCTGGAATTCTAGAAGCATGCTGGCAAGTTCTCAGTTCTGTGCAGAAGCAAATCGATGCATTCGTTTTCCTCATGAGACATCTCCATATGTATGGAATTCACTTAAGTGACCATCAGTGTGTCTGCAAAACAATTAATGAGGAGAGGACTCGAGATGAGTCCTAGGTCCATATATGCTCCAAGCATATTTACCAAGATGACTCATGGATATTTTCCCCCAGTGTGATGAATTGCTGTATGCATTATCCCCCTACACGTACATTATGAGTTCACTCTGCAAGATCAAACAATGTACTCAAAATTGTTAAGACAAAAAGAGAGAGAGCTACTTCTTTTTGAAGTTATAGCTCTTTACACACTGCAGTAAATCTTTGAACATATTAAAATGCCTAAAAAGGCAAAAACAATGATCTGTCAAGACTTATGTAGAGTTAACTTGTTCCAAGCATCTTCATTATAAATGAAGAAACAGATGCTGCAATTATATTTCGGCAAGGATTCCTGACCGACTGACAGCCACCAGTACTAGCCACTGCATGGAGAAGAGCCAAAATTCAATGGCTGGATACTAGTTTTGTATGCAGGTGGCAAGAGCTCAAATCCTGACATCTATTCTGTACATTAAGCAGACTTAACTTCTGTGATCTTAGGTGGCTGGAATGGGAAATACATTTACTCAAGAGAGACATTGCCAGTTGATATGGTACTTGGTTAGATGGATCAGCGGTGGATAGCTCAGTTGGTAGAGCGTGGTGCACATTCGATCCCCCTAGGCGAGAACTGCATATTCCTGGCATTGCAAGAGGTTGGACTAGATGATCCTCAGGGTTCCTTCCAACTCTATGATTCTATGACCCTTACGCAAGGCAACTGCATGTTTGTCTGCTGCCCCTACTTTGATGCCTTATGGCAGGATGCAATATATCCTAACTTCATTTTAGCATAACAACCATGCAAGGATGCATTAGGCCATGGACCAAATATGGTTCTACAAGCCTGGCCCCATGCCGCCCCACTCCAGCCCTGAACTCTGATAATGCCTCTCTGCTTGCAGTCCTTGAATGGCCTTTGCTTGAATAATGCCTATTGCTTTTCTGGATGGAAGACAGAAAGGAGTGTGGAATGGATGCAGAAAGTAGCCTAATGTACAAAACTAAAATACACATTCATTGTTTCGGCCACGTTTGCTTCTGACCCTGCCTATTACTGGTACAGAGAATGCATATATTAGGCTTTAAAAGGAGGATATTCTGTGCATAACAGAAGCAAACATAAAAGCAAATCCCCTTAACAATAAGAAATTATCACTTCATAAAACATTCCAGTCTAAGATATCAAGAGAAAGCTTTAAATATAATAATAGAAAACCAATGGTCATTCTGGGTTAAAAGAAAGTTCAAGTATAAAAATAAATGTGGAAATTTCTGAGCTATTGAAGATAAGCAATTCTACTGCTGACTGTAGTTTTCCCCTTCAACAGACCTCATTGTACACAATCAGATCAAGAAAAGCTACGCAGGAAGTCAGAACACAGAAGAGTGCAAAAATGCTAACATACCACTGGATGATTTGGTACATCAGAACTTTAACCACAGGGGTGTGTGTGTGTGTGTGTGTGTGTGGGTGTGTGGGTGTGTTTAGCAAATGGAAATACATGTGTTATACTATACCCCTTGGAGATCTTCTCATAAAAAGGGGGTGGAGGAATCTTTTTGGCCCCATGGGCCAGATGCTTATGAGGTAGTTAGAGTAGAAACTTTGGTTAGCTGTCCTCCTGTTCATAAGCAGCACCTTAGTAATGTAATGGTTACATCTCAGCTAGTAATGGTTGTTCACATGTGATTGATGGCAGAAGTCCATTAGCAACTGGCCCAATCTATACCAATTTGTCCTTTTTTTCAGAATACCTTGTTGTCCAAACACAATGATGCAATTAATGCAATGATATTAAAGTGAACAAACAAAATCCTGATGCGGTGCTGGAATTTACTCCAGAAATAAAAGACTAAACACTGCAGGTGTATTTGATATTATAGGGGCCAATATTTTTAAAAAGCTTAATGTTAACAACTCAGTCTTTTGGGTTGCAGGGTGGGAAGGTGGAGAGAGGAAATTAATTCAAGGGAAGACAGAATAGTGACTGTACATTGCACAAGATTTAAGGTGCAGCTTATACTCTTTATGACAGTGAGTTCTTATTTCTCTTTTTCTGTATTTCAAGAAAGCCACTTTCCCTTAGACCCAACTCTTCCAAGTTGCATTGTGGGAGCAAACTGGGAGAGGAAGACTGTAACGTGGTATGAGTATCGGGCACTTCAAACTGCTAGTCTGACGTAGCATCACAGTGTCTCTGCTAATCTTATATTGCTACATGCAAGACCCTTGATGCTCAACTCAGAAGTGCAAGCCATTCTTGCTTCTATAAGCTTCACATCTGAACTGTGCTTTCAGTTTTAATACACTTAACAGAAGTTAATTAAAATGGCCAAAACATGAAGTCACTTATTCAAGGCAACCCAAATTGGAACTTGAGAGTTATTAAGCTATCAAAACACTAGACACCCACATACTCTACCTAATTGAGAATTATGCATAATTCCAGTGCCTGACTACACTTATCTTAACATATGTAGCTCCAACAAAATTCTGTCTTGGTTCTAGAAACTGCCACCTACACCAGATTACTAACGTGTGACTGCTGTTAAGAGCTGCTGATTGCATGGTTTTCCTTACATTCAATATTTTGGAACCTAGTATGCCAAGTGTGAATTATTAATATCAAATAATTCAGCTTTTCTTCCTCCTGTTTGCTGAAGCTGCTAAAAGGTAAAGGTAAAGGGACCCCGGACCATTAGGCCCAGTCGCAACTCTGGGGTTGTGGCGCTCATCTCGCTTTACTGGCCGAGGGAGCCGGCGTCATGTGGCCAGCATGACTAAGCCGCTTCTGGCAAACCAGAGCAGCGCATGGAAACGCCGTTTACCTTCCTGCCGGAGCGGTACCTATTTATCTACTTGCACTGCGTGCTTTCGAACTGCTAGGTTGGCAGGAGCAGGGACCAAGTAATGGGAGCTCAACCCGTTGCGGGGATTCGAACCGCCAACCTTCTGATCGGCAAGCCCTAGGCTCTGTGGTTTAACCCACAGCACTAATGAATAATAAATTTGGAAAACTTTTGATTTTATTGCTGGTAACCAATTAAGCTTTAAAAGTTTAAAATGATCTGAAGAATGCAAAAGCCATTTTAAAAGGTTATACATTCTGTATTCAATGAGTTAGAATGACAACCATTTTCATCTGTTCATTTACTATATTTCTACCCTACCAAAAAGGTTTGTAATGGTGGCCCACAAACAAATTCAACCACAAATAAATTCAACCAACCATTGAAGCTCCAATAAATAGAGCAATGATGCAAAGTCAAATACAGTGGTACCTCAGTTGAAGATCAGTTCTGTTTAAGAAAGATTTGGTTTACAAACTCTGAAAAACCGGAAATAGTGTCTTGGTTTGAGAACTTTACCTCGGTCTAAGAACAGAATCCAAACGGTGGAAGGGCACCGGCAGCGGGAGGCCTCATTAGGGAAAGCACGCCTCGGTTTAAGAATGGTTTTGGTTTAAAAACGGACTTCCAGAGTGGATTAAGTTCGTAAACCGAGATACCACTGTACTGGTTTGCTTCTGGGCACAATTTAAAGTGCTGGTTATGGTCTATAAAGCACTACACAGCTTACATGCAAGCCAGCTGCAAGACAATGCTTGACTATTAAACAAAATTGGGGAAAGGAGCTAAGAACAGAAATTGAAGAAGCAGTTTGGAACAAGATACAGACAAAAAAGCCTTCCTAAAATCAACATCATACAATGGAAACAGAATGGATGGACAATTGCTTTCTTTGAGAAACTAAGCAATGTATCCGATATGGATGTTTTTGTTGAAATATGGCACTCCTTTATAAAATATTCAAATGACTGGCAGCCACCAATTACATATATAGATTAATGGGGGAAATTGGCACATTTGTCTTCTGTTCTGAGGGAGTAGGTGGGAGAGGAGAAACCTTTGGAAACATAATGGGTTAGTTATCATTAAGCCAGACTGTAAGCATATGACAAACGAAAAGCTTTAAAGGGATGCTTTACTAGAACAGGATGAAAAGCAGTTAACAACTAGTTCCCAAGGGCCTTAAATTCAGAGGTAGAACACCTGCTTTGCAAGCAGAATGTCCCAGGTTAAATCCTCAGTATCTCAGATAGGGCTGGGAATGTCCCCTGTCTGAATAGTCAAGTGAAGACACTAGTGAACAAGGTGAAACCAATGGTCTGTTTTGCTATGAGGAAGATTCCTATGCTCCTGGCTGGTAGATGTGGCTGTGCTAATAAAGAAGGATGCTTGCAGTACAATGCTTACAGAAGATGATAGATAAGCTATCCCTTGCACAGAGCAAAATCATTACATAATCAGTACAAGGAGGCATGCCCCTACAAGGCAGCAAAGTCTCATTTATACCCAATTATTTGTTCTCCATCAATGGAAGTGAAGCAGCAATGAAGTGCCGAATGGTTGGACAGATTAATGCTCATCTTCTTGAGTCAAATGCCTAACATCAATAGTGCTTTATACTCTAATTATTCTCAAATGGTGCAACTTTTTTCTAGGTAAGAATATTCTTCCAAGTGAATCGTCTTAGCTCCAACATCAAATGAGGCTATTTTCTAAAATGGCTTACCTTGTTTAATGATGTACAGTACTAAGGGCCAATGCAATGACAAACAAAGACTTCTGCTATCAAACAACCTTCAGCTCTCCCTTATATAAAATACCAGGTCGATAATACTTTGTCTGTGACTGTAACCCAACTACACATTTAACGGATGTCTTCTGAGGCTCCTATATTTAATTACGCTCCGTTTCAGATCTCTGATTTTACAGGGAAAATAGAGCCATTGCTCTAAATGAAAAATGACCAGTGAAAGGTTTACCGAACTGAAGCATTTTAGCTTCAGTTAAGTTTTCTACTGAAACTTTGGGTAAAACAGCAGCAAAACACCCAACATAAGGCTTCCAAGATCATATCAAGTTCACAACACATACATAGTTTTACATTCACTAGCAATCTGTTACCACTACTAAAGATGCAGTCCAGTGATAGTTAAAGCAATCTGTTTCCAAATAAAATTTGTGGTCATTCAATAAGTCAGGCTCCCATCGGTAGCTTCTGTAATGAAATGTAGAGCGAAAGTACAGATAGGGAAAAGGGTAGAAAGAAGCAAAGGGTTAGGTCCCACAGAGAGACTTCAAAATATATCTGTGAGCCACTGGGTGTACAAGTTCTGCTGAATCCAGACGAAGTTGTTTCAGAAATTACAGGAGCAAAAGATTAAAAACCCACCCACCTAGATTTATCTTCAGAGAGAATACAGGGCACATTACAGAGATATAGTAAATTTATCTACAGCTGAAATTATGAAATTGGAAGTGAAAGATCCACTGGTCTGTCAAACAAAACCCATCTTATCTGGAAATCAAAGTTCATGGTGCTCAAGGCTACTGCTAATGCAGAAGTATTTATTTCTATGTCAATAGTTCAGGAGGAAATGCTGCAAAGAGCCTCAGGTCCAGAATTTAGCATGGAAATTATTTTTAGCCCCTGGACCAACCGGGTGGGGGAGTTCCTCTTAGGATAATGACAGGCAGGTGTGGGGAACCTATGACCTTTCAAATGTTGCTGGACTACAACTTCAGTCATCCATGGTTATTGGAGATGTTGGCTGGAGCTGAGGTTCAACAAAGTCTGCAGCTTCACAGGTTCCTCACTTGTCTTAGGATGTGTCTTTCTTTCAACACTGAGTAAACAAAACCAGCCCCAGCTTAAACATAATTAAGAGATATGGTTTCTAGGCAAAAGGGTATGATCTATAATCACACACATCCTTGATGCTGGATGGCAAAAGTGTTTCTACAAGGTTCAGGGGACAAGATGAAGAATCCAGTATCAGTATATTCACATAACAAGGGCTGGGGTGTGTGTGTGGAGCATATCTCCTACTATATCTGAATAGATTGAGAAAATTTGGGCCATAGTAGCTATGATTAGAAGGGGAAGAAATGGAGGCAGTGAGAGGTTTTACTTTCTTGGGCTCCATGATCACTGCAGATGGTGACAGCAGCCACAAAATTAAAAGACGCCTGCTTCTTGGCAGAAAAGCAATGACAAACCTAGACAGCATCTTAAAAAGCAGAGACATCACCTTGCCAACAAAGGTCCATATAGTAAAAGCTATGGTTTTCCCAGTAGTGATGTATGGAAGTGAGAGCTGGACCATAAAGAAGGCTGATCGCCAAAGAATTGATGCTTTTGAATTATGGGGCTGGAGGAGACTCTTGAGAGTCTTATGGACTGCAAGAAGATCAAACCTATCCATTCTGAAGGAAATCAGTCCTGAGTGCTCACTGGAAGGACAGATCCTGAAGCTGAGACTCCAATACTTTGGCCACCTCATGAGAAGAGAAGACTCCCTGGAAAAGACCCTGATGTTGGGAAAGATGGAGGGCACAAGGAAAAGGGGACGACAGAGGACGAGATGGTTGGATAGTGTTCTCGAAGCTACCAGCATGAGTTTGACTAAACTGTGGGAGGCAGTGGAAGACAGAAGTGCCTGGCGTGCTCTGGTCCATGGGGTCACGAAGAGTCAGACACGACTAAACGACTAAACAACAGCAACAACAGGTATGATTAAGCTAACTTCTTACAAAAGAATAAACACAAACCAGCCTGGCTTAGTTTATGGAAAAATATGTATTTTGGGTAATGTTTCGGAACAAGTTCAGTGATAATGTCTACTCCTATGCTGCTTTCAACATGCTGTAACAGTAGTTCTTTATGCTCTCTCTTTGGTTCATTCTTAATAATGATAATATGATATGCAACCAGACTGGATTGCCAGCTCTCATCTTTTAAAAATGAGGCACAATTAATCTGTAGCATATTTTACACCCTCACAATGAAACAGAAACATTAACACAGATTTGTTCTGAATTACATTCTACTCTTCTGAAGACAGACTTTCACAAAAGTGGGTGAACGTGGCACATGTATTATATTTAGACAGCTAGATTTGTATCCAAGATTCTTTTGAAGGCTCGGGGGAGCTTACAAAGACATCTATCTAAAATATGCCAAAATATTTTCTAAATATAGCACAGGAAGCTGCTCTACACCAAATCAGATCACCGGTCCATTCTAGGTCAACAATGTCTGAACTGACTGGCAGCAGTCAGTCTCTCTCTCTCTCTCTCTCTCTCTCTCTCAAATACAATAGCCTAGGGTTATCCCAATGAAATTGGTTAGCAGCAGATTCAAGACAGACAAAATTACTTCCCTGCAGTCATTAGGTGCCCCAAGTCTTGGTGATGGCTGCCAGATTAGAAAGGGATTAAAGACAATTACAAAAAAATGGGCTATCTATGAGCAATAGACATAATGGCTACAGGGATCCTCCGTGTTCAGAGGTAATGTGCCAATGGGTATCAGATGCTGGGGAACAATGATTGGGGGGCAGGGGTTTCTGGCTTCATGCCCCAATTGGATCCAGCTGGCCACTGTAGGGAACAGGATGCTGAACAAGATAAAGTAGACATTTGATGTAATCTATAAAGGTCCGAAAAGCCAATATAACCTAGATCTTAACTCTGCCCCCTCCCGCACACTAAAATCCATTGATTGATAAAAATTATGTTTTTGCTTGGTACCCAACAGATTGCAGTGTTGGTGCTTCTGCAGAGGGCATTTCATAAACAGATGCAACCGCCTAGAATTACCTCTCCCTTATAGGGGCTGTTCGTACTTTGATGGAAAAAGTACATAGAGATAAGCCTCAGCAGATGATTTTACAAAACGGGCAGGCTGATTTGGGAGGAGGCACTCCTTCAGGTATGGGGTGCTATCGGCTTTCTGAATTGTAGCTCTAGGATACTCCTATTCATGCAGGCAGAAATAAAAAGGTTTCCAAGAGCGCTTCTGCATCATTTTATCAGAACACAAAAGGCCAATCCAATCTCTTGACTACCCAACAGATCAGACATGCCGAATTCCCTACCGTGAGCAGATGCCACAGTATGCCAACAAATGATGCAATGTTGCTGCAGGAAAATCCTTGCCACAGTACACTGAAGTATGAACTGGAGCAATAGGACACAGAGGAATCATTTTTGAATGCAGAATGCAAAAACTTACACTCCAGTGTTTCACACAGCATTCCAAGGGAAAAAAATGTTGTAGAAAATTCTGCTTTATGGTACTTGAATATATTTTTTTAAAAAAATATTGTTAAGATCCAGCCAATTCCTTCCTACAGTTGTTAACGCCAGTCATGAAATACGAACCACTTTGATGATATTAATGACCTCAATTCCATTGCATTTAAAATACCATTTAGTTATACTGATTATTAAAAACTATTTCCCCAAAAGACTGTTACACAAGGCTGATGAATTTTTACAGCTAAATCAATTTAACTGAATGTGAAAGGAACATTACTGTAGGAGTGATAAGGTGAAAAACAGAGCACTTGAAGCAATTTAGTGGGGCATAGCACATACAGACTCCGCAGACTGAATATGGCACAGGTCACCTTGCCAAGAAACAATTATACCAAGAAAAATTAATACGGCAAAGGTAACAAGCTGTGCGAGGCTTGAATACAAGCCCAAAGCTGTTATAAAGCAATTTTAATAAGGAACGTTCACCAGACTGTTTTGTTGGAACAGTTGTGATGGAAAGGGCTACAACCAACTCAGTGGCAAAGCACACTTTACATACAAGAGGTTCAGGTTTCCACCCAAAGCATTTCCAGCTTAAAGAATTCACAGCATTGCTTCTCAGAGAGGACAGTGCCCTATTTAAGTTGCTTTGTTAAACCATTCCCTTTGCACACCAGAGCAGTAACATCTCTGCTTCTCTGCACATAATCACAGGTGCCCCTACAACTCCCATCTGTTACTCCCTCAGTTCCATATCTCCCTAGCCTATAGGTCCCTCTGCACTCTGTGTGGGTCGATGAGTGGGCTCTGTGTCTCCCATTCTTACTACTACTCCTTGCTGGGGTAGTAACAGCTCACAAGGCTTTTATTCTCCCAGCATTTCACATACTGAGAAAGACTCAGGTGTGCACAGGTATGCATTATAGTTCTAACAGCCTGTGTAAATGGAGCCAGCTCCACTCTGCGCCTCTGAATCCAGGAAGAATGTAATGTCTGTATTACAGCAGACATAGCGACACAGGTATTCTTACCACTTCTGGTTGGCTTTGATGGGCCTTGCATGAGTCCTGAAAAAACAGAGCTGACGTCACTTCTGGGTTCGGCACTGTGAGCGTGTGAGCGATTGTGCACATATCCATCGTGCCTAAAACAGGGGTTGCCTATACAAGAAAACTTAAGAAAGAAACCCTAAAGAGGCATGGAAGACTGACTGCCTGACCCAAGGGCGGATTGCCTATCCTAGAAGATAGCACCTCTGGCGCACTAGCCAGAACCCTGAACAAGATCTACCTGCATGGCAACGTTTTTGTTTCTGCATGTTTGGTAAAGCTGGACAATGACTTGTAACATCTCCACTTGGTGTTGTTTTAAAGCGACAGGAGGCAGACTACAAAATATCAAGCGGCAACATCATTTCATATAGGCTAGCTAGGTGAACCCATGTACAGTGACTGTATAGTGAACATTTACCTGCCTGGTGAATTACCTGCCTGTTGAATTTCTTAGAGCCAATCCACACACTACATGACAGCTAATCCAGGTTAGCCAACAAGTGGGTGCTCAACAGGAACCCACAGAAGAAGTTACCTGATGGGTGGCTGTAGGATACACCCATTTCCAGAGGAGTCCAATTCACACATATTTTATGGGCACTCTCAGATGTGTGAAGTGGCCCTCATGAGAAGATACTGTACTCTACTATAGTAATAATAATAATAATAATAATAATAATAATAATATATTATATTTATACCCTGCCCATCTGGCTGGGTTTCCCCAGCCACTGGCTGGCTTCCAACGAAAGATTAAAAAACAGTAATTCATCAAATATTAAAAACTTCCCTAAACAGATGTCTTCTAAAAGTTAGTTAGTTGTTTATTTCTTTGACATCTGATGGGAGGGTGTTCCACAGGGCAGGCGCCACTATCGAGAAGGCCCTCTGCCTAGTTCCCTGCAACTTCGCTTCTCGCAATTAGGGAACCACCAGAAGACCCTCGGCGCTGGACCTCAGTGTCTTTAATATCTGTTTTTAATGTTCCTTATCAACATTGCTAAGGGAGAAAACAAGTCTTCAGGTGGAAGAAGAACACTCTACCCTTTCACAACTCAAGTTTTCCATTAAAAGCTGTGAAAGAGCACCCTCTTTTGGTTAAATGTTGTCAATGTCATGGACTTTAGCAATATGTTCCATCAAGAACATTTCTTCACAGGTTATTTTTCTTTTTGCAAAGTTTTCAATCTCAGGTATTTAAACACAAACTTAAAACTGCTGCAGTAAAATTCACAACCCAATACAATTGGCTCACATGCAGCTTAAAACAGCAAATCAGACTAAGAGGCAGCATTTTAATCTCCATACTAAACCCCACACCAACCTACCTGCAGCATTTAGAAGTGAGATAGGATAGACATCCTATATGTCTAGGGTCACCAAAATGGCATTCATGGATGTAATGGGTGTCCCTGAGGCTTCCCCTGGCACCCATGAATCCTCTGAGCCTCCCCACAACACTTAACTGCCCCCTTTGCTCTGTAGTATGTACTTTAAATGTTCAGATTCAGGTAGGTGTTGGTCTGACGCAGTCAAAATAAAAAATTAAAAAATAGTCCTGTAGCACTTTAGAGACCAACTAAGTTTGTTCTAGGTATAAGCTTTCGTGTGCATGCACACTTCTTCAGATACAGTGGTACCTCGGGTTAAGAACTTAATTCATTCTGGAGGTCTGTTCTTAACCTGAAACTGTTCTTAACCTGAAGCACCACTTTAGCTAATGCGGCCTCCTGCTGCCGTTGCGCCGCCTGTACACTGAAACAGAAGTCACCAGACTCATATATGTAGTGCGAGGGTGGGGTGGGGTGTTTCTGAGAATGTTTGCTTTTGGCAAACATTATATAAAATAAGACTGTGGGAAAGAAATGATCGGATCACAAAGTAGTAGAATGGACTAATGGCAAGTGGGGAAAGGGAAATACATTTTAAATGTACAGTGGTGCCTCGCAAGACGAAATTAATCTGTTCCGCAAGTCTCTTCGTCTTGCGGTTTTTTCGTCTTGCGAAGCACGGCTATTAGCGGCTTAGCGGCTATTAGCGGCTATTAACGGCTTAGCGGCTATTAACGGCTTAGCGGCTTTAAGAAAAAGGAAACAAACTCGCAAGACGTTTCGTCTTGCGAAGCAAGCCCATAGGGAAATTCGTCTTGCGGAACGACTCAAAAAACGCAAAACCCTTCGTCTAGCGAGTTTTTCGTCTTGCGAGGCATTCGTCTTGCGGGGCACCAATGTACCTTTATGCTTAAAAATAAATCCTGCAAGTAGGTAGGCTAGAACCTTTCTTATCTGCTTTTTTGGGGGTGCGGGTGGGGGGTTGCTTGCTTGCTTAATTTTGCTGGGCATTTGTGAAGGGGGAACATTAAAAACACAGTACCCACCATTTGAAGCCTGAAGTAGCGAAGAGCATTCTAGCACCTCATGTGTGGTCTAAGCTTAAGTATAGGCTATAAAACAGCATGCTTAGTTTATTAATATTGTTAGTATAAAGCTATTTAAGAAACAGAAGTTGGTGATATCAACTGCTCCGCTTTGCTCCACAGCCCCAGCATAACTGCACTTATTTGTGTGCTTTAACATAGGTTTTAGAGACTACAGCTAAATGGAAACATCTGCTTTCTACTTCCAGGACCTGACTACCACAGAAGGTAGAGACACACTGCAATGTATACTGCATGTACTCAATAAAATGGTTTTTGCAAAACACTGTTCAGTTAAATAACCTCGTGGTCCCTTCCAACTGTACAATTCTATGAAAGTTTCATTTCTCATGTTATGCTCCCTCCAGTGGTGGAAAGGAGCATTTTTCAGTAGAATGAAGAACCACAATGAGACAAAAATAGACAGCTGAACTTTCATTTTCTATAACCTACACCTGGATGTAGACCATGCTGTAATATCACAGCCTAACAATGAAGCAGACTCAGCCCAAATTCAAAGAACACAAATGAAAAATACATTTTTTAAACATTATTTTCTTAGATTCATAGAGGTCAGTTTTCACTGGTCACATCATAGTAAGCAGGTATCACAGCTAGCTTGCTTTATGTTACAAACAAGTCAAACTCGTTTTTGATTGAAAGAACAATCCTTGATTATAAGGATGCCATGCCAAAGTAGCAATTACTAGTAATTCAAGTATATGAGTGAATGCAATCTAGGAAAACCAACAGTATGTCAGAACAGCAGCTGCCTGCATTCTCGTTATTACTCTAACATGCAACCAACTGGCATATCATAATCACAAACGCCTGTATGGCCCATATAGATTCAACAATCATTCCGGCCAGCTGCACAGGGGGCAAGAGGACAATCCTCTGAATTCCATCAAACACCAGGCACTTGCTGACTCAAGATTAGCTAGGCCACATAGACATTATATCCTAAGCAATTCGTGTTCTTGCATCGTTTCATGCGACTGATTCTATTAATGCAAATCACTTCCCTTTTCCATTTACAGGAAGAGGCTTCTTCTTAGTACATAGCTGAACAAAGTTCATTTTCTCTTTACCATCCTGTCCAGCCTCCTGCCACTCACAATGCACCAGAACAGTGGATCACAATTTAAGCTTTTTATCCTGCATGGAAGAATATTTGTCATCTGAGACTTAAGACATGGCTAGGCAACCCAAGGGCTTGGACACGTCACTTTCTCCTCTAACGCCACGTCACAAATGGCTTTGCAAAGTCCCCTTAGTTTCAATAGAACATTTTTCCCCCTGTGGCAAATGTAATGGGCAAGCTCCCCGCTTTTCAACTCTGAGAAGAGTTTGCCAAGCAGTTTCCCCAAGAATTAGGAAATGGTTTCCAAGAAAATTAGTCTCTAGGAAATACTGGGGTTAAATTCCCCCATGCCTAGGGTAGCCTAGGCAACCAGTCAAGAATCCGGACTCCAAAAATAAGTGGCTTCCAGCTGTACAGGTTAAAGTTATTGATAGACTAAGATTAAAGATTAGGATTAAAGATGTTTAAGGAAATGGAAATTTGGTACTTAAGAGGTAAAAATTTAATGTTATATTATAATAAGATTAAAGATTAGGATTAAAGAAGTTTAAGTGTTATATATTATATCAAGATTAAAGATTGGGATTAAAAAAGTGGAAAAGAAATTGCTGGACAAACAATTTGGACTGGAATACAAAAGAGGGAGGTATGAGGAAGTCCAGAAAATAAGTAAATTTAAAAACGGAAATGGAAAAGTGATATTGTTTTTAATTATTCTGTTTCTTTTTAGTTTTTGTTTTGTATTTTGTTTTCTGTGTTTTCTTTTTCTTTTTGGACTATATATTGTGTGTTTTTGTATTTCTACTTTTATGTTCTTCTGTTTAACTTTTATTGAAATTTTAATAAAAATTATTAAAAAAAAAAAAAGAATCCGGACTCCAGTGTCAGTCAAGCAGGATGGCCCCACCATGGAAGTGGGCAAATGGTGTGCCAACATTTGAACCGGGCACCTATTTCTACCAGTACACAAATCATGATCTCATCCATATTTGGGAAAGCTTCTGACTTCTGCTGCTTAAGCACATGTCATGACTTCAAGGTTTTCAGCCTTCCCTCTCCCTCCTTCCACTAGTTTCTTGCGACAAGCACTTTGTGATAAGCACCTGGACCTATGTCATTCCACAAGAATGTTTATGGTTTCTCTGCTCAGTCCTTCACCTACATTCTATTTACATTCCATTTCTCATTAACATCAGCTCAGAAACCCTATGATGCTCCCAATGATGTCATCGGGAGAACAATAGGGTCTGAACACTCCTCTTACCAACTCCCTTCCCCAACTGTACCTGAGGGAACTTCTTGAAACCTTGGATGGTGCCATGTTCCAGAGAACGCCCCACACTTTGCCACTGCCTTGTACGTTCTGGAGGAAGAGTGTGTGTGCCAACAACAACCCCCAATGTGAGTAAAATCTAAATGTAAAGAGCCTGAACTCAGCTAAAGGTTTCCAAACTGAGAAAAATTCTCCAAAACACCCATTCAAAAATTTGTTCCCTGTCACTGCTGGCATGAGAAGGGTATCACATTGCTTTAAAGCTTAAAAGACTGCACTTTATTATAATGAAAAATGCACTTACTCTTCATTGTACCCTCATCTTCTTCATCTTCAGCATTTATGACCATTGTTCCCAGTTGTGACTCTAACGTGTCATTGTATTCTATCATGGTATTGATACCATCACTCATTCCACAAGCAGCTCTGATTGTACCAGTCTCTTGTCCCTGTGCCCGCACCATGGTCCTAGCGTCAGTTTCATCTTCTTCCTGAATAGAGATGCAAGAGATAAAAATTTGAATCAGACTAAGCAAGGTATCAGTATTTCTCCAAGACAATGCAATTAGAATTGAAAGGAGTGTGTAATGTTAGTTTACATATCTGATTCTAGTTCGTTATCAGTTAGTAACAGTTTCTTTTCAATGGACAGCAAATATTGGACAGACAGCTTTGAAGATCGAAATCTGCTATTTAATCAAGTTATACATTACCAGCAACAACAGAGGAATGTTAAAAAGCTTTGCAAAAAAAAGTTAACTGCAGAAATTTTAGAAGTTGAAGTAAAATTATTAGTGCGAACAAATGTTACATAATTTAGCAACAGATCGTAATGCTGAGATTCCACTTTCCTGTAACCAATATTTTAAATTTTCCTTCAAAATACTGATTATGATAGCAGATAGCATTTTGGCAGAGGAAGCACCACACAAAACTGTGAAATTACTTGATGAAGTCCTGAACTTATGCAATCCTTCCACAAAGTGGGCTTGTATGCTGTGTCAGGTTCCTTGGAGGAAGGACAGGGTCGAAGTGTTAATAATAATTATGCAAAATATTACACTTCTTTTTGTTCAAAACTGCCTCTTAACTTTGACGTCGGGGATTCTAAACAGATGCATGTTTTTAATTTGCCAACACGTATCATCTAGAACAGTGGCTCCCAAACATCCAGGAAAAAAGACTTTGGCAATCCAACCCAGCATTGAACCCAATGTGTTTTGACTACAAGTGATTTTGGCTTTAGGCGCAATCCCCAGAATGTAGCCCCCACATAATTTGAGGCCTATTTCACTACACTACACTTAGTGTATTTCACTAAGTGTATTTCACTACACTTTTAGCTGTATATAACAGCCTTGTTGGCTGTTTTCTACTTCCTTTGTTTTTAGAGTCTTGCTGTTTTTTCTATATTGCAAGAAGATTGCATTTTATTGTTGCGAACCACCTTAGAGGCGCCGAAAGGGGATACATAAACTACTTCCATAATAAAAAAATAGTCTAATGTGAAGTGAACAAGCCCAAATAAGCTACAGCAAGCTGCTTGTTCCTCACTTTCCTCTCTTCCTCCTCCATAGCCAAGAGAGAAATTCAGAAGGTCTCTCCTCTGCTTTTGCAGAACATGCATTTCCAGTTTATGCATTTTTATAGAGCTATATCCCAAAGTATCTGGAATCCACCAGGTAAAGGGTGGCTTATTTGGAAAATAATTTCACTGATCTTCTGCTGATGCATTCTGATATCTGTTTGAAAAAGCTGTTTATTTCTCTAGTCACATCTGGTCCCAACTCTGACCCACTTGGGCAATTTAAGGTCATTTCTGTAGCTCTCCACAGTCTTAGGCAGAAGGGCTTTCCCAGCCCTGCCATCCAGGATCCATATATTTCAAGGATAGAAAATGTCCCACATACAAAATGTGACCCAGAAGGTTTCCCCCATTTGGCCCATGAGGCAATTTCCCCCAAACCACACCCACCTGCCCCACTCCAACCGTCATGTGTGATGTCAGGTATGGGGTTGGTAAAGTTGTGACTGGATCAGCTGATCGTGCAGCTGAACTCTGACAGGCAGGAGAGGCAACCAACCTGTCAATCACCTGACCTCTCTGACATCAGATGACAGACCTGACCCTGCCCACCTGCCAAAGTTGAGCCCCAACTCTGCTACACTTGAACATAACAGGTATTGAACCTGGGACCCTTCTGCATGCACGACATGTACTCTGCTATTGATGTAGAGCCTTTCCTTTCCATTTAAGCAAGAAGATTTCAAGTCGACTTGCTTGCTCACTATATTTCACCAGCTGCGGTTAGTTCCAAGGCCACTGACCTACTGAGGGACTTGGGCGTAATTTTTTCAGAAAGCAGACTTTAAAAAACTGACACAGAAATTATGAACTGCCAACACAGCTAATAGAGGGGTACAGAGCAATGCTACTACAGGAAGGACAATGGTTAAGTAGTTTTAGCACTCACTGAATTTTCTTCATCATCATGATACATCTCACGCTGTTGAGCTTCCTGAATTTTCAGTTTAATATCCATTGCTTCATTAATCAGGTCTCGTAGGATGAAAACTCCTTTGGCATTTTTTACAAATGGATGCTAAAGAAGACACATTAAGAACGATGAACTTTGAACAACATGTAGCAACAAAAGATCTTAACCCCGAGCTATGTTAATCCTTTTAATTCTGTTGATTTTGTAATGCAAGTTTATTCAAGCATGGCAGCCCTACCCAAACAATGCAATCTACAAGGCAAATGCATTTCTACTATGTTATGTGTAAACACTTCAATAGCTTAGGACACAAAAAGGACTGTTAATGCCAAATGATCTGCCTAATTTTGCAAAATGGGTGGAAAGTAGTAATTAATATGAATATGAAAGTATGCATGTTAGTTCTGATCTATACACATTTTTTATCAGCAACAGTACATTTTGTTCAGACAGCTACGATATAGAAGATTCCACAAAGCCTCCCCTGACTATGGAAATAGGAATTTCCTGAATGTTAATTTGGGAGCAAGCCTCAATGAACTGAGTTGCTTCTGAGTAAATATGCATAGGACCTGATATTTACAAAGCAGCTGCACAATCACCAAGCACAGAGGTATAAGGAATCAAATATAATCCAATCCCCTGCCCAAGAAACAGTATCCTATACCCAAAGCATTCCTGGATCAGTGTTCACTTTGCCTACTGATAACCCCCACCAGGCAGCAACATACTTTATTTTTTAAGCACTACAATCCAACTCTACTATCTAAAACTTAGAAGCACAAGATGATCAGCAACAAAACTGCTACAATGGAGGGGAGACCGGGGACAGACAGGAAAACTGCCTGTCTATTTCCCCAACAGACAAATAATTTTATTTATTGCTTTACATTCCAACAGATACTGACCTGAAGCAGCTGCGTGGCAGTGGCTCTTTTTTCTGGACACTTCACAAGACACTGCTTTACAAAGTCTGTGAATTCGTCTGACCAGAGTTCCGGCTTCCGGAATGTTGGAGGTGGATTTGTTGGAATCATGAAAATTGCCTGCAAACAAAGTATCTATTTTTTCTACCTGCTGTTGACCTTATATATTTTTTTTAAGTATAAATCAAACAATGACCACACTGAGAAAGATTTTGCAAGGGTGGACCAAAGTTCTTGACAGCGTTGCACAGGGGATGGCTAATGATGACCCCAAGCCACTAACTGGAACCCTGAGAAGTACCCACCTCCATCATAATTCTCCACCATAATTCCACCAGTGGAATTGGTGGCAGCCACCAATACATTGTACTGTTTCTTATGCGCTGCTTTTCATATTCAGAGGATAAGAGTATATCTTTCAAGCCTGCTAACTGCAATTGTATTCAAACTGTACTCTGCATAAGCTGGGTTCAGAATCAAAATGCTGCTGTTCTCATGGAACAACCGGACTACATACAACCTTTGGCAGCTTTCCTTGCAGTCCCCAAAACCCCAGGAAGCCCTGCCCACTTTCCTCAACTGCTCAGCCGATTAGCCGTCAGCTGGGTGGCAAGGAAAAGACTTATCAGCTTAGTGACTTTGGTTGTATTGGGATGGGGGGCAGTTAAAAGCCTCCATTCTCCAGCAATCCCAGTGTATAAAAGATCAATGTACCCATGCTGTCTCAGAAGGCATGAAGTGTGTGTGAGTGTCTCTATGTGAAGCTTACTGAACACTGTTGTATAGAGCTGCAGTGGGAAGGAGGGATCAGCTGAAATCAAGCAGAAGATCTTGCATTGGTGGAGCTCCACTCTTGCAAGGTTCTTCCATCCAATTTCAGGCAACCCCCTCACCCCCCAACTGCAGGCTCCTGTATGACAAAACCTGCAATGTTCAGAAGTTCCTCCCAGACTCCAAGGAGAGGCTTTTTCGGGGAGGGGGGGATTTGAAGGAAAGACAGGTTTGTGCAAGCTGGCATCTGCTTAGGCAATCTGTTGATACAAGATCACTATACTATCCTTTCCTTTGGAGTGTTTCCCTTCACCCATTGTGAAACTGATGTTAAGAGAACAGGCTAGTTTGGTGCTGCAAGGTCAAACAATTGATGTGTTGAGACAACCTTCTCTACACATTAAAATAATGTGTGACATGGTTACAGGGCCACATGGGCTAGGCCCTTCCCCACTGATGTTCACACCCTCCATGTAAGGCCCCTCACAAGACCTGTTGAACGCAAAAGCAGCAATGTGCAACCCTGCTGCCCCACTCCCTCAACACATGACAGGGCACCCATAAGATCATGCAATGGCGTATTTAAGAATCTGGATTCTCACATGTCCATTGAATTAAAACAGGACTTGTGGGTAGACATGGTTGAGATTGCACAGTTAAGTCTGGTTACCCAACACTTACCCTCATCGGGTGAATATCGGCATAGGGTGGTTTTCCTTCCGCCATTTCAATGGCAGTAATGCCCAAAGACCAGATGTCTGCTAGACAATTGTATCCGATTTCTTGAATCACTTCAGGTGCCATCCAAAAAGGAGTTCCTATCACAGTGTTCCTTTTTGCCATGGTGTCCTAACAAAAGAAAGGGAACCCAGTCATAAAATGAAGTGCAGCAATTAAAAAACAAACAAACTTAGCCTTTACTAATCTGATGCCCTTCAGACCTTTTGTATAACAACTCCCATCAGTCTGTGTTGGCTAAGGCTGAGGGGAGTTTGTAGTCCACAATATCTGGCGGGCATCAGATTGGAAACAACTGTCCGAGAGGTTATCCAGAGCACATGCTCTCCGTATCTAAAATGTGTTAGAACAGTAACAATCAAATGAAATCTAATCCCCAACATAGTTAAGCCAACAGAAACCGATTATGTTTCATGAAATAGACGTTATTTCTACATTACAGAATGAAAGTTTCACCATGGCTACACCATATTAGCTGATGGCCCCCATGCAAGTCCCTCAGGATCACAGAGCAAAACATGCAGACTGAAGAAGGACCAGCATCTTGTGAGGGCTGAATAAGTCACAGCATCTGTGTAAACAATAGTAGCAGCAGCTTCAAAACAGACCATTAAAGTAGTAGCTCTGCCTACTCCTCCCAAGGCGTATGGGGTGGGGGGGCTGCCAGCTAATGTGCACCAGCTCCAGGAAACGAAATACTGAATGAAACACAAGCAGAAAAATGTATATAGACAATATTTACTCACTGTGAGTTGGCCTGCTACCCCAAAATCCGCAAGTTTAGCATGCCCTTCTGTATTGAGTAGTATATTGCCAGCTTTGATGTCACGGTGTATTTTCCTCATGAAATGGAGGTATTCCAGCCCTTTGAGTGTTGATTGTATTATTGTAGCGATTTCATCTTCCATCAACTGAAGGAAGAAATTAACTACATTAACCGATACCAGCAACTAACTGTTGCTAAGAGAGACTGCCAGTGTCCATTATAAATATACAAATGTCCCATCCATCTTACTACTATTATTTATGCAGAATAATTGGGACTCAATATGAGAACTGGTATCTAAAACTTGTCCCTTTCCTTGTCAAATTGGCTCCCAGTTTCCCTGTACACTATGATGATTCCATCAAAACTCCATCACCCTAAATTATTGTTTGCTACACAAAATGGACAGTGAGAAAGTGGGAGTTGAGAGTCTGACAACATCTGGAGGGTCACAGGTTCCTCTTTCCTGCTCTAAAGTACCGTAACTAAGAACTGACATATCCTGCTGCCTCCTAATACAATCAAGAGCCACCATGCATACAAACAGCCAAATAAAACTGCAAATGCAATGCTTTCTTGAGAAGGTGTATACACCCTGGGGGCATGAAAGAGGCAGTAGAGAGGCTATGGACTCAGGCTACTGTTACCATCTCAATAGCAACAATGAGAAGGAATACACTATGTACTTTAACATCTTATGTCAGTCAAAGAAAACATCAAGCTAATTACCAAAAGGATTTAAACACAATGCTATTTACTTAATTTCATTTCCTTTATCGAGAGCATTCCTGATGCACCTCATCCTGAAGTGATTTACAACACAGCAAGAACTATACACAAGACAAATGTGTATATAAAAACAGCTAAATCATTTGCGCACACACACACACACACACACACACACCAACCATCACCATATATAAAATCAATTCAAATCCAACAGATACCAGCTGAGATAAAAAAACCTCTACTTAGAAAGCTTGCTAAAAGAGGAACATCCTGAATAGACACCAAAAGTATAACAGAAAAAATGCCAAGTTCAACACTAGACATTAAAATGCCCTATTAGCACTTGATGCTTTTGTCTGCAGAACATCACACATTTATGAAGATGCTGAAGGAACACCTACCGTTTTATTTCGCAGTCGAATAATATCAGACACAGATCCGGCACCGCAATATTCCATGACAATCCAGAGGTCCGTGTTCTTAAAATAGCTGCCATAGTATTTGACTACATGAGGACTAATAAAAATTAAGATGTGTCACTGAAGTACACATTTTGCATTTACAAAAATGAAAATCAGACTTAGTACAATATTGTGGGGTCCTATTAAAAGCACAAACTTGGAAAAAGGAAATCCCCTTCCATAGCTCTGCTATTTCATTCGTCTGCCGGAAGTGTGCATAGTGATATTTCACTGGATAGAGTGAAAGAGCTTGATTTATTTGGTCTGCAGTGGCTGGGCAATACTCTACTAAAAAGGAAATAAAACCATGCAAGAAGAGCTATATCCTTTGAAGCAGTAGCCAACATTGCCAGAGCTAAGGATTATATGAGAGATGTTACCATAATAATGGTAACAGCCATTAGTTAGGGTAACAGCCAAACTCTGCAATGTTCTACTGTACCAGCATGAAATGTAAGGAAATCCCTATGGCATCAAGCCACTGGCCCATCTAGTCCAGCATCCTATTCTCACAGCAACCAACCAGATACGTATGAGAAGCTCACAAGCAGAAACTGAGTGAAAAAGCAATCTTCCCACTTGTGATTCCCAGCAACTGGTTTTCAGAACCATATGTCTCTTATAGTGGAGTGACATTTTACTTAATATGCAGCACATTTTATCAATTATATTCGCATTACTTTCTATATAGCACATACTACTTTATAGTCATATGGCACATTTCAAAAGCACGCTCCATATATTCTCAGTAATCCTTAAAAATGACCCTAGAGGCATTGACGTGAGGGTGGAACTTTTCAATAGCAAAGAATCAGTATGATAATAGTTTTCAGGGCCATTAGTTTTAAATTTAATGCAAGAGGCATCTGCTCTTGAGCTGTCATGTCTTAAAAATGCAAGTATTTCAATAGAAAAACTTTCCAAGTAAAGCTTTTGATAGATTTATTTAAACCACATTAAGGCTGCACTGCACTCCTCTTTTCTCACTCTACCATGTAAAATGTATTTCCTGCATGCTGCTTTTGCTGGAAGTTTGGGGGCACTCATGATAGATGGGAGGGGCTCTCACCACCGGTGAGTGAAAATACGGACCAGGTGCACTTACCTATCACATTGTTGCATTATGGATATCTCTTTAATGATCTCCTGCAAGTCAGATTCAACAGGAACTTGCTTAATTGCAACAACCTGGCCCGTTTCTTTATGGATAGCTTTGAAAACGCTGCCATAGGACCTGTAACAAGAAAAACAGGCTTTGAACACCGTAAGAGGTGATACAGAAAGGAAAGACATTAAATCGTATGCTAAAGTGCCCGCCACACTCAAGCACTCAACACTGCATGAAAAACTTGCATAAAGATTAATATGGTACCAGCCTTGCTAAGTTGTTCAACAATCAAGAGTTGTGATGGCAATCACTTGCAGGATTTACATGATGCAGGTGAATATACAATGTATAAAGCATTCTGGCAAGAGACAGGTGGGCTTTTTAATCCCAATTTTAAAATTAATAAACATTACACATAGTAACCGCTGAATAAGCTACCTATAGAACACTGTCACTTTTTTATTTGTATAAGCAGTACAATGAACAACAAGCTGTTTTGAAGCTTGTGGCACACATAAGAACCAGCACCTGCATGTCTCAGCGCATTACCTGCACTTTTTGTTACCTGCACTTACCCTTCTCCAAGTTTTTCTAGCACATCAAATACTTCTTCGGGTTGTTTTGTCAGACTATCTTCATCTAACTTCCTTAGCTGCCTGTGGCAAAGGAAATAAAATTTCAGTTATGCTATGCAAATATCAGAGGCGGCTTTCATACATATATTTTAAAACTCATTGTCAGATGTAGGAGACAGTGTTCAATCAGCCTTATCAGTCATCATAATTCTTTAACAGCGCAAATAGCACTCTTCTACCCATACTGAGGGAAAGCCCCGATATCAAGGGTAGCCAATGCAATGCCCTCCAGATGTTATTAGACTCCAAATGCCATCAACCCAGTCAGCATAGCCAATGGACAGGATCAAGCTGGGAGTCCAACAACATCTGGAAGGCACTACATTGGTCTACATGGTACAAAAACCAATGCAAAGAAGTTTAAGAGCAAGGAGAAGAGCGGCATTCAAAGCTTTGAGCCACAATGGCTTTGGAAGTGATACCAGCCCTATAGCACCACTGAATCAGTGTTGTTGCAGTGGCTTTTTAAGGAGCCTATAGGAGCACAAGGGGTAATGCACACACAATCTATTTTCTCTCATAATCGCCCGTATTTTCTGTTGCATTGCACCTTTCAGAGAACAATGCTTTTTTAAAAAAAGGTTTTTTTTTAATTTTTAAAAATGGGAACATGCTGAAATGTTCATTGTTCACTTTCAGATGTTCTATGTTTATTAATAAAAGTTACTTATAAGTAAAGAATGGAGCTATATATTAGAAGTGCTAAACAAACATGGGGACCTACAACAGATACATTTTTTTACCAAACAGAAAGAAAATGTGAGTTATACTTTTCACATTTCAGAGGCAGCCTTTTACCAAAAGTGCAAAATCAGTAGTAGCAAGTCCTCAGAAGTCCACGTTTCTGAAAACCCAAAACATATGGCTTTCTGTATTATGTTCTGAATACATAAATAGAAAAGCACATATGTGAAATAAAGAACAACTTTCTAAAATGAAGAAACATGACTAAGATTTCAACCCAGGAAATGGTGAAATACCAGAACTAGCTTCAGCGATAAGCATTAAGACCACAGAACCTGCTCTTGTTTGAAACAGATGTCAACAAATATGCCTAGGTCATGAGTTCTAGTTAATACTGATGAAAAATGTATTATTAGTACATTGTGTACTAATATTCCAGGCCACTACTAATCCAAGTTTAGAAGCCAGTTTCATGTTAAGGCACAATCTTAGAAGTAGGGTTGGTTATTTACTTGGTTAAAATACTGGTGGAATACTGAGACATAAGTAAGAAGAGAGAAGGAAGTGACATACTAACTTTGAAAGCCAACTATTTAAGCGAACATCCATATTAGCAACTTTAATAGATACACAGTTTTTAAGTTTTTTAATACTGCACACGAGTAAGCCACTCTCTCCCATTCATACGCACCACCTTCATGGAACAACCAACCTTGCTGTAAAAAACTGAGCCCTACTTAAAGTGGGGTTGCACTTCCATTTAATCATTATAACCCGTTAGCAACATCTGAACTTGGAAAAACACATATAAAAATGAAGCCAGAAGCAGCAAGTTGATTAACTGTACCAATGATACTCACTATTTCAGTTATGTTATTAGCAACCTATATTGGTACAAGAATAAATTTTCAGTGTGGATTTCTTTAATTTGGTCACCACAAAAAAGTTCTAGTTAAGAATAAAGGAAACCTACATATTACCATCAGCAGAAGCATAATGTGTGGGAAGTGGAGAGAAGTTAGAAAGGGGAAAAAGTGCTCTCTACACCAAAAAACAAAGAAGACAGCCTCTTTTGCTCATCATGTAAATGGGCCATCCAAAAAAAGAGAAAAGCTGCATGAACCAGATACTTCTGTAAGCTACTCTGTGAGGTTTTCTTAACGTGAGACAGTTCACTTACAGCCTGTGCTGAAATGACAAGACAAAAATCCCAAATTGTAACTGGCCTCTTAGCCAAAATGTTAGTACAGTGGTACCTTGGGTTACCTATGCTTCACGTTACATACTCCGCTAACCCAGAAATATTGCTGGAGGTTAAGAACTTTGCTTCAGGATGAGAACAGAAATCGTGCTCCGGCAGCGCGGCAGCAGCAGGAGGCCCCATTAGCTAAAGTGCTGCTTCAGGTTAAGAACAGTTTCAGGTTAAGAACAGACCTCCGGAACGAATTAAGTACTTAACCCGAGGTACCACTGTATCTCCCTTATTATCATACTTGTGTCCAAAGGAGAAACATAGAGCTGGTCCAGATGCAACCATAAACCATAGTTTATGAGAATGTGCCTTGTTTTCCCCAGATCTGCATGGTCCTCGTTCTAGTGAAGCTACGAGGACAACTTCAGAGGCTTTCCCTCTTGTTTTAGATTAATCACAGCTTGCTGTTTTGTCTTGTGCCATATTTTAGCTACATTCTGAGGACTGCTTCTCAAACTTCTGGCTAAACCCATGTGTTTATAATAATACAGTGGTACCTCGGTTTATGAACTTAATCCATTCCTGAAGTCCATTCTTAAACCAAAGTGCGCTTTCCCTAACGAGACCTCCCGCCGCCAGTGCCCTTCCACAGTTTGGCGTCCATTTGTAGACCAAGGTAAAGTTCGCAAACCGGAATAGTTCGTAAACAGGACTGCTCGTAAACCGAGGTACCACTGTAATGATTAGTGGGAACGAGTAAACTTCAAACCACAGTTCAAGAATATGGCTTGTTTTCACAAACCATAGTTAAAATTAGCCACAGTTTAGGGTTCAGACATAACACTGAATGGCAGTTAAAAAATGGAAACAGGAGTTTCTAATCTCCTTGGGACTATGTTGGAGAGGGAAGAAGGCAACATTTGAGTCCAGGAGGATGAGGGGGGAGAGAGACAATTTTCCTAATGTTAAATGATTACAGCCCAACACATACAACCGACAAGCAACCACAAAGCATGTTATCAGGCATTACTGTTTGAATAAGCATGAGCCTGGGGAGTGTGGGGGAAGTTATGATAAGGCCACTGACATTATCACATTGAATACACATGTGGACCCACCCTAAGAAACATCACAATTAAATGAAGTAAAATGTACTTCTTTTACAACAATCCATTTCTACCAGCAACATCATAACTGTGAGAAAAAATAAAATTGTACACATTATGTTATAAATAACAGGAGTTTTACTTTTAAAAACTGACAGACGACACACATGCCTTTCTAGGCCTGTGGGGTGTGAGGAGTCGAGTCATTTGTTCTCTGAATGATCTGGTCTAACTTCCTCAAATTCCTCAACCCAGAAAGACATTTAAAAACCAAATATTGTATTAAGACATCATTCCAGAACATACTTCTTATGAACCCTGTGATGAAATGCACAGAACTATGTTTATCCAAAACAGCCTAAGGAAGTGAGAGCCATATTTGTCCATCTTTCCACAGATCAACATGCTATTCTGCTTTTTGTGGTGACAGCTTTCTTTATAGAACATAAAGATAGTGATCTATATTTTCAGTCAGTACTGCGACCAAAACCTAACAACACTTTGGGAGCATTATGTTAACAGTTCAGCCATCTTTGACTAATAAATGACAGGTTATTCTTGAAGTATTAGTGTCTAACCATATTCATCCTTGTTTCAATTCTGCTCTATGGTCATGGTTAATCAAGGATCTTAAGAGTTTTGTCATCTAGAACTTCTCATTATGCACCAGACTTCCTTGTTCACTTCTGTTCGCCATGCTCATCAAATGAGCAATAAGCATTTGCAAAAAGAGGCCAGCACTTCCTATTTGGGGCTGTTGAACACACACTTCCTACGTGCAGTCAGATGTCTGCATGTTTGAGTTGGCTTACACCTCATTTTCATGTAGGTTGCATGTAACATGAAATAATTCAGTAAAAACAATGCAAAGCTCCACTACTCAAGGATGGTATTTAGGTTCATGGAAGACTGCAGGCTCTGCATGCACAAGGTCCCAGGATGAATCCCTGGCATCTCAGACAGCTGGGAACACCCCCCCCCCACACACAAGAGCTTTGAAAGCTGCTACCATAGTAGAAAATACTTGGAAAAGGCATATCAGCATCTGACTCAGGATGACATCTTCACATGTTTACCTGCCCACATCTAAGGTTTGTCACACAGTTAATATAATCCACTTTGTTTTATGCTTGGGCTTTAAGAGAAAGAAACAGAGCACAATTACAGAAGAAAAGGGGAGCAGTCACCCATATAGCAGCATAAATAAATGAGATTATAAACTGGTTGCATTTTGAAGGTTGGGGTTAAAGGCGAGTCCTGGTCTTAAGTCAACAGCTGAAGACCTCAAACCAAAACATTCATTTCCAAACTGTTCATTTCTTCAGGGGCCACATTTCCAGTTGGTACAGCAGGCGAGCAATTGCAAAAGAAATGTACTGTAAAAGCATCCTAAAAAATAGGAAGCGGAGTGAGTCCCAACCACCTACATCACTTTGGAACCCCAGTTTAAGCAGAGAACTTTACGACACAGGCAGTTCCCCAAAAAGGCTTTGGGCGGCTATTTATTTCATGGCTTTTTTGCACAACTCCAGTTGCATTTAGCCACCTCCGGATCATGCGCGCGAACTCCGACGGAAGATGCGAGGAGGGCAGTTTAAGACGAAGAAGGAGCGCGTTTCCCGGGAGGAAGCGGAGAAGGGGGGGGGGGGTGGGAAAGGGCCTAAGAGGAAGAGAAGTGCACCGACCCGCCTCTGCAACCTACATGCACCCAGGTCGCCTTCTCCCACCCCCTCGGAGACCGCAAGAGCTCTTTCGCCACCCTGACCATCACCGCGCATCTCTTCCCCTCTGGCTTCTCACCGGCGCGGGTGGCGCAGCTGCACAGTCTCCATGGCCGCCTGACCGGGGTGGGCGAGGGTGGGCGCGCGCGCGCTTTCCCCCTCCTCACGGCCGCTCCATCTCCGCCGCCTTCCTTCTGCTCTGCCCGCTCGCGCTGAGTCGCTCGGCCCCGCCTCCCCAGCGCCAAAGGCACTTCCGCCTCGCAGTAGCCGCCGCCTCCTCTCAGAACCCCGCCCTCCCCGCAGGCAAGCACCAGCCGGAAACCAGCAGGGGGCGGGGCAAGGAGAAAGGGGGCCGCGCGACACCAGGCCACGTGGTTTCGCTGGGCTTGGCGGCAGTTGCCCCCAGGGGGTTTGTTTAAAAAAAAAAATCACGGTGGGCGTGGCTATGTCGCTCCTGGCTGCGCTGCTGCTCCCCGACTCCCCCCCCCCCATCCCGCGTTTCCTCAGAAGCCAATAAAGAATCACGATGCGTTTTTCTTTATGCCTCTGAAGGAAGGGTTATAGGCCACAATAAATAAAACGTTGAGGTGCTTTCTGAAGTTAAATCTAGCTAAGGAGTAAGCAAGCCCCGTTGAACAAAGCGGGGCTTCTGTAAATAAGCTGATGCTGCAAAATGGCTGCCCAAAATGAGAGAAAATTAGCAGCGTTTCAGGCCCAACGTCATCATGTTGTTGTAATTTGTTTCCTTACCTGCCACTAGCCTTGAGGTGGGGGGGAGGTCAAAGGCCAATTTAAATATACAACCATTAAAAACAGTTAAAACATTACATGCAGGGGGAAAGGGCGTGTTGTCCTGTACCTCAGGTGCTAAAGGGTACATCTTCAGCATCTGCCTAAAATAGTCCTGTAATGCTGTAAAGACAGGATACAATCCTTTGCGCCCTTACCTGGGGGGTAAGGCTGTTGGAGCTCCACTCACTCTTTTTTACTGTATATATATTTTTTCTGAGTTTCAAAAGTTTACAAATTAATACATATCCAGATACACATTAATTTCACATTTGACTTCGCCTCCATGATTTCCCCTGTAATTTCTAAATGTGCTGCATATTAAAGACATTCTATCTTTTCCACATGGCAATCCACAGCAATCCAATCTGTGAACTTTTAAGTAGACGCTTGTATACTTTTTAAAAAAGGATGGGTGTCTTAATACACTTATCCTATCTTCACCTGGGTGCAGGTCATATTTATGATCATTACACTTGTTCCTTGCATTTACTCAAAGGAGCCACCAGGTCAGTATCTGGTTCCATTGTATTTTTGCAACAGCATAGGTTGAACTAGAGAAATGGGGACAAGGCACAGCATCGCCCATATGTCAGGCAAAAAACATTCCTCTTCTCCAAGGCTACTTGAGCAACCTATGGCCTTTTAAACTGTTGTGCTTTTGTTTTTGTTTGCTACTGTTACACATTTTTGTGTTTTTATATTTTAAACTGTCCAGTGATCCTCAGATGAAGGGCAGTACAGAAATGTAATAAAATGAACTTAAGGGCTGGAGGGATTTGGAGTCTCCCGGGTCCTGCTCTCAAATCACTACAGAGTAGGACTTAACTAAGATTGTACAGCACGACTGCCATCCTAAAGCCACTTTCTAGGAAGACCCGTTGACTTTGGGATTGATTCCTCGGTAAACATGCGAAGGACTGGGGCTGCCTTTACTCAAGAGAACAAGATTGATCGCGGTATAAACTTCTATTAACTAGCAGTCATCATCTCGTGTGAAAATAAAAAGGCCCCCTGCGTTAAATAGAATTTGCTCCCAAACGCGGACGGGACTGCAAGCCTTTCCTCGTATGAATCTCCTGCCCAAGCACTTTTAGGGACTTGCTCCCAACTAGTGAACGTGCGCAAGATTGTAGCCCCATAGCGCAACTGGGCTTGTTGGATCAAGCCCTTTGCCGCTTCCAAACTGAAAAGTCATTTGACCGTCAGTGAACGAAAGCAGACCGGTCCTATGCCATTACCGGGGGAAGTAAGGCGCTTGCAGCCGGAGCCTCCGAGGCGCGCTTACTCTGAAGTAAGTCCCACTGAGTTCGACGCAGCTTCCTCCCACGCAAACTTAGAAGCAATTCGCAGCGAACTCAGTCGGGGCTTCCTCGCGAGAAAGCGAACATGTGCTAAAAGGGGCTGCGTCCCGCCCCCTCGCCTAACTTTCGGGCACGGAGAGCAGCCTGCGCTTCTTGCCCTGCCCAGGCGCCCCTGGAGGGAAAAGGAGGAGCCTCTGGCGGACGGCGCCCGCCCCCTTGCTTAATCGAGCGCAGAGGGAGGAGGAAGCTGCAGCCCCGGCTGCTTTCCCTTACGAGAGCCGGCGCCGGCTTCCTCGCACCCCGCGGCCGGCTTCATGGCTCCTGCGTCGCGGATCGCTGACCTGCGGCAGGCGGGCAACGAGCAGTTCCGCAACGGGCAATACAGCCAGGCGGCCGCCCTCTACGGCCGGGCGCTGGAGTTACTGGAAGCAGCAGGTACTGGCGGCGGGCGGCGAAAGCAATGGCAAGGCCTCAGTTTCCAGGGAAGGCAGTCAGAGGGGGCTGGGGATCCTGGGCTGGGGATGTACAGGGCTATAGTGCCCTCCTGCCTTGCCCCATAAAGGGGTGTCCCCCCCCTCCGTTTGTCTTTAGCCAAGTTATGTGTCTTCCCACCCAACCACCATCGCCAGCCCAACCCATCCCTTAGTTCTGTGCAGTCTTTTAAGTCTCAAATATCGCCTGCCCCAAATTACTTATATGGGGTGACTAGATCCAGAATCGTATATGCCGAGTATTAGGATTCAAAGCCATATTCCATCTGCGAATGTTTAACTTGCAAAAAAATGTTCCTCCCCCCCCCCCATGCACTGATGACAACAACCCGGTGCTTTTCTCCTGCTCATGTGTGAATCACTTCCTGATTTGCAGAGTCATTAAGGGCCTTTATGGGGCTTGCCCTTAAAACATCCCTGCGAAATAGGACTGCACCCATTTTACAGTGGGTTAAATGGAAGCCCTGAGGAAGCCACCACTAGGAGAGATGGGATCTAAATAGCTCTGTATGGTTGTGTGTGAGAGATAAGTCTTAGGTTTATTTCTCAGTGTCTAAAGCTAAAGGGATTTTACTAGGGCTGCATAAAACCCTGAGAGATTTTACTCAGTTGTAGTATCTAGTTCTAGATGGTGGGGTGGCCTGATTAATAGGTAACTTTGTATATTCTAACCCAGGTGAAGTCTTGTATATACAGAAATTAATAGTAATGGTGGTTTGGATTTTCCCCATAAAACCATCCTGTGCTGAGGAACATTTTGTGTTGTGTCGCCAGGTCCCAGATTGATAACCCTGAAGCGTTTGATGCAAAAGTAAGGATACCACTATGTACGTTTGGAGACCGGGAATAGTTTTCAAACCATACCTGATGGCAGAATATAAAAACTCCATCCCATTAGCTGGCTTTGGGAGCTCTGGGCTTCTTTTTCTTAAACCAGCTCTTTAGGTAGAGTAGCGGTGCTTTATGGTCCTCTGGATTAATATGGAACAGCATTCTTTGTCACGCTACATATTCCTGGAATTGGCAGCCCATGGAGTACAAGGCACCCAACGTTGTAGGTTGCAGTGGGCAGATGAGTGGAAGATGTTTAAGTCTTCATAATTGCCCGGTCTTTTTGTTACTGGTAGTCTCTGAAGCTCCTCTACAGCCTTAGACTTATTAGGTCAGCAGGCTGTCTGCTGCAGTAATTGTGTCACAATGAGCAAGTTTGGTTACTAACATAAAAACAGAGCCAGCAGTTGGACAGCTCGTGGGATACACTTTCTGTTTCCTTTCTTCTCTCTAGGCTCTCTCTCTCAGCCTCTGAGCTGTAGACTTTACTTTCTGTTTCCTTTCTTTCCCTTGCATTCCTAATGAAGTTAAGGTGAGGGACAGAAGTTGATTTAACTGAGCTCTGGCTTTGGCCTTGTCGCCCCCCCCCCCCCCGCATATATAGTTTTTAGCAGTCTCTGTCAGGGCTTTCTTGAACATGAGAAAGGAAGGACTTCTAGACGGAGGGCAAAAACATCCTGAAATGGGGACACCCTGAAGAGCCATACACTTGCTGAAGAAATGAAAGGAAGTGGGGCTCTCTGGATTGGTGGGGGCCACAGACAATGGAATAGGAATGTTTTTGTTTTTAAACTCGCTGTACTTTCTATAGTCTTTTTTCCGTTAGTGTGGACATCACACGGCTTCTGAGAGCTGTATCTGACAGGCTTTTTCCCGCTACTGAGGTACCAATAATAGTTACAGACATACATGTGATGTCTATCAAGAATACAAAGCACATGTCTGCTTTTTAAATTTTTTGGCAGCTTTCCACTTCAAAAAATCTACACGATATATATATGGGCAGCAGCTGGATCCCTACTCTCCTGTATTTTAAAGTAACTTTAAAGTTGCATGTGCATCTATCCTTATTCTAGTTATAGACAGCATACATTGTATTATTCCACTTCCATACCCAATTACAAAGAAATCTGCATTGGAAATGCCTACAGGAACACCCAGAAAGAGGTTTGTGGGTGATAGTTTGACACTAGTAAGCAGTGTAAGATTATAGGGAGCTAACCTTGGTTAAAATGGCTAACTGTCCTACTTTTAGTGCTGCAGCTCCAGCTCTCGGGAGTCAGTTTCCAGTTGAAATCAGATGGGTGCCTAGCATGATGGTGTTTAGACATCATCTGCTGAAGACATTCCTGTTTAATAGGTTTTCCCTGGGGTTTCCCCAGCCATTTATGAAAGATCAATTTTATATCTGATAAACAGTTTAATTGTGTTCAGAGTTTTTAGGATGGTGTTATTGTTTTACAGTTTGTTGAATTGATTTATTGTTAGAACTTGTGTTTCTGTGTTCTGGTCTCATTATGTAAGCCACTGTGAAGTGGTTTATAAACTTGTATAATGATAGCAATACTTTTAAAAAGTACAGTCCTCTGTATGGTGTCCTCTGTTTAAAGGGCTATGCAATCTAAGTCCAGTTTAAAGAATCCTATGAATATTAGCAGGTGCTTTAGTTGTACTGTTCATAACACCTAAACTTTTTAAATTAGACATTATTTTCATTTATGTCTCCTTGTTCTTAAAAGTGTGTATATACTGATAATATATTTACTGTTTTTGAAGTGTTTTATGGCTACCTAATGACTGTTTTATACCATTTTGTGTAAACCAATTTGATATGCTGCTTAACAAATAAGTAAAAATCTTGCTAAATAATGATTGGAGAGCAGGAGCCTTGAAGTTGTCCATCAGCATCTAGACAGCAGACTGAACAAGACACACAGGTTGCCTGTCAGTTTTTCAACAATAAGTTAGATGTATTATATTTGGATTTAAATTACAGTAATTATTTTTCTAAATTCGCACCTGTAGCTGTGAATTAAGCTTATGCCACCTCCTACCCTCTCTTTTGGCAATGCAACTGCTTTCTTTGGCAGTGCCATTGGTTCATCTAGCTTAGTATTCTTTGTGCTGATTGGCTCCAGGGTTTTAGACAAGAGCCTTCCCAGCCCTACCTTGAGATGCCAGGACCTTCTGGAGCCAAAGCATGTGTGTCACTGAGTTACGCTCATCCCCAAGTTCAAACCCACCAAGAGCATTGGATAAATATGCATCGGTCACACATTGTCAGCCAAACATGCCTCATAGGTCTCCTGTGAGGATAAAATATGCACTTGGACCATATGTGAGACCATATGCATAGGGAATGGGAGACCATATATACTGCTTTGAGCTCTTTGAAGGTGAGCTTAGAAATGGTAGAAATGAGGATAGGGAGGGGACAGCACAAAGATCATGTTCAAATAAGGGACACTGCAGACAATCAGGAATCAATATTCTCTTTATAGTGCAGTAAAAAATGGTAAGAGTGCTGGTTAATGATGGTTTAGTGATGTTACTAAGAAGCCGCCCCATTCATTAACATTTTTTCCCCAGTTGTGACCTCTGCCCTCACCTCCATCATAGTTACTGGTCTTGAAGCTTTACACAAGGTAACAAGAAGCATCTTGCAGAGGAGGGGGTCCTCCGGATGTTGTACTACATCTTCCATCACCTGTGACCATTGGCTAAGTTGATACAAGTTGTATTCCAATACGTTCTGGAGGACCACATGTTCCCCATCTCTGTTGCAGAGAATGAGGCATCTCCAAATCCCACTATACCCTGCTTAGTACCAGAGGTACTTATGCTTAGAAATCTGACTTAATGTTCCCTTTTATATCTAGGGGATGCAAATGCAGAAGAGAGGAGTGTTCTTTTGTCCAATCGTGCTGCCTGCTATTTGAAAGATGGAAACTGTAGTCTCTGCATTAAGGATTGTTCCGAGTAAGTAGTTTCTGTCCTGAGGACAAGAGAATGGAAGTCTAGTTTACATATTCCTATACATTGCTTCCTCTTACCGCTAGATGCCTTTCAGACCCTGGTTACAGAAAGGGCCAACTCAGCCTATTCAGAACCCACTCTCAACAGGTAGGGAATATTAGACAGGGTTGAAGCACAACACACTTTGCCCACAGAGTTGCTGGGGAGAAGAGGGGGATTTGTTCTGTTGTCCCTGCTGGCTGGAAGTAGGATTATCTTCCAGTGTTCATTCCTAAACTTCCCAAAATATAGGTGGAGGACAGAAGACTGTTAATGTGACTCTTTCAAACCAGCAGCAGTAACCAGGCATTTCAAATCATTGTATTTTAAGCTGGTTAAATAGTTTTACTCATTTCAATTTAGTTGTGTTCCCCATGTTGTAGGTTTTGAATTTCAAATTTATTTTTGGATAAATAAATTGTTAAGATAAATGAATCAAATAAACAAATGCCCTCCCCCTACTTCTTTCAGCAAAAAGTTGCTGCTGTGGGGGAAAAAATCACATTCTGCAATCTTTGGATGCAGTAACTGGCCTATAATTCATTTCTTGTGGTATTTATCTTGCTGTGTTTTCATTTTCTTTCATCTGCTCCTTGCAAACCATTGTCAAGCAAGCAGCAGCATATGGATACTTTTCAATATATATTTTAAAACAGTGTAGTAGCATCACATGCACATTTAACTTACACAAATTCAATGACACACAGCTGTGACCGCTAGAAAGGAAATGGTGGCAAGGGCATTGCCTCAAGCGACGACAGTAGCCTTCCAGGGATGGCTGCAAGTGGAGGGGGAGGGATGAAGGATGAAGGCAGACTGACAGAGGCTCGGGCAGAAGAAAAAGGCTGGAATGGAGCTGCAGCTTCTGCCTGCATGTCTCTGTCTGCCTTCCTTCCACCTTCATCTCTCCACCTTCCCCTCTGGTAAGCACAGCCAAGGGAACCGGGTTGCTGCTACCACCATCTCAATGCTCCTCTGCAGCTGCAGATGTGAGGGAAGGCAGTGGAGACACAGAAAGACTACATGCACCCTCTCAGTGCTGCCACCACATGTGCAAGATTGAGGCAAGACCACAGAGACATGGGGTAGGCCTCTGCATGGGGCTCCCCCACCCCCAAGCTTGCCAGACAGCAGCCACGAAATTTTGGTGGGACAGAATTTTGCACTTACTGTACAAGCTACTTCTGGAATGGAACCTCCATGTGTGATGCCGCTGCTATAGACAGCTAGACATAGATAAAGAAGGGGGGAGTCTGTCCAAGATAACATTAATCTTGTTGGGTATTCTCTGTGTGTGAGAATCATTTGTTCCAGAGACAGAGAAGAAGCAGAAGGCTAAGATTGTTTTGTCTATGCAAGGAAGTTTTCTGTGGGAACTGTTCTTTGGTTCTGTGTAACTTGTTGTGAGTCTCTTGCTTGCGCCTTGTGGTGAGAGAAGCGGAGAGTTAGTCTTGGACTCTAAGCATGCCTTGACTACGGCAGTGGTGAAATGTCTGTATATCTTTGCTACCAATATGCATTTATGCCTGTCAAGTAAACTTCTACACTTCACTGAATCTTTATGGCGTCCCCAAGTGTTTATTGCCTGTGTGTACCTTCAACCCTGAAGACATTTGTAAGGAAGGAGCTGCGTTGAGATGTAACTCTGCTGAGTATTGATACTGGCGCGCGCGCGCACACACACACACACACACACACACACACACACACAGTGAAAGTGATAGCCAGACCCAATTGTTCTAAACCATCCATCAAAGGTTGATGGATTGATTGAACAATTCTTGTATATGGAAAATTTCATTGTGAAATGGTGTGGCTTGCTCAAATAACTTTTATATGATGGAGAACCTGTGGCCTACAAATGTTGCTTCACTACAACTCCCATTGGCCAGGTTTCCTGGGACAGATTAGAGCTGAAGTCCAGCAACAGCCAGTGAGCCAAGAGTTTCCAATCCCTGCTTCTATAGTACTGTACATTTTATCTGCAGAGCCCAAGAGACACCCAAACTCGCCAGATACTTGAAATTTTGATAAATATTTGCTGTGCATGTGAACCCTCTTCCGCCTACTGCGTTTGAACATTGTAAATTCTGCTGTTTAACTTTTATTTATCCAGTAATCTTTTGCTGCCTTTTCTGCTGATTTTAGGGCCCTGGATCTGGTCCCTTTTGGAATCAAGCCCCTGTTGAGGCGCGCAGCAGCCTATGAAGCTCTTGAGAGATATCATTTAGCCTACGTGGACTACAAAACTGTGTTACAGGTTGATATCACTGTACAAGCTGCACATGATGGAGTCAATCGGTAATCCCCTGCTCTGTGTTCAAAATGAATGTACAAAAAAATTTCTAATGTGTATTTTAGATCATTCTTGCTCCTTTCAAATTAGGTTCTATGTTGTTCCAGAACAGTTTGATATCGTTTAAGATGCAGCCCACCTTTGTTAAAATAAGCATAGATCCTTGTCTATATTCCAGGCAACCAGATCTAGGAATGGAACTTCTGTGCTTTAGAGGTGCATAAATCATAATAGCTAGCTATCTGTTTATGGGAAGGTGACTGTGTCAAACAATGGCTAAACTAATAACTGTTCCTCTTCCAGAATGACCAAAGCCTTACTGGAAAAAGATGGTCTTCAGTGGCGGCAGAAGCTCCCACCCATCCCATCTGTTCCAGTTTCTGCTCAGAGACGGTGGGAGCCCCCAACTGGAAGCCAAGAAGCTACTACAAGAAGCAATGAAAACACTACTGCAGGAACAAAGCAAGGTGAGTAGATCTTTTGCTTTAGGGATGAGAATGAGGGACAGAGCACACAGAGCCTCAACTAACTCATCCAAATTCCAACTGGCATTATCTTTCTGATAACTCTAGGCAGTTTAGAGAAACCACCTGGAATCTGAGGTGGGAATAGGGGCTTAGGGACACTTTAACAACTTCATCTGCAGAACTTGTGACCACCAAACTGAACACAGCCCATCAGTCAAGCATTGTGGCTTGCCATGTGCTTCATACCCACCCAGCCACCCTTTCTAGTTCTCTTGTCTCAGCAATAAAAAGCAGACTTTTCAAAACTTATCAGATGCTCTCCATAACTTCGCTGCTGTGCTACATTTAGCTTGCTGTATCACAAGCAGCCCAGACCTGATCAAAGTACAGTTTCATTTGTGTATATACCTCAATTTCCATGTATTAGAGAAGAATATGCTTCTATTATATGTTTCCTGTTCCCATTGTCAGCTCCGTAGAGCTGGTACTGCAGCGCAGTCTTTTTCTCCAGCACTTTTTTTTCACGGACCCACTGAGATTTGCTGGAACTACTACCTAACACAAAAAGCTAGCTGTTTGTGTTGGCATTGAGTAGCTATTAAATTTGTGTCCTTGATGAGCCGTCTTCAAAAGGAGCTTTTAACAAGTATATCCTAACATAATAATTTGACTTTCAGTTGTTATAGTTCCACCCTCTGAAACATCAAGGACTGAATTTTTATTTGTGGTTTGGCCCTCTGTCATAGCCGCTTTCAGGGTTACACGGTGTTTTTTCTTGAAATGAATTTCAGTGCCTACTGCTGCCACAATGGATCGAGCAAATGTGTTGAAGCTGGAAGGAAATGAGCTTGTAAAGAAGGGAAACTATAAAAAAGCTGTTGAGAAGTACACAGAAAGCTTAAAACTCCATAAGCTGGAAGGTGCAACGTACACTAACAGGTAAAGCTAATGTAACCATCTGACAGGTCCAGGTATACACCCTCAAATTACGCTGTAGCACATTGTATCAGAAACTATTTTGACTGCCAATCCTAAAACTGTAATGTGGGTGGAAGATAATGGCTGCATTTGCACATAAAATGCCAAAAATGCACAATTTAAAGTTGGCTTCATATTCTGGCTTGTTTTGGAGCCGTTAACAATAGTTTCTGGGTTGCAAGAAACAGGGAGCTATAGCTTAGTGCTGAATCCTGACTTCTGCTGCATTTCATGCAAAGGGAAGGGGAAAAAGTGGCAGAAAAGGGACTGCCTGCAGGTGCTCATCACTCTCATATATCTTAGGTTATTAAGCCAGGATTTTGGTTTACGGATGTATGCAAATATGGTCAATAGGGATGCTTTGGGGTTGTGACATTTTTACTCAAGTGTAACATACACTTGCATGCCCTGCTTCCCTCCTATACTCCCATACTGCCCTATACCCGTAGATCTCAGGGCAGTTCACAACATAACCTGCTTTGATGGGGCCAGTCAGAGTCTCCGAGAACAGAAACAGGAAGAGCTCTCCCTTACTACTAATTCTGGAATTATCAGTCTCTCTGTGCTCCTAAAGAGGCCGATACCTGATTCATGCAGCTCATGGAGGCTAGGTTTCAATAAGCCAACAGTAGGTTGGGAGTCATACTTGTAGGGGCCATGAGAGAGTTTGCAAAGGGGCCATTGGGGGAGACAATAGATAGATGGAAAGGTATTGGACACTCCAGGACCCAGTGTTTGCTAACAGCCTGGATGCACAAGTACAGGTCATCCTCATGAAGCCTAGTTCTTTTGGTTGATATGTTCCTGTGGTCTCTGTTTTCATTAAAGGAGTTAAGGGTACCTGGGTAGAGTCCTTTCCTCCCAAATGGTTTAGTTATGTTCTGTAATGATAGTATATGTAAATTATGCTCTGTATATACTGCTACATGTTGTTTTACTATGTGCAGCATTCAGCTTCCTGAAAATACCAGCTTCCACATCTTTTTAGCTCCAGCCTCTTTAAAGGTCTACTTTAAAGGGGTTTTTTTTTTAGGGGGGGGGGACCTGTTGACAGAAGCTAAAAATGTGGATATGCAAGATGATGATCCTAATTGATCAAGGTGCAAATGGCTGCAGTCACATTGGTTTATTACAGATGAGCAGAAAGCAGCTGCATTTAGAAGCAGGAGAAGATGATGCTGATGCTGATGATGATGCTGATGATGTTGGCAGTCTAGCTCAGTCAGGAAAACGGCAGTCATGACAGTTTTTGGGTGGGGTGTGAAAAGCAAGCTTTTTAGAAGTGCATTGTTACAACTTAATCATGGTTGAGTTGATGATGTTGGACTTGACCATTGTATTGGCAATATTCATTCATTCTACTTATCAGTTGCCAAGAGCAATCATTCTATGAGAGAAGCCAATGGGTCTCAAAATAAAAATTGAGCATTTGAACACCTACCCCCAGCACCCTTTATTAGGTGTATGAGATCATTCCAAATGCAGGATTTCCATAGCAGTTGCTTCCAAAGACTGTTATATTTCCTTGCATACATTGTAGGGCTCTTTGCTACCTGAATATGAAGCAGTACAAGGAAGCAATTCAGGATTGCTCAGAAGCACTTAAGATGGACCCAAAGAATGTCAAAGCATTTTACAGACGAGCACAAGCATATAAAGAGCTCAAGGTAAGAATCTTCCTATAATTTTGGGTCACTGAGTTACAGTATGGAAAGTGCTTATTTTCAAGCAGATATGTAGCTTTTTCTCCAGTTCCACCCCATTTGCTCCAGAGCAGGACTGGGGAACCTTTCTGGCTCCAGTGGCTAGATCTTCATCAATCACACTATGTCATTGTGACATCACATGATAGGTGGGTAGCTCCACCTACCTCTCAAAATCCCTTGCATCTGGTTTCCAAGTGCTTTACAGCCAGCTGGATGTTGGCTGCTTGGGAACCCACACTGGTTTAAAGCCCTTTGCAAACTTTCCTTTAAGCAAATGGGTGGTGGGACAGGCTCCTTTCTCCCATTTGCTTAGAGAAGCAGCACAGAGCTGCTTCAGATAATGTTTTGCAAATTCGTCTCTTGATGAACAGGGATTAAATCCTGCTGCCTTGGCTTTGTGATCCTCTTCACTGCCAAGAACAGGGTTTGCAGCCAGTGCAGGATTAAACTTTTCCCATCAGCTGACGTCACCAATGAAAATGGCCTTGTGAGCTAAAGTGGACCCCCAGGTGGGCCAAAATTGCTGGCAGGTTAGAAGTTTCTGTCTTCCCATTCCAGAGGTTTGTAAAAGAGTTGACATCTGGAAGGTGGCTGTTTTGGGGCAACAGCTGAAGGCAGGCTCCTCAGGATATTGGGATCATCGGGGGGGGGGGGAGGAATTGAGAGCATCCCAAAAAGTAATCAAAAGCATTTGTTTACTAAAGTCAACACTTAATTCAGGGAGTTGTTGGTGCCTATATGCTGCAAAGGATACCAGGTAATGTTATAAACCATTAGATAGAGGATGGGGCTGTAGAAGTGGCAGTGCTCCCGAATGCACTAAATTCCAAAGATTTTTATTAAATGTAGAGGTGCCACTTTTTGCTTTCTCCAAGTTTTCCTGAGCTGGTTTTTCGGGAGCACCTTTATTTGTCTCCTGCCAAATATCTGCATGTTTTCTTTACTTCCAGGACTACAGATCTAGTAAAGCGGATATCAACAGCCTCTTGAAAATTGAACCAAAGAACAGTGCTGCTCAGAAACTACTGCAAGAATTAAAATAACTCTTAAAATAAGAGAGGCTAAAGGCAACACCATACTCTTCTGAAGATACGTTTCCTGTTTTGTTTTGTTTTTTTAAAAAATGATCACAGGGACCAGCCTGAATGCAGAGCCAGATGCAAAATTCACCTTTCAGACCTGTTTGGCATCTTTCTGGTTCCTTGCTTTATCAGAGTTATTTGTTCTTCCTATAAAGGCTTCCAAAAGTTCAGTGTGACCTTCTGAGAGTCACAACTTCCTAATAGAATTTCCAGAGTGGTAGCTGTACTGCAAGCCCCTTATTCTAGCAAAATTTACCTTAACTCACTAAGAAAGAGATTATAGCAGACAGGGCGGCACTTAACTGATATTTTTTGGTAGGTGGGTGTGTTTTGCAGAGCGAAGAACTGCAAGCCTCTGGTTGTAGCTGCTTATCCATGTAGGTAGCAGCACAATTGCAAGCTAAAGGCTTGGACTGACACAGTGGCTGACGGATGTATGTTTTTCAAAAGTAGTCTCTGCTTTGCCTTAACTTTTGTGCACTAGGCTCCAGTTGAGCGTTCTGGTCTTCGAAATGTTCTTTAGAAATCTAATGCTGCTTTTATCCTTTACCAAAGAGTCTGGTACGTTGTGCTGCTCTTATGCTGTGTGTACCTTTTGCAGACTTGCGTTCTTTGTTAGATTAGGCTGTTTCGTTTATGCTTAGCTTGATTGCCTGTAATGTTTTTTACACACCTATTACTTTAGGATGACACTCCCTCCTCTGATATATGTTTGAAAGTAGTTATAGGCTAAACTTTCAGCTGGGGGTGAGGGCAGGAAGCCCAGAAAGTAGGCCGGCATAGCCAATTTTCCTGCTTCATATAGAAAGAACATGCCCTGAAGAGTAGAGCAATCCGCATGTACAAAAACTTTTTGCCTACCTTCCTGCTCATAGACCTCCTTATGAATAGCGGCTGATAAAATTGATGTTGCTTCTAGCACTCCAGACTACAGGTAAGGTACCCATCTGGTAGAATGTTTCTTACTACGAAGAATCCCTCTGCAGAGTGACCTGTGCCCCTCTGTTATCCCTGACCAGGGCAGACCGGAGTTGAGAGTGCAACATTTGAGTACCACCACTTCCCCAGCTCTGTAGCTGATAATGAAATGGCAGGTGCCTTCTCCATCACCTGCTTTTCTACATTTTTTTAAAATAGAAGGGCATTTATTGCAAGAGGCTTCATCTGAACTCTGATAGTGTCCAGGCAGTGGTTTACTAGCTCTTCTGCTCTTTGTGAAAACTAGGCTCAAAATTCCATAGCCCAAAAATGGCAGTAGCCTCTTTTGAGCCTGCCCTCCAGAGCAAGCTTTGCAGTCAGTCCCTCAACCTTGTATTAGTGAGAAGATAGACAATCCCCATTTTCTTTTGCCTTAGAGCTCATGCCATTTTAAAGTTGGAGGGGGGAGAGTTTTGCATATAGTCTCTTTAACACAGCCATGCACAGAGCAGACTAGGCACCAAATACCCTAGAGGGAACCATTACTGTTAATGTTGCACTGTTCAGCAGAGTCTAGTAACAGCCGCCTCTCGCAGCCATCTGGAAATATTGAGGGAAGAAAACTCAAATCAGCCTATGCTTCTGGTGTTTTGAACTTTTAAATAAATGTTTGGTTGCGCAACTTGTAGTTGTCAAACGGAAATTAATCGTGTCCACTTTGCAGCGCAGGGCCAACTGCAAGTGCCTGCTTATGACCCCCTCTGTGGGCTCCTGGGACAATTTATCTAAATCCAAGTTATAAAGGAGAACAGTCATATATTAATGTGCTACCAGGATATGAAGTTTATAAGGCATGTGTTGAACAAGTCAAAGTTTCTTTCCCAGCTCAAAGGTAACAGTACATATAAATCAATTTCTACAGAATGCACACGTGGCTGTTGAAAAAAGGATATGCGCATGACACAGTGCAGAAGAAAAGTGTTTTTAAGGAGAGCAGGAATTCATTCTCGCATCTCTATAAGAGTTATTTAAAAATGCAATTCAAAAACCCCTCCTACATGTGTCAAGTATGAGAACCAGTTGGTTTTCTTTAAAACAAACGAGCTCACAATGGTTTGTCCCAGTAATTTTGGCAGCCCATGGATCTATGCAGCTGAGCAGAGTAGTTGTTAGTGCCACGTTAGACAGTGAACACTGACACAAGACTTGGTGATAAAGGAAGTGACGCTTCGTTTCCTTTATCATGTCAACAGCAGCACGAACAAATAAAATAGTGCCACAGGCCCCAGTGGTGGTTGAAGCTTAAGGCTACTTAAAAATGACCAGCTTCGATAAATTAACACAATGTGGGAACCAATTTCTTCCACATCATTCTCACAACATATCCTTCCCATACAAGCAGTTACTAGAAAAGCACCTGTGAAAATACTCTTTAAAGTGTGAATACAATTTTTAGTGGGAAAAGAAGCTGCAACGACTCTTTAAGTGCACAAAAGAAAGTGATTCAAAAAAGGCTAGATTTTTGCACGAATATTTATATACATATACCCCCCCCCAAATACCAGTAAATAGTTGGACAAAATATATATTAACCACCTGTGCCTTGGGACTGCAAATGCATATGTTAAATGGAGAAACTCTAAATTAGAATGCACAGAGAAGTTTCATGTAGCCATCCTGACTGTAATGGGAAGAGGAGCTCAATTTGCCCATTGATAATCCACTGGTTGTGCCTACAGTAGTTCGGGACCACGGCTGGGCACTGAGTCTGAGTGAGATCCAGACCACGTGCAGCAAATTTATGGTAACAATGAAGCTGCTGCACAAGCAGGGTAGACATGACGGTTGCAGCAACAGGCCAAGTCGAAGCAGTCATTTGATCAGTACCAATCGGATCCTAAAAAGGAGTGAAGCAGAAAGTGTCAGCTTCACACATGCAACTGCAACACTTTCCTACTTGTCCCTCACCTTGCCAAGCAGATGACATTATATGAATAGGTCCTTCTGTGTTAGTTCTCAGCATGGAACCATGTATTTGCATCAGGTCCCCAATGCAATGCTTGGGCCTGCTCTCCTTCCCTCCCGCTTACATATTTTGGCCAAAACCAAGTTTCTCACTTGATCGCTGTGCACTCCTTACCAACCCACCTTGGTCACTGAAGAAATGCTGCCGAGTTGCTCTTGTGGGATGCTTCAGAGATCTGGTGCACTTGCAGTACAGCAACAGCTTCCTCAATCTAACAAAAGCAAAGCCCAGGATCAGACAGTCATTTATTACAGCCAGTTGTACTGAGATAGACTCGGCAAATCAACATGGAGGCCCTTTAACAATCCTAGGTGCATTACTCTTCCCTGAAAAGCAGAAGTGGAATGCCTGTAGCCTGTCAGATGTTGCAGGACTACAACTCCCATTATCCTTGGCCCCGGGCCATGCTGGTGGCTGAGTCAGCTGGAGAATTGGAGTTCAGCAAAATCTGGACAGCCATAGGCTCTCCATCCAAAGCAATTGATGTGGATGGTGTGTTAAAGCCACTTGGCTGCTTTAGGATCTAAAGAATCGCGCACACTGAGGTCCAAGCCTCTCATTTTTTTCTCTGTAGGTACATTCAGACAATTAAGACTGCCATTTTGGAGTGCCAAAGTCTTTCTGGGCTTTGTCTTAACAGATCAAGGGAGATTCGTGCAGCAAGACTTGTATTCTTTTCATTTCTGATTCTTCATTGCCCATTGGCTCCATCTTCGTGTGGTTCCAAGGCTGACTTTGCAAGCTCATTTTTCTGAACAATCTTAGTGTAGAAGTTCCTTGAGTCAAGGAATAGTAACAAATTTCATGCAGAGCCACCGAAAATGCCCTCTTTCATTGGAACTACCGTAGTTGGCACCCAAAATTGCAGTATGCAGGCTTTGGAAATACAGAGAACTCTTCATCACACCAATGTGGAAGGTAGGGGAGAGAAGAGAAATAGCTATCTCTGATCCAGGTCTGGCCAAAGATGTTTTGCAGCCTGAAACAGAAAAGCAAGTGGCATCCCGCCCACCCCAACTTCAGACGAATAATACCATGGCCTGTCACGGGAGTTTCAGCGTCAGAAGCACCTCCTGATAGTAAAAAATAAAAAATAGCAAATTTGGCAATTAGCAATTTGCTGCCTTTTCATGACATCCCCAAAACCAGTCGAAGGTAGCCATCTGAGGACTAAGAAGCTCAGTTTCTTTTCCCGAGTGTGAAGAATTGCACAGAAGGAAAAGTGTTCTTGCAAACAATAAGGCTAAGGCCAACCTGTGAGCTACAGTAGTTCTTATTCTTATTCTTAAACTTTTTTGCCACCCTTCACCTGTAGATCTCAGGGCAGTTTACAACATAAAAATACAAGACAGAAAAAACCAAAATACATAATAAAAACGAGCAAAATCAAACCAATAACCCACCCTCCCCCTCAAGCAAGTAGCTTGCCAGACCCACTCTCTGACACAGATACATTAACGCAGTTACGCTTTTCAAAAAAACAACTTTCTCAACTGCCTTAATGTGCATTAAATGGTTTCTTGAAAACTTCCTACGGAATCTGAAAGCAGTTAATAACACCCTCCCAACCCTCCAGTTATACACGCTCTCAAAGGGTGATTTAATTTTTCAACTCAGCCTTCACACACACCCCATTCTGTTTTTAATGCCAACATTATCCAAGCATACTCTCCATGTCTTCAGTTTGTTGTAACACATAATGTTCTTATCAAATGCATGGAGGACTTACTAGCAGTTGTTGGCATCAGGTCTGCCTCAAGAGCCAATGGAGTGTGCCTTTGGGCTGAAGTCACACTGCTGCATTAGCAGCACAGAAGTGACCTCCCAGGGGCGCTAAACCTGGGTAGTGCGTATGGAGGTCCTGGGCTGCCCAGAAGACAAGACCCCCCTCTCGACCTCGCTGATGTGGTCCAAAGTAATGCAGAGAAATACGCTTGGCACCAGCTTGGCTGCAGGAGTTGCCGGAAGGAGGCGTACAAGGCACCATCCAACAGTCTTAGGGACCCCACTCCAAATTTGTGTAGTTTATTCCTTAGAGTTTTCTTCTCCTGAAGACACCCCACATGGCAATGAAGGTTAAGGATAGAGAGTTTTGCTTCTCCTAGATGCGCTACCTTCCCAGGTTGACAAGCCCCATCTGCCACTGGATTTAATAGTAGAATCATAGAATCATAGAGTTGGAAGAGACCACAAGGGCCATCGAGTCCAACCCCCTGCCAAGCAGGAAACACCATCAGAGCACTCCTGACATATGGTTGTCAAGCCTCTGCTTAAAGACCTCCAAAGAAGGAGACTCCACCACACTCCTTGGCAGCAAATTCCACTGTCGAACAGCTCTTACTGTCAGGAAGTTCTTCCTAATGTTTAGGTGGAATCTTCTTTCTTGTAGTTTGGATCCATTGCTCCGTGTCCGCTTCTCTGGAGCAGCAGAAAACAACCTTTCTCCCTCCTCTATGTGACATCCTTTTATATATTTGAACATGGCTATCATATCAGCCCTTAACCTCCTCTTCTCCAGGCTAAACATGCCCAGCTCCCTTAGCCGTTCCTCATAAGGCATCGTTTCCAGGCCTTTGACCATTTTGGTTGCCCTCCTCTGGACACGTTCCAGTTTGTCAGTGTCCTTGAACTGTGGTGCCCAGAACTGGACACAGTACTCCAGGTGAGGTCTGACCAGAGCAGAATACAGTGGCACTATTACTTCCCTTGATCTAGATGCTATACTCCTATTGATGCAGCCCAGAATTGCATTGGCTTTTTTAGCTGCCGCGTCACACTGTTGGCTCACGTCAAGTTTGTGGTCAACCAAGACTCCTAGATCCTTTTCACATGTACTGCTCTCAAGCCAGGTGTCACCCATCTTGTATTTGTGCTTCTCATTTTTTTTGCCCAAGTGCAATACTTTACATTTCTTCCTGTTAAAATTCATCTTGTTTGTTTTTGCCCAGTTCTCTAATCTGTCAAGGTCGTTTTGAAGTGTGATCCTGCCCTCTGGGGTGTTAGCCACCCCTCCCAGTTTGGTGTCATCTGCAAATTTGATCAGGATGCCCTTGAGTCCATCATCCAAGTCATTGATAAAGATGTTGAATAAGACCGGGCCCAAGACAGAACCCTGTGGCACCCCACTAATCACTCTTCTCCAGGATGAAGAGGAACCATTGATGAGCACCCTTTGGGTTTGGTCAGTCAGCCAGTTACAAATCCACTGAGTGGTAGCATAGTCAAGACCGCATTTTACCAGCTTGATCTGCTCCAGAATCTTCCCTGGTATTGATGTCAGACTGACTGGGCGGTAATTATTTGGGTCCTCTCTTTTCCCCTTTTTGAAAATAGGGACAACATTTGCCCTCCTCCAGTCTGCTGGGACTTCGCCTGTTCTCCAGGAATTCTCAAAGATGACTGCCAGTGGTTCTGAGATCACATCTGCCAGTTCTTTTAATACTCTTGGATGCAGTTCATCTGGCCCTGGAGACTTGAATACAACTAAACTAGCCAAGTATTCTTGTATTATCTCCTTAGTTATTCTGGGCTGTGTTTCCTCTGCTGAATCATTTGCTCCAAATTCTTCAGGTCGGGCATTGTTTTCTTTATCGGAGAAGACTGAGGCAAAGAAGGCATTGAGGAGTTCAGCCCTTTCTATGTCCCCTGTTTGCATTTCACCATCTTCTCCATTTTAGCCTCCACATTTCAGAGGTCATATGAGAGGAACAGTATGCCTGGCTTCTGGGTGGCCATCACTATGGGAAAACAGTATTTTGGATCAGATGGACCATTTGCCTGATCCAGGAAGGATCTCCTTATTATTCATGCATCGAAAGCCTATGCAGCTGAAACACTACCTGCTTAAAAATAGCTCCTCTAGCATTGAGAATGGAATGGCTCATAACATGGTGATCATTCAAAGGCCTGCAGATGCAGTCTTTGCAAACCAGCCAAAACGAGGAGAAACCACTGCATACACACACACACACACAGAGAGAGAGAGAGAGAGAGAGAGAGAGCAAGAGAGAGCGCACATGTCAAAAGAGACATTAAGGATGTGTCATGTGATCTTTTCTGTTTTCTCCTCTAACTAGTCAGGACATACCATTACAGTGAATTGCCACTTTAAATGTAAAAAAGTAGCTTTTAATCTCAGCAAGGAAATGTGCTTCCGTGTGGGATACATACACAAACATACACCACATTTGCTCAAGGTGCAAATGCAACAGGAATAATTAGAACACACAAACATGTACAAACCAGGTGAGAAATGGACTTAGCTGGGGATGGCAGAAAGGGAAAAAGCAACAGTGTGAAGGCTTGTAGTCAGAGCTGGAGTCTTTTTACTATCAGTTATCCCACCAGGCTTTCAAAATCTCCCGGCTCTTAGGGATCATTTCAGTTCCCCAATAGTCTCCTGCTCCATCACCTACTTCTGGAGGGGGGAAACAGCCCCACCCAAGCTCTGTAAAAGAGAAACCCTTCGTATTCTGAAGGTATGCATATCATAAACTTTACAGATAAAACTCAAACCAGCACAATATATTTTAGTTGCAAAATTTGGGGATTTGCAATGGCAGAGTTAGCGGTTTTTATTTTATAGCATGAAATTCCAGTACCTTAGAGTGGAGGGATTCAGGAGACTCCAGCATCAGCAGCAACTCAGAGTTATCTATCTCCAGCAGCATACCTGTGATCTTCCCAGCCATGGAGGGGTGTGATGAGTGAATCAGAGGGTAGAGGCGTTCACCTGTGCACAGGCAAAAGGGACAGAAGCATGCATCATTCAGAGTGGGAAAACCCCATGGAGCTGGCCCCATTCCATTTTTTAAGCTTAGGGGTAATGGTGGCCCAGGAGGAACACTGGGGAGTCGGAATGCTTCAGTTCTCCCATGAAAAACCATTTTAAAAAGTTCTGGTGAGGCCCAGAGTTGCAAGAGAGCAGGCAGAAGAGGTAAACAAATTGTACATGGATATCCAAAGAATAAAGCACTTGAAAAGATTACAGGAATTTAACTGGATGTATAAGGGTACTAACATCCATTGCCATCTAGCAGGTACCCCCCCCCCAAAGGAAACATCTACCAGGAAAGACTGCCTTAAGAGAAAGCAAATTCAGATACACCTCTTTATTATCCTCCCTGTTTTCAAGCTGCTGCTGCAGGCATTGTAAAAGACTTTCTCCTTAAATGACTGCATGCAGGCCTGGCCCTACCATTAAGCAGTGTGCGGTGTCTGCCTCAGGCGGCAAACACTGGAGGGGCATGGAGTAGCAACAAGGTAGGGAAAGACAGAGCTCTGTGGGGCACATAGCCTGCTCTTCACCCCCTAAGCTAATCTGCTGCCCTCAGCTGCGGTGGACGATGCACCCATTGTTGACACTGAGATTTGACTGCCCGTTCCAAGTCAGACTTCATACATTATTTTTCTTTTAAGTGCTACACATTTGCATAGGCAACTCCACAGCCCTATACACATGTCAATGATTTGGCTGTGCAAACAAAAAGCAGAGAGGAGGGCATCTTCATGCGACAGCGAATGCTCAGCTTGTGTAAGGTCACTGCACAAACCACTGCTTGGAGAAACAGCAATGCGTCATTGTGGCACCAATGGGAGTCGTCCCGTCCCCCTCAAAAAAATCTCTAATTGTATTGCAAGGGGTATGATTTTTGCAGAGCTGGATAAATTATTTGCCCATGTAATGTGGACCTGTTGAGAACCAGGATTTCTTCTGCTTATTATTTAAACGAAACAGAACAAATGCCGAATAAGATTGGCAGTGATGCATTTAATGATAATAATAATATAATTTATTATTTATACCCCGCCCATCTGGCTGAGTTTCCCCAGCCACTCTGGGCGGCTTCCAATCGAGTGTTAAAAACAATGCAGCATTAAATATTAAAAACTTCCCTAAACAGGGAACTGCGTACAGTTAAATTCCCAGTCCACAGCATTGTTTTTTAAAACTGCAGATTGAAATGGGAAATGGTGGATTTTGTGAACACGGGAGAAAGTGAGAGAGACCAGAAACAGAATGACCCATCTCTAATTCCAGCACTCTGTACTCACGCCATGCTTCACACTGGCCAGTTTGGCCTTTTTTGTTGCAACTGAGCAAGGAGTAAGATTTACCTTTCAGGAACGAGAGAGAGAGAGGGAAGGAGAGAACACGGAAATAAACTCCTTCAACCCATCACCACTGTAACCATTCTTTGGTTAGTATATACTGGTTAGTATATACTTATATATATATAAGAGCAGGAATTTCTGCTTGCACAGTGAGGTGTTGTGTGCTTTGAAAAGGAAAATCCCTCCAGGAAAAATTCTTTCCTTATGTACACTTATGGGGGCAGGAAAGGAAGGGTATGCCCAAAGCATACCCAAATACCCAAAGCAGGTGGCAGCACAGGAAGAGCCCGTGCAGTCCGGCTGTTAGTAATCTAAGAAACTCTCCGTTCAAATGCAGTTGGCACACAGCTCAGCCTCATCAGATCATGTGGAGGAGAGCAGCAGCTGCCCGGTCAGCAGGAAAAGAGCTGCTACTCATGATTCCTGATCATGTCCGGAGATCCCTGCTGCCAGACCCACAACAGCTGCTAGGGAGAAAAGCTGAGATTGACAGGGCTCGGGCTGGGTAGCCAGTCCCTTAAAGCAGGGCTCCAGCTGAAGTGTCGTGGTTCCTAGATCCATCCAACCAGCCAAGCTTGCTTTCATACTATAGTCTGCTAGCACTGCTGAGATAATTGCTTTTCAGAAGCAGAATGGAAAGGATACTGAATATACAGTGGTACCTCGGGTTAAATCTAGAAATAGGAAGATCAGGTAGATTATAGGGAATATTACATCTCCTTTAGCCAGAGGTCCAAAAGTGAGGCCTAGTCTTTCCCAACCTATGGCTGTGATGGCTGGGGCTGATGGGAAATGTACAGTGGTACCTCAGGTTAAGTACTTAATTCGTTCCGGAGGTCCGTACCTAACCTGAAACTGTTCTTAACCTGAAGCACCACTTTAGCTAATGGGGCCTCCTGCTGCCGCCGTGCCACTGGAGCACAATTTCTGTTCTCATCCTGAAGCAAAGTTCTTAACCTGAAGCACTATATCTGGGTTAGCGGAGTCTGTAACCTGAAGCGTATGTAACCCGAGGTACCACTGTACTATCCTGCAGCATCCCTTCCCCTAGCCAAGACCCTTCTGCAATGTTAGGTTGTAATTATACCAATCAGCAAACGTCCTTTCCAGTGTTCATTCTAGTCTCCCATTTGAAAGTTCTAAATGTTTCTTTATTTAAAGCAAAGGTCTCGGGGCAGAAATACACAAACAAAATCAAATCAAACTATACAAACTAATAGAACTACTGTTCCCAGAGCTACAATTCACAGCACCCTTAAACTACCACTCCCAGGAAACTTGGGGGGAGGGAAATCATATGCTTTAAACGTGCTTTTAATGTGCTTTAAATATATGGTGTTGATCTGTGAAAAGCCTATGAAACTAAGCAAGGCCTGCAATGAAATCTCAAGCCAATAGAACCACAAAAGGCAGTGAAAAGAAAACCGTCTCCCAGTTTGTTCATCACAGTTTTGGGTAGTGTTTTCCTAATGTGGGACTCATACCCACAACCCTGAGATTAAGAGTCTCATGCTCTACCAGCTGAGCAGAATGCATTGCCAGCAGCACTGAATAACTACGGCCGGATCCTGCATATTCGGGGGAAGCTAAAAACAGTTTCCAAGCTACAGAGCAGCACCTTTAAGTTTAAGGTTCAAACTCTTGCCTAGAGACATAGCTAGCTAGCTGAACAGGGCGCCTGAGAAGGGCAAGCTGCCAATGAAGGAGGACGACGCACCGCAACTCACCAAGCATTTGCTTCTGCTCCTGAGGAGGGGCTGCAGCCAACATGGATGCTGTGAGGGGCTCCTGTCCATGGACACGGACAGCCGGTTCTACAACCTGCAGGCCAATAAACAGAAGACAACAATAATAGCATGGTCCTCGTGTGAGTTCCTGAATGACACCCTGGAGGGGGAGGCGGATTCTGATGGCAGCAACTCCTCTTCCTGCACCATCTGAAGCTCCCTAAAGTAGGGAAGAGGAACCAGCTGCTCTTGGGGCTGCAACTCCCATCTTCCCTAACTGCTGGTCAACAGTGTCTGGAGACAGGTCACGTATCCACAGCTGTGACCAGAGGAGGAATGACCACTGGGAGGAGCTCAGAGAGAAGAAACACCACAGTGCATCAGCTGCAGCACAGCCGGATGCCTTCATCTGCCCCAGCTGCAACAAAACATGTCTCTCCCACATCAGTCTCTATAGCCACAGCAGGCACTGCAACCCTCCAGTGATTGGACCTCACCCCCCAAGGAACACTTTCATCAGGAGAAGCTGGAGAAATGAGAAGAGGGTGGCGTTCAGCCAAATTTTACCCACTGAAATCAACGCACGTGACTAAGTTAGGTCCATTAATTCCAATGGGTCTACTGTGAGCAGAACTGAATTGAACCCTCCCCCAAAGTGACTTAGCAGAGAGTTCTGCTTAGTTCTTTTTACTGAAAGTAGACCCACAGACTTAGGCCACCACACATTCCTCTAAATCAAAGACGGGGACCTGTGTGATCTTTGGTTGGTCTGTTCCACTTTGGGAACCACTAATCCAGACCTAGGAGGGATGCAGGTGGCGCTGTGGGTTAAACCACAGAGCCTAGGACTTGCTGATCATAAGGTCGGCAGTTCGAATCCCCGTGACAGGGTAAGCTCCCGTTGCTCGGTCCCTGCTCCTGCCAACCTAGCAGTTCTAAAGTACGTCAAAGTGCAAGTATATAAATAGGTACCGCTCCGGTGGGAAGGTAAACGGCGTTTCCGTGCGCTGCTCTGGTTCGCCAGAAGTGGCTTAGTCATGCTGGTCACATGACCCGGAAGCTGTACGCCGGCTCCCTCGGCCAATAAAGCAAGATGAGCGCCGCAACTCCAGAGTCGGTCATGACTGGACCTAATGGTCAGGGGTCCCTTTACCTTTACTTTAATCCAGACCAATTAAACGCCAAAAACTAGAACACGCTACAAGCCCAAACTCTAAAGGCTGCGTGCACAACATACATTGAAAGCACACTTAAAAAAACACATGACACACACACAGAGAATCCAGGGAACTGCAGTTTATCCCTTTACAGAGCTATAATTCCCAGCACCCTTATTCTACAGTTCCCAGGATTTTTGCGGGGGGGGGGACGTGGAGCTTTAAATGTATGGTGTGTACACAGCCTATGTTAATGGCATGATCACAAAAATCTTCCACATTAAGGAGTGGAGGGAGGAAAACATGGTCTATACAATATCCTTTGTTCCACAACTGAAGGCGAGTTACCTGGTGCATTGGCAGAGGTGCCATGGTGCCCAGTGGCTGGGCATTCCTCACGGCCGAAGAGTACTTGTACTGGGAAACGCCACGTGGTAGGGCTGTTGAGGAGGATGCCCGAGTGCTGATAGTCTGGGTTCCTATGTTGGCTGAAATGAGAAGAGGAACAATTTGGAAGGGTACAGAGAGAGGAGAGGTGACGTATCCCATCGTTAATGCCACACACCCTTTGCAGAAGCCTTTTTAAAAGCAGGCTTCCCAAAATGGTGCAGAAGGCGGGGAGAGGAAGATGGCGGTTCTCAGCTGCAATCCACAGCCCGCAACAAATAAATCTGAGAAGTCCTCTCAAAATCTCCACTGCAACGTCAGCACAATTGGGTGGTCCAATTCTTACGGTAATAAAACACTCCTTTCATGTATACATAGCAAGCAAAAGGATGAACCCGCAGATGCCATTGAAGCAAAGGCTAAACCCCACACCAGCTCCTGATAATCCTTTTATTTAATAATAATAATAATAATAATAATAATAATAATAATTTATTATTTATACCCCGCCCATCTGGCTGGGCTTCCCCAGCCACTCTGGGCGGCTTCCAAAAAAACATTAAAATACTGTAATACATCAAACATTAAAAGCTTCCCTAAAGAGGGCTGCCTTCAGATGTCTTCTAAAAGTCTGGTAGTTGTTGTTCTCTTTGACATCTGGTGGGAGGGTGTTCCACAGGGAGGGCGCCACTACCGAGAAGGCCCTCTGCTTGGTTCCCTGTAACTTGGCTTCTCGCACTGAGGGAACCGCCAGAAGGCCCTCGGTGCTGGACCTCAGCACCGAGGTCTGGAGGAGGCATGGTAAGAGCAACTTGTGTACCTAATCTCTTAATTGCCATGGGAGCCCATAGAACTGAATAGCTCCCACTCAGCCTACCCTTATTGCCATCACCCTGCCACAGGTTCCATTTCCTGGTAATGCTACACTGTGACAGGTTCCCCCAAACTGGATTATGCATAAAATAATTGCCACCTGCATCTAAGCACACAGGCACACACTGTTCCGTTTGATGATGAACCATCAACATTTCCTAACTTACCCACTCTCTGGGCATTGGGAGATACCCTGGGAGCCTGCGTGGACGCTTGTCTCATGGTGCTGATGTTGGACAGCGGGCGCCTGGGAGGTGCACTAGTTCTCAGGACCGGGCTGGCTGGGTGATAGGATGCTAAAAACATTGAATGCTTTCATCAGAATTTGGAGGCATAAGAAGCGGGTGGCATTCAGAGACGTTTTATCCACATAAATTAGTGAACATGGAAGAATAAGAAATCAAGATAACCAACTTTTTATTAAAGAATGGAAATGGTTTCTTGAATAAATGAGCAAATTTAAGTTAATTTGGATATGCAGAAGATATTAAAAATAAATTTAAAGAACCGCAGAAAGAAGGGGAAGGAAGTCAAGTTTTGAAATGTTAAAATGATTGTAAAATTAGTGAAATGTATAAACCTGAAATATTTTTTAAAAATAAATAAATAAATAAATTAGTGAACATGGCTAAGTTAGGTCCATTAATTCCAATGGGTCTATTCTGAGCAGAACTTAATTGAACACCACCCCTAGTGTCTTAACAGAGAGTTCTGCTTAGTCTGTGGGTCTACTTTCAGTAATGAGAACTAAGACCACCACACATTCCTCTAACCCAGAGATGGGGACCTGCGACCTATTGTTGGACTCCAACTCTCATGATCGCTGACCATGAGCTGGAGTCCAGCATCATCAGGTCCCCAGCCCTGTGCTCTACTGAATTTGCATGCTGACTTCACAAAAATTCTGAGGTCCCAACACCAATCAATAGCATGGTAGGAGTTCCATACTAAGTGCAACCTTCACCCACATGCTCTGCAGATGACCAAGTCCTTTTTGAAAAAACAAACAAGCAAACTCACAGGGAGGCCTGGAGGGCTGCATATTCCAACGGGAGACAGGGCGGACTTGGGCAACAGGGCTAGGACTGTAGAAAGTAGTTCTGGTTTGAGGCTAGAAAAAAGACCACGAAACAAAGAAAGAAGATACATTACTGTCCTCACATCAGCCCTGGGGCAGCTTGGACTAACAAAAGCACCAAGCCTGGAATTTGAAAAGGTATGTGGCAGTTCTTTTTGTGTAGCTTTGAAGGAACCATCACCTGAGAATGACTTGAGGCAGATTAGGAGAACAGCTAGGTAAAGGTAAAGACACCTGACCATTAGGTCCAGTCGTGACTGACTGGGGTTGCGGCGCTCATCTCGCTTTATTGGCCAAGGGAGCCGGCGTACAGCTTGCGGGTCATGTGGCCAGCATGACTAAGCCGCTTCTGGCAAACCAGAGCAGTGCATGGAAACGCCATTTACCTTCCCTCTGGAGCGGTACCTATTTATCTACTTGCACTTTGACGTGCTTTCAGACTGCTAGGTTGGTAGGAGCAGGGACTGAGCAATGGGAGCTCACCCCGTCGCAGGGATTCGAACTGCCGACCTTCTGATCGGCAAGTCCTAGGCTCTGTGGTTTAACCCACAGCACCACACTAAACCATAGTTTGGCACTATATGTAATAAACTCACAGGAAGCCTCAGGCTCATGTTCTCCTTCAATGCCTGAGGGAGGAAATGACAAGGAAAACATCTCTTAAATGTACATCTGAGAAGAAAGAAGGCCCAGACTTTGCTGGGCTGAAACCTACAAGGTCTTCCAGGTTGACCTTTCCTCCAGGCCACCCAAGGGAAACTTGAGCTACAGACCCTGTTTCTCTTTTCACATCCTTTCCTCCTAAGGATTCTGGGACCTGCAGAGTTCCCTGTGAAGAGGGATTGGTTGCTAAACCACTCTGAGAATTGTAGCTCTGGGAGAGGAATAAGGCTCTTCTAACAACTCTACGCATCCTTAACAAACTGCAGCTCCCAGGATTTTGTGGGGAAAGCCATGACCGCTTTGGCTTGGACAACTTGCAGCTGAACACATGGACTCTATTGCAAGATTTATTTATTTATTTTGTGGTGATGTAGGCAGAGATATAAAAAGTTCTTCTTATGGTGTTTGATCTGTGAAAGCCATTTTTATACATGCATCCTGTGTTCTCCCAATATGGCAGTTCGATTGGAATGCAATGGGTTTGCAAAGTGCATTAAGTTGCAGTGCAATAGCATCTTGTCTGCCATTGGTGCTAGTCAATGGGTTTCATAGAAGTAAGCTGTAATAGTAGCCTCTTTACAAATCTTACCTGTGGAAGGGAGGGCAGGAAATAACCTGTCGGAGGGTAGGAGCAGAGGATTGGACCAGGCAAGGCCCTCATGGTAGCTAGTCTCTGCATGTATTGGTTGGTGAGAATGGCTTTCCTTTCCTCTTTCCTTTGAGCAAGGGCCACATACAAAGGCTTGGCACTGACAATCCTCCCGTTCATTTCAGTCACAGCCTTTGTGGCCTCTTCTGGGGATGAAAAACATACAAACCCAAAACCTTTGCTGTGTCCACCCTCTGTCATCACCTAAAATTGAAAATTAAAACACTGAGTCCACTGAGTGGATGGCAAACGGCAGTCTGAAGACACAGGCAGAGAGACACGGACATCGAAATGAGTGGAATAATTGGCACCTTTTCCTAACACACACAAATATACTCATTGGGGTGAACTGGTCTTGAGTCCCACCAAACTCAATAGGAACAAAGGTCAACTAAAAGTCCTTGTTTTCTCTAAATGGGGAGGCATTGGGCCATTATTACAATAAACATTCATTGTAACCTGCCATAGCAGCAGGGGAGACATAGCGGCACACACCTTCAAGCAAACCATCATAACTAAATGTAGTGTTGACTGGTAATTTCAAAATTTCATGGATGGTCTCCTAACTAAATAGGCTTGTAGATGCACCCGCACCAAATCTGCTCTAGAGAGTTTGGGGATCCCCACCCCCGGAAATAGGCTTAGGGAGAAGAAAGGGAGGAGAAGTACCTTTGGGCAGCTAAACATCAATGTGCTGGTGGATATATTTAGTTGGATTTTGCACACAGTAGCCTCCACACCTCCCAGACTGGGGGCTTGCAGAGTTCCTAATAACTCTGTCAGCAGTCCCACAGCCATAGCTGTCAACTTTCAGATTTGAAAATAAGGGATCAGCAGCCTCAAAAATAAGGGATCAGCAGCCTCACCTGTCCCGGGGACAGTCTACGGGATATCTAACAATCTGGGATAGCAGTGGGAAGCAGCGGGAAATGGCGCTAGAATAAAGGAATTTCCCACAAAAAAGGGAAGGTTGACAGCTATGCCCACAGCCATGCCTCACTGCCTTGGTTGCCTTGCTTCTGTGAGCACTATAGTTTTTTGAAGGACTAGATGAAAGTAGTCCAGTAGCCAGAATTCCAGATGGAATCATTGCAGAGAAGGCAAGGAGTGGATAGGGGCAGATCACTGGATTATCCCAGTGGCAATTTCAGTCTCAAAACAGCAGACGAGGCAGCAAAACTGTACTGCTTTCTGGACTACCTTGTTTTCAGACTGTAGGTGGGAGGCTCATGCAATTTCTCCTTCCATATCCCCACCCCCAAATCCCTGCATGTTAAAAACCAACAACAGCCTAGTGTTTTTGTGTTTTGATTTTTTAAGGAGAAATATGGAAGGAGCAATCAATCACATGAGTCCTTGCCTATGGTCTGAATGAAAGTTTCACAGACAGAAGATACTTGTTTACAAACATAAGGGGCAGGATTCACCTAATGAGTCCCATCAGTGACAGACTTGCACAAGGTCTTCCACTTGTGCAGTGGGGCTTTTCCCTTTCCCCTGTGCCCCCTGAAATTGGCTTGGGGCAGGGAGAACGCCCTAAAACATTGGGGGGAGGGTTGTTCCATCTGAGAAGCTGACATGTTTGAGTGGATGGAAAGTTCAACATAGGTCAACATTGAATACCCACCATAGATCTTACCTTGGCACTAGTGATAGTTCCATAAGGAGAAAATTCGTTCCTCAGCCGTTCATCATCAATCCCATCATCCAGATTCTTTACATACAAGTTTACACCCTAGGAGCAAAAAGCACAGACACTTTCCCATGTGTTCATAATATTTTTTATGTAACATTTATGCCGCAGCTTTCCATTTTTAAATATGCACAAAAAATAATGTTTCCAACAATCATAAGGCTGGAAGGGAACCAAATGCCATCCACACCAACACCCAGCATTCAAAACTCCCATTGTTCTGGGTGCATTTTGTGACAGGGAATTTAATTAGCGTGAGCAGTTTCTGAGTTCTGGGTGCTGTACTGCACCTAAGATTTCAGATTAAAACTGCAGAGTAGGAGGAAAGGAGGACCTTTTTCTGCCTCCCCACTTCCAGCTACTCTGAAGACTGGAGAAGAGACCCTCTTAAGATTAGGGGGGTGGGCAGGGGAAGGACTATACCATGTGAAAAATGGACATAATATTTTAGCTGCCGTTCATTCATTCTTGCTTTGTATTCTTGTTATTAAAACACATGCCCAGACATTCCATTGTTGCACCCATAACCTAGGTTTAAGGTGCCATTTAGCTCCTAGCTTTCATATCTCAGTTTCTAACACTACCAACACATCAATACAACATACACTACAGCTTATGTAAAGGTCAGATTCCTGTAAGAGGGAATAGCGCTAAATTGTTACTACCCATCACCTGTGTAGTGTTTTATAGCGTTATTGCGCTTTCTCTCAATGAACTTCATCTGAATTTGCTGTGCTCAGGCGACAGAGCCCTTTAATCTGCTTTAATTGCACAATCCTAAATTCCCATTACAGTGGTACCTCGGGTTAAGTACTTAATTTGTTCTGGAGGTCCGTTCTTAACCTGAAACTGTTCTTAACCTGAAGCACCACTTTAGCTAATGGGGCCTCCCGCTGCCACTGCACCACCAGAGCACAATTTCTGTTCTCATCCTGAAGCAAAGTTCTTAACCTGAGGCAATATTTCTGGGTTAGTGGAGTCTGTAATCTGAAGCGTATGTAACCTGAAGTGTCTGTAACCCGAGGTATCACTGTATGTGCTTGAATCCCACAAACAAAATAGAGATTGTCTGGAGGCACCCTCCAAAGTTTTTACCTCAAGGATGCATCTGTGTTACCAAAACTCTCAGGATAAGCAAACCAGCCTTATTTTCATTGATTTTTTTTTTTAAAAGGCATCGAGATAAAACCCAACAAATTTCATCCCTTGCCACAAACAGGAACCATTACCATGCGCTGTCATTGCAGGTGACCTGTGCCTCAAGAAAGGACCACAACTCATCAACACAGCACATGCTTTCCATGAAGGGGCCTTCAGGTTCAATTCCTGGCATCTGCCATTAGAGGAATCAGGGAGTAGCAGGCGACGGCAAAAGCCCGAGGCCCTTGAAACCGTAGAGAACCATTGCCAGTCAAGAGTAGACATGAAATGGCCTAACAAATGACCTGACCTGGTAAGCTGCTTATCCTTCACTAGCTCTCAGTGAAGCAGGACTGAGAAATGTGGATTTCCTCTACATGGCCCAGTTACTTTACGGAATAATAATGGCTCAATCCTGGAAATTGTTTTACCGCTTTTAGTTTACTGAATTTGGGATCTTTCCTATTTTAACCTTACATTATTTTATTGTAGACCAAGGGGGACATACAATTACAGGCTGAAATTTGTTTCCACAGTTTTGGGTACTGGATTTTAAATTGCTGTAATCCTTCTGCTGGTGAATGGTGGGTAATAAATTTATTAGTAGCAGTAATAGAAACGATGCCTGAAAACAAATAAATAAATATTTATATTGGAGAGCAACCACAGCATTTGAGATTTCGAAAGTCAGCAGGTGTGTTGCATTTTTTAAAAAAAGTGTACCTTGCCACACCTGATGACCTCATTGTCACTTAGCATTACCTGGTATCTGTTTACTCTCTCCTGCTTGATCTGCTCAAATTTGCGCTTCAGTTCACTCTGACGTTCCATCCTCTTCTGAGCTCGGCCAACATACACCATTCGCCCATTGATCTCCGTCCCATTCATGTCTTCAACAGCCTGCCAGGAGACCAGGTGTTAACATAGAGGGTTGTGCATAGGAAGAAGTCCCACGACTAACTCCACCCCTCAATGGACCACACATCCGTCTTGCAGAAAGATGCCCTTTGCTCTGATTTAATTTTGTAATGAACTTTGCAAAGCCTTCGCTTCTGAGCTATCCGAAGCAATGAAATCCCCCTACCCCCCACCAAGAGCAATTTAGTTGGTTCTGTAGCCATCATGCATTCATAGCGAACATGAGAGAGATTCATATGCACTCATCAAATACTGGAAGAGCTGTCACCCAAAAGAGGACAGATTCAGCAGTCCCCACCATATATTTAAAGCACAATTACACCACTTTCACAGGTATGGCTTCCCCAAAGAATCTTGGAAACTATAGTTTATCCATCATAGAGCTACAATTCCCAGCACCCTTAACAAATCACAGTTCCCAATATTATTTGTGGGAAAGCCTTTAAATGTATGATGTGAATGTGACAAGATTTCATTTCCTCTGCTGCACCAGCGGCTGCATCTCACTCGAATGTTAGGAGACAGTTCTTGCTGGTAAAATCAGTTTAGCAATGGAACCAATAATCAAAGCAACTGGATAGACTCTCCTTTGTGAGAGGTCTTTAAGCAGAAGCTATATGCAGCCATCTGTTGGGGTTGCTTTAGCTCTGGGACTTCCCACACTAAACGGCCTCCTCCAACTTTATGATCGCAAAACAGGGAGGTCCCTGGTGGAGAAAGCCCATTTACTCCTTTAGGTGCACACACATCCAAGTCAGGTCTTTCTCCCACCAACAAGTCTTCAGCTCCATCTCGACAGCTACATTCACTGGAACAGGAACAAGCAAGCATCGGGCACAGACAAATAGATCAAAGACCATCTTGCCTTCTGAGCATCTTCATGCTTCTCAAAGTTGACAAACCCAAACCCTTTCGAATGGCCTGCATTATCCATCATCACCTTGACACTCAACGTCTTTCCTGGAAAGTAGAACAAGAAAGTTTAAGACAGTGTGACATTGCTGGAGCCACAAGTTACAATAGACTTACATTGGTGCCATGCACTTGGAGCTGTTGGGTGAATTCCAGTGGTGCCTGTCCACCAGCGCAACAGAACAGTTTTGCCTGTCTGCCAGCAGAAGAGATCCAGTTGACGGAATGGATTCCCCCTCATCCATGCCTCCAAAATCTGTCCTGGGGGGTTGAGGGATTCTCGGGAGCAGATTTGGGAGGATGCAGGAAATGTAGTGGGAAGATGAAGGAGACGTCCACTCACAAAAAAATGGATCTTACCCACAATCTCTTATTATGTATGGGTAGAATCTGACATAAAGGCGAACGTTCCATCAGGTCAAGGATTTTTCCTTGTGCAACAGAACATTCTCTCCCTCTCCCTCTCCCTCTCCCTCTCCCTCTCCCTCTCCTCTCCCCTGCTTGCACAACCCCATTCAAAGCATTCCCCGATCTTCTGGAGCAGATTTGCAAAAGGTGCACTTTGCGTCGTATATGACACCAGGCTCAGGAAACAGGCTCACCCAAAATAGTGTGGCAGCCCTATCTCTGAGGTCTGGCAGGCCTAATTAGGCTCACAGGCTGAAACTTCCCTGCCAGTCAGTATACTTCAAAGTGCCGCATTTACCAAATTTTGAGAATATTTCCTGTAGTCGCTCATCATGCATGTCATCCCCAAAGTTCTTGATGTAGACATTGGTGAATTCCATTGCCTTGGCGCCATATTCTGCTTCCCGCTCTCGTCGAGATTTAAAATGGCCAACAAACCTGTAAACGGGCAAACGGTGAAGCCACTTTTTTAAATGCATTGTGTGTGCCATGCAACAAGGTCAGGGAAACCTCCCAAGCTATATTAAGTAGGCATGAACTGAGACAGCTTTATAGATCACCATGCTCTAATAAAGCCACAAGTGCCAAATTTTGCCTTGTCAGTGCTCAGGAGACGCCGTCATGAGGAGAGAGGCAGGATTATCTCTGTTTGGTGTAGCTCTAGAGACCTTTAAGCTAGGAGAGCCTGATGCTTGAGCAGTGATAACATTGCTCGTACCTGTATTTTGCATCAACCTCGCAGGGTGGATTTCAGCTGTAACCACTGCTCTTCTTAAGGCAGTGTAGAGAAAACTGTGAATTGGCAAGGCATCTTCTAGACAAAGGATTTATAGAGCACATGAAACAGTGAGGGCTCGTCGTCCCCCCCCCTTCGCTCGTCCCATGCCTAGAAAGCATGGTTCCAAGTGGTTTCCTACTTGTCCTTTCCAAATACAGGTCTGAGTGGTTTTTTGTTTCCCCCACGACTTGCCCCAGGAAAACCAGCTCTTTAGTGCTGAATTGGAGCAAACATCAATCCAAGGAAAACCCAGTTGACGCATGCTCCAATTCAGTGTGAAAGAGCAGGTTTTCCTGGGAGGATAAGTGATGGGACAAGCAGAAGTCTGGATGAGCTGTTGCTCTTCCGGCCAACTGTATTGCTGCTGGAAATGCACATTTTCTATACTCACAGGGGAAACGTATTAGTGACCTTATGGACTGTTTTGCATGCTAAACATGCCATAAAATATTGGATACTTGCATTTACTTACAAATATTCTTGTTATTCTATCATTTGATACATGTTTCCAAGGAAATTTGTTGCACCTTTTACTAACCTTGGTTTTCCTTTGTGCTTAAACCCTTATTCTAAATTGTGTTCTGCATAGGAGGGGCTTTGTTATTTATTTATGTGTGCAATGCATCTAACATATTAAGAGAGTCAACAACATTTGATCTCGCAGTCACCCACTTCACCCATACCTGCACCCTAGCTCCCAACCCCAGCTTCCACTTACACCTTACGGTCATTGAGGAGCATTCCATTCATCGTGTCAATTGCTCTGTTTGCTGCCTCGTGGGTCTCAAAATGGACAAAGCCGTAACCTCGGGATCCATTCTCATCACACACAACCTATTAAGACATGGGTGGGTATGAGGGAAGAGAAATAAAGGAAGTCATACAACTGAAAACGAAAAAGATGGGCCCTTGATTTCCCCCCAGTTTACATGTATATCTGCTCAGTGGTTACAAAGCCCCCCTAAACAGTGACCCTGAGTCACAGACACATTTTGGTGTAACCCTAATCAATGGGGCCCATCAGCAATGAGTAAAAACCTTGGTTTCAAACAGAGAGAGAAAAGAACTTGAAGAAAATCGGAATGGGGTTGGTGTCTAATTCAATGAGGTCTCTCTCAGTACTGAAGTGCTGTTTCTTTGGATCAGCAGAGAAGTTCTGAGATTCAAGGAACCATTGTGATGCTAGAGGGGGTGGGAAATTGCCCAAAGTGTTTTGCCTAGAGGCTACCTCAAGATTGTTTTGAATTTTAAATTACCACCCACCAAATGTTATTACACAAAAGTGAAGCCAGACTGCTTAGAAACCACTGGTCAAAAATTGAATAGATCAGGATAAAAGGAATGATAGACAACACATATACTAGAATGCTCAAAGCAGATCAGGTGATGTTATTTCTGCCAGTGACATAGCTACCTTGCAAGAAAGGATATTTCCAAAGGCTGAGAATGTATCATACAAAGCTTTGTTATCAATGGAATCGTCCAGGTTCTTGATGAAGATGTTCCCAACGCCTGATTTCCTGAGTCCTGGGTCCCGTTGGGACCACATGATGCGAATGGGTCGGCCTTTTATCACTTCAAAATTCATGGTATCCAAGGCCCGCTCAGCTAGCAGGGGAGGGAAAGCTCATTTGTTTACACAGAAACAAAAACCAAAAGCTGGAAGCAAAGAAGCCCAGTCTCTCACCTTGCAAACAGCTGTGTGTGAGCACATTCATTTTACTACCAACAGGGAAGATCGCAAAGTCTTTTGACAGGAGTGGGGCTTAAGAAATTGGTGTTAAGAAGAGAAGCTCTGGCTTCTGGAAAACATGACTGGAAGCTGTAGGTACAAATAACTTGCCATGGTTTCTAAGTCAACCATCTGTAAACAAGACCATAGCTGCATCATGGGTCAAGTGGTAAAGGCCATTAGATGCAGGACTGGGGAAGATACGACCCTTCAGATATTGTTGTGCTGCAACTCCCACTGACCACCAGCCCCACTTGCTGGGGCTGATGGGAAATAAATCCACAGATGTTTTATTCCTCCTGTGGGACATTTGCAATGGCTAATCTTAATCACTGAGGCCTAGTGAACAGGGCAAGGCTGAAGCTTCCTTTCACTTCGGTTTAGCTCAACACTTATCTTACAGCTACCAGAAATTATTTGGAACACAAAAGGTTACTTGCCAGCTAATTTCTAAATGTTCAGATCCCCTAAATGTGGATCAAAATGAGTACTGTAGAGCCCCAAACTCTGCTTGAAAGCAGAGCTTGAGTTGCCTTTTTGCCTGGAAAAACTTGCTTCGTTTTCCAGAGGAAGACTTAGTAGTCATGGGCACATCATACAATAATAATAATTTATTATTTGTACCCCATCCATCTGGCTGGGTTTCCCCAGCCACTCTGGATGGCTTCCACAGAGACCAAAAATACACTAAAATGTCACACATTAAAAATTTCCCTGAACAGGGCTGCCTTAAGATATCTTCTGAATGTCAGGTAGTTGTTTATCTCTTTGACATCTGATGGGAGGGCGTTCCACAGGGCGGGCGCCACTACCGAGAAGGCCCTCCATACAACATGGATTTATCAGGCTGCAGCTGAGGGAGAGATGGGAAGCAGGGCCACTTCATGGGCTCAGCTGAAACCAAAAACATTTGGATCCCCCTCTCTCTCCAGACCAGCAATGGGGCACCTGAGGACCTCCAGATGACGGTGAACTACAGTTCCCAGCAACCCCTGGCCATGCTGGCCAGGGCTGATGGGAGTTGGAGTCCAACAACATCCAGAGGATAGCAGTCTCCCCACCTGTGCACCAAACCCTTTCCCTCTCCACTGTTATAAGAACTTTATTAACTAGCGCCAGAGTTTCCTCCCTTTTCTTTCTCTGCTCCTTTTCCTTTCGTGTCCTGCCTTTGAGATAGCCTCTGACCTCAGGCAACACAGTATTACTTTTTATTGATCTGTAATCTACCCTGGGAGTCTTTTCACCTGAAGAATGGAGCAAAGATATTTGATGCAAACAAAATACAACATTTGAGAGTTTAGAAGAAGTTCTCACTCACTTACCATCAGCAGGCTGTTGAAAATTTATGTAGGCATAACCTAGTGATCGGCGTGTGGAGACATCTCGGCAAACTCTGATGGACAGAATTGGTCCAGCAGGCGAGAATTTCTCGTACAACATGGCTTCGGTTACATCCGGGTGCAAGTCGCCCACATAGAGGGAGGCTAGCGGATATCCTGGGCCACTAGCATTCATGGTCAATCATGCAGTTTAACTTGGGAAGTGAAGCAAAACCTAGTTACTCCCAGGCAGCATAACAGGGATCTTTAGAGATGCAAAAATAGCAGGACTCTATAGGGTAGATTCCATGTAAACCTCTGACTGAGCTCTTGAAGTTGCCTGCAAATGAAACCCACTATATCCAGAGTCATTTTCACCAAGTTCCTCCCCTCCCTGCCCATGCAATGTAAATAGGAGTAACACATAGAATCATAGAATCATAGAGTTGGAAGAGACCACAAGGGCCATCGAGTCCAACCCCCTGCCAAGCAGGAAACACCATCAGAGCACTCCTGACATATGGTTGTCAAGCCTCTGCTTAAAGACCTCCAAAGAAGGAGACTCCACCACACTCCTTGGCAGCAAATTCCACTGTCAAACAGCTCTTACTGTCAGGAAGTTCTTCCTAATGTTTAGGTGGAATCTTCTTTCTTGTAGTTTGGATCCATTGCTCCGTGTCCGCTTCTCTGGAGCAGCAGAAAACAACCTTTCTCCCTCCTCTATGTGACATCCTTTTATATATTTGAACATGGCTATCATATCACCCCTTAACCTCCTCTTCTCCAGGCTAAACATGCCCAGCTCCCTTAGCCGTTCCTCATAAGGCATCGTTTCCAGGCCTTTGACCATTTTGGTTGCCCTCCTCTGGACACGTTCCAGTTTGTCAGTGTCCTTCTTGAACTGTGGTACATGTATTTACTAATGTATATTAGTACGTCTGCATAGATTTTATACAAGGTATAAAGGTAAAGGTAAAGGGACCCCTGACCATTAGGTCCTGTCGTGGCCGACTCTGGGGTTGCGGCGCTCATCTCACTTTATTGGCCAAGGGAGCCGGTGTACAGCTTCTGGGTCATGTGGCCAGCATGACTAAGCCGTTTCTGGTGAACCAGAGCAGCGCACGGAAACGCTGTTTACCTTCCCACCGAAGCGGTACTTATTTATCTATTTGCACTTTGATGTGCTTTCAAACTGCTAGGTTGGCAGGAGCAGGGACCGAGCAACGGGAGCTCACCCCGTCGCGGGGATTCGAACCGCCGACCTTCTGATTGTCAAGTCCTAGGCTCTGTGGTTTAACCCACAGCACCACCCGCGTCCCCTATACAAGGTATTTGACATGCAAAGCTGCACCCGACAAGTTTCATGCTTAGCAGAACAGAATTCCGCTCATGCAGAGGCACTTGCACCCCTTGCTTCTATAATATTGTCTGGAGAGTTGGGACTCTGGAGACTCTCTGGAGAAGGAAGGGGGAAGTCCGCTCATGCAACAATTCAACCCATACTCCACTATGCAGGCACTATTACAACCTCTTTGCCCCCTTGGATAGCACCTCCACACCATAATACACCATAGGTAATAATAAACAGAAGAGGGTGTGTGTGTGTGTGTGTGTGTGTGTGTGTGTGTATATAGAGAGAGAGAGAACATGAGAAATTATGGTGCATTAGAGATCCATAACCCATGTGCTGAGACTTCTGCATTGCAGGGGGTTGAGCTAGATGACCCTCAGGGTCCCTTCTAACTCTATGATTTCATGGTCCCAACATCCTCAAGTTGTTTTGACCTGCAACTCCCATCAGCCCCACCCAGTAGGGCCACTAGTCCGAGATGATGGGAACTGCAAGCCAACAAATTCTGGAACACAACAGGTTGAGTGGAAGGGTGTAATACAGAGGTTCCCAAACTTTTTCATGCCGCCTCGGTTCCATAAACTCATCTTCAGTTCCCCCTACCCTATAAAAATTATTATTCAGAACAGTGGTTGGCACAATCTACTTAAGGAAGATAAGGACACAATACAATTCAAAACGGTAACAACTGAACATTTATTCACACACCAGTTAGAACGATTTAGTTTTAATTAACCAATTCAACCAAACTGATGAACTTGATCCAGTGATGCCAGATTTTCAAAGTTCCCCTGTCGCTCCCTTAACTCTCAGAGGGGCCCCTCTAGGTAACCCACCCACCCCCACCCACAATAGGGGGTATCTCCCACTTTGGGACCCAATGGTGCCATATAGGGTCCAATGCTCACCAGCAGATTACAGGAGCCAAGTGGGGTAAGACTCAACAGAGGATCTGGGCACAGCACTGCATAAATTTAAGGATGACTCCCAAAACATGTGCTGTGTCATATTCCTATAGCCAGCCTTCCTTGTTAGGTGGGGCAGCCACATTTCTAGGTGGGGGCATTTTTTGGGTGGAGAGGGGTGTCAGTCAATTCACTGCCAACTCATTGGTAGAGGATTTGAGGGCCAGAGAAAGGCAGCAACCTTCCCCCTCGCTCCTCCGCGCAGGAAGTGTGTGTTAATTTGATGTTCACATAGCCCATTAGGTAAGTTAAGAGAAAATTTACACCAGGAATTAAATGACTGTCATATTTTTTGTTTCATGGGGGGGAAAGGATGACAAGGATACAGTGAACAGGGGGATACCAACAAGTGTAAAAGAAAGGAAGCAGTTTAAGTTATAACTAAAAAGTTGAAAACTGGTGTGGAGCTTGTTTTCCTGCTCAAAAAAACAACAACCCAGTTTTAATCTTGTATCATGATACCATAAAACAAGTTTACAAACGAAGAACCACTTAGATTGCAACCATAGTCAAGCATTTGGGGAGAGTGCTGCTGAGAAAAATATGCATTACAAAACAAACTTAGGGGCAGAGAGAAAAGTTTAGGGTGTGTTTGTTAACTCCCCCTTGAGGGTCCCTCCTCCCTTGTCTTGTTCCTGACCTTTAGATTTTCCTTCCTCCTGGACAATTAAGGGGAAACCTTTTAACTGGTTGCTGTATAAAGAACTAACTAAGCAATTGGAAACTAATTGTGGAATGTAACTAGACTTGTTTTTAACTGGTTGCTTAGTTGATTTTTCTGTCCAGAAATGGTCTCACACTGAACGGCACACACTGGGGAAACCAGAAATTAGGCCTGAGTCACAGCCTAGGTTACAACCAGCAAACTGCAGGGTTACGTTGTGTGACTTGGAAACTATGGTTCTACTCATGAAGCCTAATAACCACATTAGCCTTTTCTGCAGCCCCATCACACTGCTGACTCATGCTTGAGATCCTTCTCACAAACTGCCAAGGGAGGGAATTTCCTGTGCTTTTAGTGTGTCTGCTTAAATCCACAACTTCACTTGTGTCTCGGCTGAAAGGTGGGGGAGATGAGGTAGGAAACAAATCCAGAAAGCCAACTCCAAATTCAGTATGTCTCTCAACTTCAAGCTGCAGTTCTTTGCACACTTAATTTGGGAACATGTTCACCTAAAATCTTGACTAAGAGTAAACATGCATAGAACCTGGCTATACATGTAACAATATACTGCCTTTTCGTGATTTCCCAACCCCTCCCACCAGCCAGCTTTCCCCTCCAACCCATAAAGCACTCACATGTGACGCTACGCAAGGCCGCCAGCAAACATTCACCTTCAGTGCTGGTCCTCCCTAATGTGGGAGCAGCTCTCAGAAATACATTGCCCCGCCCCCTTCACTCATAGGTGTGGCCAGCCGCTTCCTGTAGCACCACCACCTGCTCCAACCATTCCAGCCATTGTTGGGGTCCGCTAATCGGATCCAAGCTGCCTTGGTCACTGAAAAGCCAATAAATGCCATAGACAGAGGAGATTCCCATAATCACTCGTTTATTCAGCTGCTCATGCTCATTGAAACAGGACACCCTGCCTGGAGACCTTGAAGAGGAGAGTAGCCTGGCAGAGGGAGGATTTTCTGAAAATCGCCTAGCAACGTTATCTGGTCTTCCCGTATTTGTGGCTCACCCTCTTAAATTCTAAAGCAGGTAGTTTTTTACAGATGCAAAATGGCATCAGTTAGGCTAACCAAACAAACAGGAGAAGAACAGGCCTCTGTGGCTTTTCCTGAGACCCCACACCATGCTGCCAGTCCCTCCAGAGTTAGAAGTACAGGGCAAGGCAATAAAACCAGCTCTTTTGGAAAGCGTTCAGGGTGGGAAGCTGGGTCTTGCGCTCCTGTGAGCTTCGATGCCAACACCAGCAGTGAAGGTTGTCATCCATTCATTTATAAGACACTTCGTGGATTCAAAATACTACAAAAAAGACTCCACCCCCTTGCCTACTCTGCAGGTTTGTTTTCAAAGAAAGAGGTACTGGAATTCAACTCTGGGATGAAAGCTATGCACTTCCCTTCTAAAAACTAGGGGTGGGTGAGGAGAGGGGTCGGCTGTAGATTTTTGGGGTTTTTTTAAAAAATATAAACCTAGTCTGTATAGACTTTTGTTTAATACTAATCTGTGCTTACCTAGTTCTACTCACGAGCAGAGCCAATGAAATTAATGGACCCAAGTTAGTTTTGTTTAGTTATTTGGACCATTTATGTACCATTTAAACAAAACGGAGGGGGTGGGATTCAACTATAACAAGCCCCACTAGTAGAAACTTGTACAAAGACCATCACTAGTACAACAGAGCTCCCCCACCCCCCCACCCCCAGAACAGTATGCAGGGGGAGGAGAGAGCAGATGGTTGAATCAGGCAAGGAGAAATGCTTACACTGACAGAGCAATCTTCTTGGCCCTATGCTGAATTCCTCCCTCTGTGTGGTTTAAGGACCTAAGAAGAGCTTGCTGGATCAGGCCCATCTCACAGTGGCCAAGCAGGTGCCTATGGGAAGACCAAAAGCAGGATATAGTGGCATATCATGGGTTGCCAATGCTCGGCGCCACACAAAGAGAACAGGAGGGAAACAGGCAGAGTAATAATAATTTATTATAATAATAATTTATTATTTATACCCCGCCCATCTGGCTGGGCTTCCCCAGCCACTCTGGGCGGCTTCCAAAAAAATATTAAAATACTGTAATACATCAAACATTAAAAGCTTCCCTAAACAGGGCTGCCTTCAGATGTCTTCTAAAAGTCTGGTAGTTGTTGTTCTCTTTGACATCTGGTGGGAGGGCGTTCCACAGGGAGGACGCCACTACCGAGAAGGCCCTCT